GGCAACACTGGTTTCTTTTATTTTAGGCTACTGAAAACCAGATCAGCCTCTCAGAAATTTAGCCTTAGTTCCCTAAGCTAGCCAGACTTCTTCATAAGTTGCTTTCTCCTAAAGTCTCTCTGTTCTCTCTTAATTGCTGCCACCAAACTCTCTCAAAGGACAGTTTTTAAAATTATAATTGCACCTCTTTAGTTTACAGTTGAGACCTGTTCTTACTTTCCTGGTCTGCTTTCTCTATGAAGATGGCCCAGCTGGGGGAACTTCTGTCTCCTCACCCCCATCCTTGCTAGAGAAGGAGATCTAATAGGATTTGTAAATCTGCGGCCCAGCTCCATACTGCTTTCCTCAGTACTCGAAATAGTTAGACATTGTTCTCATTTAACTCCAAGGCTTCTTTTTCCCTTTTAGATAGATTTTTTTTTCCTACTTTCTAATGTAAATCCCATGTGTTTCACAAGATCTTGATTATCTAGTCAAAATCTAATAAAAGTAAAAATGAGGAAGAACTGAGTGGAAGAGATGGCAACTATGTCTGACAGGCAGCTCTCTGCTTATACGGTTCGAGCAGCAGACACAGGGAGGGAGCCTTGTCCTTTTCACAGCTTCTTCCCCTTCCCCCTCAACTGCTACCCACAAATTCATCTGACAGGTGATTTCCCCTCAGTCTCAGTTCTGTGGCAGTATGAGCCTTTTTCTTCTACAAACATTCCACTTTGATAATCAGCTAAGCCTTCTATACCAGAAGCCCTTTCCCCTACCTGGTCTTCATCCTCCATGAATATTTTTGGGCCTTTCACTGGTAGAGCATGTGAACACCATCCTTTTAAGAGTCATGGCCACCAAGAATAGCAAGGACTGTACTGCCCTGGGGCTCCAAGAGTCCTGAAAATGATCCTGCATTGTGGGTTTGAAGTTAAAACAGGTTCTAGATTGCAAATTGTGCATGAGAGCAAAGGTAGATGAAGAACAGAATCAATCTCATTTGGAAAGCTGAGAGTATTGACCCTTACTCTAAAGGCTTCATGAAAATAGACCGTGACATGGCTTTTGTCCTTGGTGCTTGCCTGGTTTCATGATGATACTGGCTTGCTAGGGCTGCCGTAACAAAGTGCCACAAAATGGGTGGCCACCTAAACACTAGACGTTTATTCTCTCGCAGTTCTGGAGGCTAGAGGTCCAAGATCAAGGTGTCAACAGGGTTGTGTTCTGCTCAAGACTATGAGAGGGAATCTGCTCCAAGCCTCTCACCTGGCTTTTGGTAGTTTGCTGACACTCTTTGGCATCCCTTGGCTTGTAGAAGCATCACCCTGATGTCTGCCTTTATCTTCATATGGCATTATCCACGTGTGTTTGTCTGTCTAGAAAAGTGCCCTTCTTTCTTATAAGGACACCAGTCATATTGGATTAGGGGCCCACAACCTCATTCTAACTTAGCTAATTACATCTGCAGTGACCTCATTTCCAATTGGTCACATTCTAAGGAACTGGGAGTTAAGACTTCAATGTATGGATTTTGTGGGGGACATAAAATTGTAACCACTGTCATTACCATCAGTTAACATTTATTTAGTGTCTGCAGTTCCTGGTTATTAAACTATCACCTATCCTAAAAATGGTGGTTTATCTGTAGAAGCTTATTTTCTAAGACATTCAAGACCACAGACAGGTATAAATGTAGTAAATTAGAATAATAAACATAAGATGGGGAAATGACTTCAAATGCTTTTCATAAACTAGTGTTTTCAAACCTCAGACTGCAGAGATGACTCACAGCTTCTCGGCGAGTGAAGGAGTGTTTTCTCCCCAAATAGGTGGGCTTTAGGACTTCTGCCTCCAGCTTTAACCAGAGTGGCTCAGGTTTTATATGTGTGTATATATCTTTGTATATATATGCATCTTATATATCCATACATCTATACATCTATATATATATACATCTTGTACAATATATATTTTATATATATATATATATTCTCTAATACAAACTTCCATATATATATATTTATGGAAGTTTGTATTAGAGTTTTCCAGAGAGAAACAGAAGCAATAAGAGGTATAGAGAAAAAGAGATTTATTGTGAGGAATTGGCTCATGCAGTGTGGAGACTGGCAGTTCCAAAATCTTAACAGGGGGCCAGCAAGCTGGAGACCCAGGACAGCCGGTGCTGCAGTCCTTGTCTGAAATCTGGCAGGCTGGAGATTCAGAAGAGCCAAATTTCCAGTTTGAATCTGAACGCAGTCTGTTCTAGAACCAGGAAGAACCGATGTTGCAGATGAAGTCTAAAGGTTGTAGAATTTCTCTTTTGCTCAGGGGAGTCCAATCTTTTGTTCTAGTCAGGCCTGCAACTGGTCAAATAAGGCCACCCACATGAGAGAGGGAAAACTGCTTTCCTCAAGGTCCACTGATTTAAATGTTAGTCTCACCCAAAAACATCCAGAACAATGTCAGCCAAATATCTGGGCACTGAGGCCCAGCCAAGTTGACACATAAAATTTACCACCACAAAGCTCTCCATAAACTTTTGTTGGAAAAAAAGATGGATCTGCTGCTGAATGAAATATAAAGAAAGTTTGCAAACTCCTGTTTTAGGCAATTCTAGATTGGAAGCCAAGTTAAAGCCTTCTCATTCTTCATTCAGCAACTACTTAAAAACTGTAGTTTTAATGTTATAAGACATTCCTGAAAAATTAGCTTAGATCTTCCTTCTCAGTATCTGTGTAGAAAACTTTACATGCTTTTGAGACAGGAAATGTGTTCCCTGGCTCAGTGTCAATCTGTGAACGAAAGAGCTCTTTACCTGGTTTATATTGTCAAACTGAACCAATTCCTATACTTTAGAAAATAAGTCAAGAGTTTGCTTATCTTACCAAGCTTTTGAAGTGTTATCTATTTGACAGTGATAACTGGGGTGATTTGTGCCAGGCTTGTTTTATGGAAAGTATTTGGGATTAAAGATTAGAAGTCCTAGATTGAATTCCTGGCTCTTCCTTTTGTTAACTTCGAGCAAATTCCTTAACTACTCTGGGCCACAATGTTACCTTCTATTTGTTGGAGACAATATCTGACCTGGGTATGGGGGGCCCCCATTGACTCAGCCACTCTCTTCTCTAACACCGAAAACCTCCAGGCTACTCTGTCCTGGGAAATCTATCCTGTTGCCTCCACCTGCCCTTTTCCTACTGTACTTCTCTGCTTTGGGTCAGGCCCTCACCGCTTGTTGCTTAAGTCACTGCATTGACCTCTTAGGTGGTCTGTGCCTTGTTTCTTCTCCAAGGCATTCTCCCTATTCCTGCCTGACTCTCCTTTTCTCAAGAGCGAATCTAATCATGTTTTTTTCCTATAACTTTCAGGATAAAATTCATCTTCTAATAATAGCTAACATTTACTGAGTGCTTACTCTGTGCTCCTTGCAGTGCTAAACATTGCACATGGATCATTCAGTGGCCCTCACAACAGGTTTATGGAATGCAGTTACAGTTAGTATCCCATTTTACCAATCTGAGGCTTAGAGATTAAGTGACTAGCCTGAAGTCACGTAGCTAATAAGCGACAGAGGCAAGACACTAATCCAGGCATTCTGATTCCAGAGCACACACTCTGAACCCCTTCCCTGCTCTGTTGTCTCCCTGGGTGGCCCAAAGACCTGTTGGTGAGCTGGCTCTTCTTCCTTTCTAGCATTGACTCACACCTGGCTCTTGCAGGCTCCTCACCCAATAGACACAGCCACACTGAACTCTGTATCCTAAGTGCTATACACAGGGCATATGATGACTGAATCGTAGGCAGGTCTCTCTTAAAAGCCTTTGCTTATTAAATAAATTAGTGAATATGTAAAGCAATAGGTTAGCAATAATCCACCCTACCAATGTCAAGATTTAATGTTATTGTGTTGCTCTAGGTTAAACCACAGATACACTAGAATTCAGTTAACTCACTCAAAATGTTTCCACCTTGGCAGTATCGACATTGTGGGCCAGAAAATTCTTTGTCATAAGGAACTGTCCTGTGCATGGTAGGGTGTTTAGCAGCATCCCTAGCTTCTGCGCATTAGAAGGATGGCTGCACCACGCCCCAAGGTGTGCAGCCGGAAATGTCTCCAGACGTTGCCAGATACCCAAGGAGCAAAACCGCTTTAGGACCACTGTCCTGACTCGGATTGCTCATTTATACTCAGCTTCTGAATGAGTCCTTCAGCTTCTCCAGTACTCAGATTCCTCATCCTTAAATATAGGATTTGATGCTAATTTATTCTGTAGCCAGTGATGTATTAAAAAGTGTTTTATACAGTACAGCTAAGTGCAATGTGGTATATTGGATTACATTCTGAAACAGAAAAAGGACATCAGTAGAAAACTGGTGAAATCTGAGTAAAGCAGTTAATAGATTCATACCAATATTAAGTTCTTAGTTTTGATAAATGTACCAAGGCTCTATAAGATACTAACATTAGGGGAGGCCAGATGAAGGCTATATGGGAAAACTGTATTATCTTTGGAATGCTTCAGTAATTCTAAACTTAGAAGGTTTTTTTGTTTGTTTTGTTTTCTGAGGCAAAGTATCACTCTGTTGTCCAGGCTGGAGTGCAGTAGCACAGTCTCAGCTCACTGCAACCTCCACCTCCAGGGCTCAAGCAATTCTCCTGCGTCAGCTTCCCAAGTACCTGGGACTACAGGCATGTGCCACCACGCCAGGCTAATTTTTGTATTTTTAGTAGAGACAGGTTTCACCATGTTAGCCAGGCTGGTCTCTTACTCCTGAACTCAGGCAATCCGCCCGCCTCAGCCTCCCAAAGTGCTGGGATTTCAGGTGTGAGCCACTGCATGCAGCCAAATTATAAGTTTTTTAAAAGTATTTATGTAAGTCATTTACTAAGCCAAAAATAAGGGAGACCCATTTTCAGGCCCAAATAGAAGAGATATGTATTAATAGCTGTTCATTCTTAGCTCTAGAAGACCAGTTAATTAAGTAAATGATTGTATTGTCCTTTATTCATCTCCCAGGCTCTCTATTCACATGGATGATGAATTGCGACATATTGCACAAAACTCTCTTCAGGGTCTACTTGTTGACTTCTCAGACTGGAGAGAAGATGTACTATTTGGCTTCACCAACTTCCTGCTCCGGGAAGTGAATGATATGCATCACACACTCCTTGATTCGTCCCTGAAGTTGCTGCTGCAGCTGCTTACCCAGTGGAAACTGGTCATACAGACCCAAGGAAAAGTCTGTGAACAAGCCAACAAAATCAGAAATTCAGAGGTGATTGTCACACCTTATCCATGAATTTATTTTTCTTTTTTCTTTGTTTTGTTTTGTTTTTTCTTACTGAGACCGTCTCACTCTGTCACCCAGGCTGGAGTGCAATGGTGTGATCTCAGCTCACTGCAACCTCTGCTTTCTGGGTTCAAGTGATTCTCATGTCTCAGCCTCCCAAGTAGCTGGGATTACAGGTGCACGGAATCACACCTGGCTAATTTTCATATTTTTAGCAGAGACGGGGTTTCACCATGTTGGTCAGGCTGATCTTGAACTTCCAACCTCAAGTGATCCTCCCACCGTGGCTTCCCAGAGTAGTGGGATTAAAGGCATGAGCCACCATGCTTGGCCAAATTTATATTCTTTTAGGCACTGTAAATGAGTGGCAGACCAGAACCTTTAGAGTTCTTACTTCCAGCCACATAGGAACTTCCTCCCTGGTGGTGGGCCTTAGTTCTTCCACTGGCATAAATTGTGACCAAGAAACTCAGAGCATGATATTCCACATCAGGTTACACTTGTTAACATTCACAAGGCCATGTAGGGAGTAGAAATTGTTTTTTCAGAGAAGTATGATTGCAAATCTATTTATAAGAGCGTATGACTACAGGCCAGGGACTTAGAGCTGAATGTGGATGTGGATATGGATATGGATATGGATGTACATGTAGATGTGGATGTAGGTGTGGATGGAGATGCAGGTGTGGATGTGGATGTGAAGGTATGGATGTAGGTGTGGATGTGGATGTAGATATGGATGTTGATGTTGATGTACATGTACATGTGGATGCGGATGTGATAAGGATGTGGATATGGATGTGGATGTAGGTGTGGGTTGTCCATGTAGGTGTGGATGTGCATGTGGATATGATATAGATATGGATGTGGATGTGGATGTAAGTGTGGCTATAGATGTGGATACGGATATTGATGTGGATATAGATGTGAATGTGGGAGTGAGTGTGGATGTGATATGGATGTGGATATTGATGTGGATATGGATGTGGATATAGGTGTGGGTGTAGATGTAGGTGTGGATGTGGATGTGATATGGATGTGGATGTAGAGAAGGATATGGATGTAGGTGTGGATATAGATAAGTATGTGGATGTAGGTAAGGATGTGGATATGGATGTAGGTGTAGGTGTGGGTGTGGGTGTAGATATGGGTATAGATGTACATGTGGATGTGATATGGATATGGACGTAGAGAAGAAGGCTAGGCGCGGTGGCTCAAGCCTGTAATCCCAGCACTTTGGGAGGCCGAGACGGGCGGATCACGAGGTTGAGAGATCGAGACCATCCTGGTCAACATGGTGAAACCTCGTCTCTACTAAAATTACAAAAAATTAGCTGGGCATGGTGGCACGTGCCTGTAATCCCAGCTACTCGGGAGGCTGAGGCAGGAGAATTGCCTGAACCCAGGAGGTGGAGGTTGCGGTGAGCCGAGATCACACCATTGCACTCCAGCCTGGGTAACAAGAGCGAAACTCCGTCTCAAAAAAAAAAAAGAGAGAAGGATATGTATGTAGGTGTGAATATAGATAAGTATGTGGATATAGGTAAGGATGTGGATATGGATGTGGATGTAGGTGTGGGTATGGATGTAGATATGCATGTGGATGTATATGTGGATGGGATATGGATGTAGATGTAGGTAAAGATATGGATATGGATGTGTATGTAGGTGTGGGTGTGGATGTACATGTGGATGTAGATATGGATATGGGTGTGGATGTACATGTGGATGTAGATATGGATATGGGTGTGGATGTACATGTGGATATGGGTGTGGATGTACATGTGAATATAGATATGGATATGGGTGTGGATGTGGGTGTGGTTGTACATGTGGATATAGATATGGATATGGGTGTGGATGTACATGTGGATGTGGTATGGATGTGCATAGGTGTAGGTGTGGATGTAGATATGGATATGGGTGTGGATGTAGATATGGATATGGGTGTGGATGTAGGTGTGGGTGTGGATGTAGATATGGATATGGGTGTGGATGTAGGTGTGGGTGTGGATGTAGATATGGATATGGGTGTGGATGTAGGTGTGGGTGTGGATGTAGATATGGATATGGGTGTGGATGTACATGTGGATGTAGATATGAATATGGGTGTGCATGTACATGTGGATGTGATATGGATGTGGGTATAGATAAGGATGTGGATGCAGATAGGATATGGATGTAGATATGGATATGGGTGTGGATGTATATATGGATATGATGTAGTTATGGGTATAGATAAGGTTGTGGAGGTGGATATGGACGTTGTTGGAGGTGTGGGTGGTGTGGATGTGGGTGTAGATACGGATATGGATGTAGATGTGCCTGTGGATGTGATATGGATGTGGGTAAACATAAGGATGTGGATAAGGGTATGGATATGGATGTAGGTGTGGGTGTGGATGTAGATATGGATGTGGATGTGGATAAACATGTTGATGTGATATGGATGTGGATAAGGATTGGATGTAGATATGGATATTGATGTGAATGTGGATGTAGGTGTGGGTGTGGATGTAGATGTGGCTATGGATGTACATGTACATGTGGATGTGATATGGATGTGGAGAGGGATGTGGATGTAGATAAGGATGTGGATATGGATGTACATGTGGATGTGATATGGATGTGGGATATAATATGGATGTGGGATGTGATATGGATGTAGGTGTGGGTGTGGATGTAGATATGGATGAGGATATGGATGTACATGTGGATGTGATGCAAATATGGATAAGGTTGTGGATGTAGATGTGGATATGGATATGGATATGGATGTAGATGTAGGTGTGGGTATGGATGTAGATGTGGATGTGGATGTAAATGTTGATGTGATATGGATGTGGATAGGGTTGTGGATGTAGATGTGGATATGGATATGGATATGGATGTAGATGTAGGTGTGGGTGTGGATGTAGATGTGGATGTGGATGTAAATGTTGATGTGATGTGGATATGGATAAGGTTGTGGATGAGATGTGGATATGGATATGGATATGGATGTAGATGTAGGTGTGGGTGTGGATGTAGATGTGGATGTGGATGTAAATGTTGATGTGATGTGGATGTGGATGTAAATGTTGATGTGATATGGATGTGGATAGGGCTGTGGATGTAGATGTGGATATGGATATGGATATGGATGTAGATGTAGGTGTGGGTGTGGGTGTGGATGTAGATGTGGATGTGGATGTAAATGTTGATGTGATGTGGATGTGGATGTAAATGTTGACGTGATATGGATGTGGATAGGGTTGTGGATGTAGATGTGGATATGGATATGGATATGGATGTAGATGTAGGTGTGGGTATGGATGTAGATGCGGATGTGGATGTAAATGTGGATGTGATATGGATGTGGATAGGGTTGTGGATGTAGATGTGGATATGGATATGGATGTCGATGTAGGTGTGGGTGTGGATGTGGATGTAAATGTGGATGTGATATGGATGTGAATAGGGTTGTGGATGTAGATGTGGATATGGATATGGATGTAGATGTGGATGTGGATGTAAATGTTGATGTGGTGTGGATGTGGATAGGGTTGTGGATGTAGATGTGGATATGGATATGGATGTAGATGTAGGTGTGGGTGTGGATGTAAATGTTGATGTGGTATGGATGTGGATAGGGTTGTGGATGTAGATGTGGATATGGATATGGATGTAGATGTAGGTGTGGGTGTGGATGTAAATGTTGATGTGGTATGGATGTGGATAGGGTTGTGGATGTAGATGTGGATATGGATATGGATGTAGATGTAGGTGTGGGTGTGGATGTAAATGTTGATGTGGTATGGATGTGGATAGGGTTGTGGATGTAGATGTAGGTGTGGGTGTGGATGTAGATGTGGATGTAAATGTGCATGTGATATGGATGTGGGTAGGGTTGTGGATGTAGATGTGGATATGGATATGGATATGGATGTAGATGTAGGTGTGGGTGTGGATGTAGATGTGGATGTGGATGTAAATGTTAATGTGATATGGATGTGGATAGGGTTGTGAATGTAGATGTAGGTGTGGATGTGGATATGGATGTATTGTACATGTGGATGTGACATGGATGTGGATAGGGTTGTGGATGTGGATATGGATATGGATGTAGATGTAGGTGTGGGTGTGGATGTAGATGTGGATGTGGTGGATGTGGATGTAAATGTGGATGTGATATGGATGTGGATAGGGTTGTGGATGTAGATGTGGATATGGATGTAGATGTAGGTATATAAAAGTCAGGTGACCCGCAGTTGTTTTTGGCCAGCATCATATGGGTTGCTTTGTTCAATATCCACAGAGAAGACAGTGCAGTCTTGCAGTTTCTTTATCCTTTCATGTCTCCTGCCTAAATGTTTAAGTTAATGATAACATCTTGCAGAGTACATTGAGGAGGAGTGTTGTCAGAGGAGAACCAGGGCAGTGGGAACTTGGCATTGGCAGTGAGCAGATGGAGAAAGGGGTCTCGCTGGAGAAGAGTGTAACAGAGTCTAAGGACTGTGGAGGCTCAGGGAAGTATAGTAGCATCTAGGGAACAGCTGGGACTCCTGACAGGTTAACCCCAGAGATGACATTCAGCTCCTTCCACCTTCCCTGTGTTCTAGACATGCCAATATAGGTAGAAAACCAAGGATTATATATGCTTATAAGAGGAAAACAAAAATGAAGGTGGGAACTTCCCTGTTAACTGGCTTGCTTTTACTTTAGATTCACTTGGTTGGGGATTGGGAACTTTCAGAATCCATCACAGACCTGTGCAAAACCTAGATTAGAATCTAACATGCAAACAAGTAAGCAAAGATGGATAGAAAGTAAATGTTTGAAAATTTGCTTTAATAGTATCCAAAAGTCTATGGAGAATTTGAATAACAAGGTTGGCCACTTTGTATATACAGTGTGATACCAAGCGGTGTAGATGAAAGGCGTTTTGGTTTTAGCCTTTGAAGAGTTATTTTTCATCAGAAGTAACTGATGCTTGATAGTATTCCACAGCAATAATTGATCTGAAAGGCAGAAGGGGATCTAGAATAGTTCATGAATAATAAATTCATAGACATGTTTGGTTGTAAAGTGCTGTCATTTGTTTTAATATTTACAGGATCAAATGTGCAAAAGATACACAAAACATGAATGTATTCTTCTTCCATTGTTACTTTGCCGAATACAGAATGTTGTTCTTCTTGCATAACAGCTCATTGCAAATGGCTCCAGTCACAGAATTCAGTCGGAACGAGGTCCCCACTGCAGTGTACTCCATGCTGTAGAAGGTTTTGCTCTGGTTTTACTCTGCAGTTTCCAGGTGGCCACGCGCAAACTGTCCGTTTTAATACTCAAGGAAATTCGAGCATTATTTGTTGCCTTGGGACAGCCTGAGGTATGGATTAGTCTTCTGAATTTTTCTATTTCTTATTTTCAACTGTTCTGAAATTTATATTAAAAACCACAAATGATGCATTACTATTTCATGTACTTTTATGTTACATGTGGTGTCACATTTTTCATTCATTATTAGGTTTTGAACTATTATAATAGCATTCTTGGTCTACTAGATTTCAGTCATATTTTCTGAAAGCAATAGGAAAGAGCAATCGCAGTTCTCCAGGGACATAACTTTGCTAAGAAGTGAAGAATTTTAAGATTAATTTAGGTTATGGATTATTTCCTTCATAGTGTTCAGCACACATCTAATTAAAAAAATATTATTACTTTATATTAAAGAATAAACTTCAAAAAATAACACATCTCATTTAAAATGATGAAGTTACCAAAGAGTCTGGCAAATTGAAAGATATTTAATCTTGATGGTGGTAGAAAATGACATCACAAGAAACATGTCCTCTTGAAATGGGAGAAGGAAGCCAATTATTGATCACTGCCTGCTGACACCCCACATTTGGCCAAATGATGTACACCTTGTTCAGAGAAAACATTGATTGCTATCCTGCAAGCTAGCACGGATGGCCAAACCAAAGGCACAATGTGATGAAAGAAGGGCCAGCTTTTCATGTTATATACTTCTTTAGAAAATTACTACTTTCCATTTTCTTCTTTTAAAAATAACTACTTTGGTTTTATGATATTTGACATAGTCACTGTCTTTATAAAATATTTTCAACTTCATCACAGTCTTTCCTGTTCACATTTCTTTGGATAGCTTTCTGATATATTTCAAGGCCACATCTCTGGCACCTGAGATTCATTCACCTAAATGAATCTCTAAATCATGCTATATTTTAGCAAACCTTCATCAAGTTTGTAATCATGAATGTAATGATGATAATAATTACCATGTATGTGTCAGGCACTGTGCTAAGTACTTTATACACCGTATCTCATTTAACCCTCATAATAACCAAAGGATTGGTTTGGTTATCATCCCATTGTACAGACACTGAGACTGAGGTTTAGAGAGGTTGAATGCCCTCCCTACAGTCAACAGCTAGAATGTGACAGAGCCAGAATTCAACAACAGATACATACACATGCCTCTAATGCCCTCCTTCTTAAGTGCTAATCAACTAGACTGTGTCAAGGGTGTTCCTCATATGTCACTTTCTTTAACCAGCGATAATGTTTTTTCATTCACACATGAATATACAGATTCCAAGGCTTTTCTTTAAGGCTTTTGAGTAAATAATTTTATATTTCCAAATTTCTCCATAATAAAGGATGATGAATGAATATATAATATATGAATGAATATTCATTTATGTATTCATTACATATAATCTATTATGTTCATAATATATAAATGAATGGATGAATTAATTTATATATTTATCATATATAAATGAATGAATGCATTCTTTTATGTATTACTCATGTAGAATTTTCACTAAGATACGCTCTCGTGCCCTTTCCAATTTGCATCTTATATCAAATAGCTATATATTATGTAGATACTGCAAAGAGTGTGTGGTCGGTCTAGTTTCTTTGGGACTAAAATTCAATCACAGTAAACAATTGGCCACTTATTTTAAAAGACAAATGACTCAAACTAAGGAGCATTTTAGTTAGTGGTCTGACAAAGCATGTTCTTACAGGGTTTCTGCTTCTTGAAATTAACAACATGAACACTGTAGTGAATCATGTATGGTACTGGTAGATTCATACATGTATACATATGAGTCTGAAATTCAGGTATATGTATTTTCAGTACAAGGTGAAATTGGAACTCTAATTATCTTCCACTAAAACTTGGAAGACAAACCTCAGAGCCACAGGAGTTTTACTCACTGCCTTCCACCATCTAGGCACTCACTTTTCTGTGTGAAAATCCTTATCACTGTCTCGCAAGCCATTCTGCTTCATGTATCAGACAAAGGCAGTGGGGTGGGTCAGGAGGATTCATTTTCCTATGGAGAGTAATCACCTCCCCTTTGTACAGGATGACGACAGGCCGATGATTGATGTCATGGATCAGCTAAGTTCTTCCATTCTAGAAAGTTTCATTCATGTAGCAGTTTCGGATTCAGTAAGTACACATTTGATTCCAACTAATGGTTCTTAAAAGCTCTGGACCTATCTAAAATAGAGAGTCAATGAAAAATTATGTGGAATAATTTGGGTGTTTATGTCAGATTAATAAACTGACCCAAAATTACTTGAAGATAAGAATAGTTTTTCAAATGTTAGCTTAAGAGACATTCGGATCAATTTCACACAAAATCTGAGGCTTAGGAATATAGATAATATTTTGAAACTACAGCTTTAAGAGGAATTGCTCAGGATTCTTAAGGAAAATTCATTTGCCTTATTTATTGTACTTATCACTTAATATTATACTTAACACTTAGAATTATACTTAATATGTAACTTGTAATTTTGTGGTACTTTGTAGTTCACATGGTGCCTTCACATTTATTATTTTATTTGATTCTCACAGTTACTGAAACTCAGAAATGTTAAGGGGTAAGTCCACAGTCACACAGAAAGAGTTCTAGAAATCAAGGTGAAGTCTGGGTTCTAGAACTCTCCTTCCCAGGTTTGAACTCTGAACCTAAGAGAGCTTTATCTGCTACACAAATACATTCTTCCTTTTTAAAAACACATCGGCAACTTTCAATTTCCTGAACAAGTGTAGAAGGGAAATTTAAACTGATTTTAGTTATCTGACTTTTAAAAAAGGAAAGTGTAATAACAGGACCTGGATTAATTTGGGCTAAATAGCTGAAGGGAGGCCGGCAGATCTGGGATTCCTTGCAGAATCCATGTTACTGATGTTGCTGACCCCTGATGCGCAGATATTTGTCAGATAGTTATAACTGTATACAAAACCTGAAGACATTGGGAGCTTTTCGTGGCCTTTTCTAACTCGATTGAACACAGATTCCTATTTATAGTAGCCCTGTTCTTGCTTATGGTCATAATAATATTGGCAAATAATTAAAACTATAAGCCAAGTACTGCAGACCTTAACAATAATAGTGAACTTCCTCTTTCTCTTCCTCTTTCTTTCTCTCCTTTACTTATTTTTTTTTCTTTCCTTCTCTCAAAAAAAAAAATAATAATAATAATAGTGAAATAGTCCTACTTTTTTTAGAATTTCAAATTGTTTTGACATGGAATGGAATACTCAGCCTTGTTTTATATACATATCCTACTTGCCTACCAATAACACTTTATATTTTGTTCATGTGCTTTTGTTCTGTGTTTACCAACATCAAAATCTTAGCTGGGTAACTAGCTCAATAATACTGCCCTTAGGAAGATGTACAGAAATGGGGAGAGAGTAGTGGGAGAAGCAGTGCCTGCTTTGTGCCAGGTGTTTTTACAGCTGTTATCCCACATAATTCACTGAAAGATTAGGTGAGATCAGGATAATAATTCCCAAATCATAAATTCAATAAACAGAGACCCAGGGATGTTCAGTACTTGTCCCAGGTCACAGGCTTTGGCCAGAGCCTGTGTTGCCACCTCGTTTCTCAGGCTCTGCAACTCCAGCTCTGCTCCTTACAGACTGTTGACCATTGAGGCCACTGTTATAATACTCTTACCCATGGGAACTCATAAACAACAGACAAAATGGATCATTTTACATGCCTAACAAACATAAAGCCATGCCCTTTCTAGGCACAACAGCTAGATTATTTGAAAATTGATGACCCCTAAACTTTGGTATCTAGATTTAAAAGAGAATGAAATGGAATATAGGAACTTACTAATATAGATACTTACCTTAAAAGAGATTTCAAAATGTATTATTTTTGCTTGCTATATAGGGCAAGAATATGTAGGTATCTTGGCCAGGTGTGGTGGTTCACACTTAGAATCCTAGCACTTTGGGAGGCCAAAGTGGGCAGATCATGTGAGGTCAGGAGTTCGAGACCAGCCTAGCCAACATGGTGAAACCCTGTTTCTTTCTAAATAATAATACAAAAATTAGCCGGGCACTGTGGCATGTGCCTGTAATCCCAGCTACTGGGAGGCTGAGGCATGAGAATCACTTGAACCTGTGAGGCGGTGGTTGCGGTGAGCCAGGATTGCACCACTGCACTCCAGTCTGTGCAACAGAGCAAGACTCTGTCTCAGTAAGTGAATAAATAAATAAGAATATGTAGGTATCTTATCTCAAAAACTGTCAGTAGAATGCCCTTCATAAAAGGGATTGTGCTTAGCCAGCTCTCTAAATCAAAGGGAAGATAGTTCAGTGTAAGGAAAGGTAGAGAAGATCATAGTTTAAAAAATGCACTAATTACAATGATAAAAACACATTTGTGAGTCTCAGAGATGAATAACTTCTCAGAATTTTTAAATGGTGAGTCCATGGTTCAGTTTAAGTTTGCTGTCATATAGTCATCCAACAAATAATTAGTAAACAGCTTCTGTGTACTGATGCACAGTGCTGTGACAGTATATGACCTAAGTTCTTAAATTTTGCACTTACGCTGCTTATCATCTAGCATAGGAAGAGTGATGACCACATGCCACAGTATGTGGTAGGTGCAGGTTGGGCGTTTCAGATTCAGAACCAGCCCAGTGCACTCAGGAAAAGCACTGTTCAAGAAGGAGTATTCAGGCTGAGCCCTGATGAGGATGGATAACTTCAGTTCAGTTTTAACTCACAACCTACGTCTTATACCTACAGGCAACGTTACCACTGACCCACAATGTGGATCTGCAGTGGTTGGTGGAATGGAACGCAGTCCTGGTCAATAGCCATTATGATGTGAAGAGCCCTTCCCATGTCTGGATATTCGCACAGTCTGTCAAAGACCCCTGGGTGCTCTGCCTCTTCAGCTTCCTCCGGCAGGAGAACTTGCCCAAGCACTGCCCCACAGCCCTCAGCTATGCCTGGCCTTATGCCTTCACTCGGCTCCAGTCGGTGATGCCTCTGGTGGACCCAAAGTAAGGGAGCCTCGTGTTTTCCTCTGTTTTTCATTTTTCCATTTGCCCTCTGACATTTTCCTTTTGTACAAGAGATTAGGATGTTATCATCCCAATTGCTGAACTTCCTACTAGAGACTTCTTAACATTAAGTAAAAACATTTAAAATTTTTTGTCTAAAGCCAATAGGTTTTTTGCCTTAATAATCAATATGATTGTCTAATCAATAATCAATATGATTTTCTAATCATAATTTCAGACTTTTAATGGTAAAAGATACTTTCAAGTTCTTTGTTCGACTTCTCATTCAATGAGATACTGTTTGAATAACATCCTTAATCGACAGTTGTTCAACTCTATTTGAGTACTTCCTATGATCTTTATTTAATAAGTGATATTTAAAATCCAGAACTTAGTTTCACTGTTGTTTTTGACTCCATATTTCTAGTAGCCCAATTAATGCCAAGAAAACCAGCACTGCCGGCAGCGGAGACAACTATGTTACTTTGTGGAGAAATTACCTAATTCTTTGTTTTGGAGTTGCAAAACCCAGTATCATGAGCCCAGGACACTTGAGAGCCTCCACTCCAGAAATAATGGCAACCACACCTGATGGTACAGTGAGCTACGATAACAAGGTGACATGACATGCTTCAGAAGAATTATTCTGTAAGGTTTTTTTTTAGCTTGTTTGTCTAGAGTTCACAGTGCAAATTGCACTGTGCCTGCCATCTGGAGTATTATGGGATCAGATTTTCATCCTACACATTTCTAAATTCCATTGAGTGTTTATATGAATAATTTATTACTCCTCCCTGACAAATAGGGAACCAAAGATAAAGAAAAGTTGAGAAACTTGCTTAAGACCAGAGAATGACTTGTACTTATTCGTGCCGTGAGGTTTCACTTGTGTCCTACAACACCACATTTGCCTTACTCCTCACCGAGTATTCACCTTTAAATCATGCCTTGATTAATAAATTACCTTATTAGTGATAGCTTTGTAGATTTAAATGATTTTAAAAAGAAGCCCATTATTAAAAAATTTCTTTAGAATTTGTGTTCAAGGTGAGAATTGCATTCATTTTGCTGTATTAAATTTGTGGGACTGTGTGTGTGTGTGTGAGTGTGTGTGTGTGTGTTTCCTGAAATGATGGCAGTGCCTTGGGATGTGTTTCAGTACTTTGAAACTGTTATAATGGAATCATCCTTTGATTAAAGGAACCATCAGTTAGCATGTTACCTCTTTTTCACTTTTATTCAACTTGTTTCAGGCCATAGGCACCCCATCGGTGGGAGTTCTGTTAAAGCAGTTGGTGCCTTTGATGAGACTAGAGAGCATTGAGATCACAGAGTCCTTAGTTTTAGGATTTGGAAGAACAAATTCCCTTGTTTTCAGGTACAGTAGTCTTAATGAGTTGTTCTAAATTCATACATGCTACTGCTATCATAGTTCCTTTATTAACTCAAATTTGAGTCTGCATGTTGGTGTGTGCTTATAGGCTTTGTGTGGCTCCCACTACATTGTCTTGGTTGATGTGCATGTAACAAGCATTCCTTGCCACTGCCTCACCTGTCACTTTGAATCATTGCAACTTTGATTTTACCTCTCAGATTTTATTTTACCGGCAAGCTTTGTTTTAGACAACTATAAATAAAGGTAGTTCAGTAGCAATCTCAGTTAGCCAGACTGTTCAGAGGCTATCAGGTCAAAATAATAACAGTTAGCTCGTCAGCCATTTACCCAACAGACTCTCAAAGGTTAAGCATTGATAAAACCCCTTTCAATGTGTTTAGTTGCATTGGTTGTTGGTTGATCTTTCTTTCTTTCTCTCTTTCTTTCTTTCTTTCTTTCTTGTTCTTTCTTTTTTCTTTCTTTCTTTCTTTCTTTTTCTTTCTTTCTTTCTCCCTTCCTTCCTTCCTTCCTTCTTTTCTTTTTCTTTTCTTTTCTTTTCTTTTCTTTTCTTTTCTTTTCTTTTCTTTTCTTTTCTTTTCTTTCAACAGAGTCTTGCTCTGTGGCCCAGGTTGGAGTACAGTGGTGCAATCTTGGCTCACTGAAACCTCTGCCTCCCACATTCAAGCAATTCTTTCTCAGCCTCCCAAGTAGCTGGGACTACAGGCCTGTGCCACCACGTCTGGCTAATGTTTACATTTTTAGTAGAGACAGGGTTTCACCATGTTGGCCAGGCTGTTCTCAAACTTCTGACCTCAAGTGATCTGCCCACCTCACCCTCCCAAAGTGCTGGGATTACAGGCGTGAGCCAGTGTGCCCAGACTGGTTGATCTTTCCATAGGGCACTTTCTTTGCCTTAATATAACCATGTGCCTGCTTTCTGGATTCCTTACTTATTCACATTTGCAATGAAATAACCATTCCATCTGAAGCACTGTCAAAGCCTTTGAAAGAGACATTGTAAAATTTTAGTTTGGGTTGCCTCTGATGACTTTAGCTAAGCAACAAAAGCCTGTAAGGACAAAAACAATCTCAAACAAAATTTCCCGTGTAGATAGAAATGAGAAACTTCCAAGCATCTGTGAGAAACTATACTTGAAAAATAAAGATTAATAAGATATTTTAGAGGCTACTGAAAAAGATCTAAGTTATTCATGTTTAAAGTCAGATTTTCTTCTTCTTTTTTCCTCTCTCTTTTTGAGACGGAGTCTGCTCTGTCGCCAGGCTGGAGTACAGTGGTGCAGTCTCGGCTCACTGCAACCTCCGCCTCCCTAGTTCAAGCTATTCTCCTGCCTCCCTAGTTCAAGCAATTCTCCTGCCTCAGCCTCCCAAATAGCTGGGACTACAGGTGTGAGCCACTACACCCAGTGAATTTTTGTATTTTTAGTAGAGATGGGGTTTTCCCTAGTCGGCCACAATGGTCTTGATCTCTTGACCTTGTGATCCACCTGACTTGGCCTCCCAAAGTTCTGGGATTACAGGCCTAAGCCACTGCGCCCATCCCAGATTTTATTCTTAAAAGAAGTAATTTTGGGTTCTGACTGTATGGGTGCCAGTTAACCAGAGGTTTACCAGTTATTGGTTAATTAGTTAAGAAAAAATATCATATAGAAATACAAGGAGGCTGGTCGTGGTGGCTCATGCCTATAGTCTCCGCACTTTGGGAGGCCAAGATGGGTAGATCACGAGGTTAAGAGATCGAGACCATCCTGGTCAACATGGTGAAATCCTGTCTCTACTAAAAATACAAAAATTAGCTGGGCATGGTGGCGTGCACCTGTAGTCCCAGCTACTTGGGTAGCTGAGGCAGGAGAATTGCTTGAACCCAGGAGGCAAAGGTTGTGGTGAGCCGAGATCACGCCATTGCACTCCAGCCTGGGTAACAAGAGCGAAACTCCGTCTCAGAAAAAAAAAGAAAAAGAAATACAAGGAGATGGCCAGGTGTGGTGGCTCACACCTGTAATCCCAGCACTTTGGGAGACAGAGGCTGGCAGATCCCAAGGTCAGGAGTTTGCAACCAGCCTGGGCAGCATGGTGAAACCCCATCTCTACTAAAAATACAAAAATTAGCCAGGTGTGGTGGTGTGCACCTATAGTCCCAGCTACTCGGGAGGCTGAGGAAAGAGAATCACCTGAACCCTGGAGGCAGACATTGCAGTGAGCCAAGATGGTGTCACTGCACTCCAGCCTGGGTTACAGTATGAGACTCTGTCTCAAAAAAAAACAAAAACAAAAAAAAACAGAAAAGCAAAAGAAATACAAGAAGATAACATAACAATCCCTGAATTTACCTAACATTCTATCCCAAAGAATCTTAAGATTGTTTGATGTATATTGACCTGGAAGTATTCCTAGAGGCAGGTAAGATTATGCAACCAACTAGCTTCATCTGGAAAACTTAATGTCTCTGAGCCTCAGTTTTCTCAGCTATAAAATTGGCATAATAAATAAAAATCAAGAAGTTTATCTAATTTTTTAATGTCAGTATAATTATAGAATCCATCTCATACATTTATTGAGAAAACATATTAAATGTGAATATTTACATAATAAATATTTGTTAAATGGTAGCTGTTAAGTGAAGACTATCGATGTTATTCCCATTTCTTCGATGAAGAAATTCTAATATCTGCATTGGAAAAATCAGGAATAGAACCCATGCTTTCTGTCACTCAGTGCAGAAGGTCATAGAGTTTACCTTCCTGTTTTTGGATTTTCCTAGCTGGTGATATTTAATAGCATGAAATATCCCACCAGAAAGTACAAGGTTTTCAAGCTTGGGCATACTATAGACAAAATGCCTACATACTAGTGTGACAACAAGCAAAATCTTATCTTTTTCTGTGTTTTGACCTAGCAATTCAGAAGTTATTTCTTGAAGAAGAGAACTAATTAGATTAGAAAGTATAAAGTTGAGAACTGGAGATAATCAGGACAAAGATATATATTAATGTGATCAAGACATATTTTTACTACATAAAAGAAAAGGTCGCACGATTTTAGTACTTGCTATACGGAATTTTTAATTTATTATATAGTGTAAACAAAGGAATTTAGGCCAGGCACGGTGGCTCACACCTGTAATCCCAACACTTTGGGAGGCTGAGGCGGGTGGATCACGAGGTCAGGAGATGGAGACCAGCCTGGCCAGCATGGTGAAACCCCATCTCTTACTAAAAATACAAAAAATTAACCTGGCATGGTGGCGGGTGCCTGTAATCCCAGCTACTTGGGAGGCTAAGGCGGGAGAATTGCTTGAACCTGGAAGGTGGAGGTTGTAGTGAGCCAAGACTGCACCACTGCAATCCAGCCTGGGCGACAGAGCGAGACTCCGTCTCAAAAATAAATAAATTAATTAATTAATTAATTTTTTAAAAAAGGAATTTAGCTCTGAAATCCAAAAAGGCTTTGTTTTTAAAGTCAACTACAAGTCAGCCTCCTCAGCTGTGCAGTGCCATGGTAATTGCACCCATCTCTTTTCCTCTAATTAGACTGAAAATTTCTTGTGTGCTGGGGCTCAGTTTTATTTATCTTCAGCACCAAAGCTTGTAGTAAAGTATTTGAATTTAACAAACACTTGGAAAATGTTGTTTAATTGTTCACATAAGGGTTTGGTGTTTTTTTGTTTGTTTGTTTGTTTGTTTTGGTTTTTTTGGCCATAGAGATCTCCAGAACATTAAATCAAAATCAAGTCAACAAATAGATATTGAGCCAAAATTATATGCAATTTTGTAAGAGCAGTAATACAAAGTATAGGCCAATATCTGTTTCTAGTTTACCATGAGTGGGAAATGGAGAGGTCAGGGAGATTGTGATGTTAGAAGCAAAGTGCAAAAAGCGAGTGACTTGGGATGTAATGGATGCGGAATATTTAGTGGCAAGTTTGGTGTCAAAAGCAATGAATTTCAAATGTGACCTGTTTTCTCCATAGAGAATTGGTAGAAGAACTTCATCCATTAATGAAAGAAGCTCTGGAAAGAAGACCAGAGGTAAGATTTTGAATTTAAATAATTGAAGCTTGATTTATTTGGCCAATCATCTGAATTTAAATCAAACCCAGTGGTTTCCCCTTAAAAAAAAAAAAAGCACCCAGCAAGCTTTTAACAATGAATCTTAATATTTTAACTTTTTTGTTTGTGTTATTTTTCAGGTTTCATTAAGTATTTAGTATAATGCAGTCCATAGATTTTACATCCTAAACATATAAATGCAAAACTACTTAAAATAGTCATATACATCAAATGATTACATTCTTTTGCAGGAGGTTTGTGATTGAATTTTGTTTTTTTTGTGTGTTTGCTTGTTTTTTTTTTTCAAGGAGTTGGATGGCCAAGAATGTAATTTGTCTCATCTGGCATATGAGGCATTTTCCCCAGCATCCCCTTCCCTGCAGGGAATTCGGAAAAGGATGAGCTTATAATGTACCAGGATAAAAATAATAGTAAGCCTAGAAAAGAAAGCTTCCCATGTAGTAGCAACGATACAAGAAATAGCAGAAATTAGGTTCGGTGCAGTAGCTTGTGCCTGTAATCCAGCACTGTGGGAGGCCAAGGTGGAAGGATTACTTGAGGCTAAGAGTCTGAGACCAGGCTGGGTATATAGCAAGACCTATGTCCACAAAACATTTTTAAAACTAGCCACATATGGTGATGCGTGTCTGTAGTCCCAGATACTCAAGCAGCTGAGGCAGAAGGATCCTTGAGCCTGGGAGTTTGAGGTTTTAATAAGCTGAGCTCACACCACTGCACTCCAGCCTGGGTGACATGGTAAGAACCTGCTTCAAAAATAAATTAGTAAATAAAATGCAAAAATAACAAATTCAGCAGTGTGAATAAGAACTAACAGTGTTACTTCCATTACCAGAATTGGGATTATTTCATGCCCTGCGTCTTTCACTGGTTTCAGATGCTTCTGCCTTTCAGCAGACACTGGGAACATCTGGGAAATGAGGCTTGTTGGTTCTCAACATTTCCACCTAATATTTACTGACCCACTTAGGATGTGTTTCTCTTACAGCCTGTAGATAGCAAGCATGTACTCTGAGGGTTAGGAAGAAAGAAGAATATATTCTGACCTCTCTGCTTAGAAAATTGAAAATGACCAGTGTATGTCTTTCGTTAATACCATTTTCTTTCTTTCTTTATTTTTGAGACAGTCTCGCTCTGTGGCCCAGGCTGGACTACAGTGGCACAATCTCAACTCACTGCAACCTCTGCCTCCAGGGTTCATGCAATTCTCCCGCTTCAGTCTCCTGAGTAGCTGGGACTACAGTTGCATGCCACCATGCCCAGCTAATTTTTTGTTTTTGTTTTTTTAGAGATGGGGTTTTACCGTGTTAGCCAGGATGATCTCAATCTCTTCACCATGTGATCCTCCTGCCTGGGCCTCCCAAAGTGCTGGGATTACAGGCATGAGCCACTGTGCCCAAATATCATTTGCTAAAGCAAAGTTAATATTATTTTGCCTGTGTCTCTAAGTAGTACTACTTCTTTCTACACAGAACAAGAAACGCCGAGAACGGCGAGACTTGTTAAGGCTACAACTGCTTCGAATTTTCGAACTTCTGGCTGATGCTGCTGTAATAAGTGACAGGTAGGGTCAGAATTCTGTCGCGTTGCTTTCTTCTCACCAAACTGGTCTTCTTGTCTTTCTGTCTCTCTCTTTTCTTCTTTTCTTTGTTTTTAAATATAATACCCTTAACTTAGAAAAATCCAAAAAGCTCGCCTTTTCTTTTTTCGTATCTTCTTTACCCTCTATGTAGGTTAGGAACAACTTTAGTGTGTGAGTTGTAACAGTGAATCTTAGTTTTCGTGAAGCCTGTATTACTTGGACATAAGGACTGATCATCTAAAAGTTTCATTTTCCTTTATTCCAGCACAAATGGAGCCTTAGAGCGGGATACTTTAGCCCTGGGAGCTTTGTTCTTAGAATATGTGGACTTGACCCGCATGCTCCTAGAAGCTGAAAATGACAAAGAAGTTGAAATTCTTAAAGATATCCGGGCACATTTTAGTGCAATGGTTGCCAACTTGATTCAGTGTGTTCCAGGTACAGTGATCCATTACAAGAAATTGCCATTCATGCTTGGAAGCCCCTTTGTGTTCTTCATTACCTTGCTTTCCTCTTTAATCCTGCTGGCCTTTAAGCAGGATTAGAATGGGATCCTTTATTTATTTTGAGATACTTGGACATATACATGAGAACAGATTGTCATTACTCAGCACAGAGTTGGAAAAGGAATGATAAGTATTACATTTGGCTTTGTGTGTGTCATTTCTATTCTTTGTTTTGCTTTTTATCTGAAAATGAACTGATGTGATTTCCACAGGAAGGAAGTAATTCAGAGAGAACATTCACAGAGCCTTTTTGTTTTTTCACATAGTCTCTGTGAAAGACAATGTGAAATGTCGCTATTTTTTTCACACAATCTCTGAACAGGTACTTCCAGCAATATTCCGTCTCTCTGATTCTACCCTACCAGCACATTAAATGTAATTCTATAAGGCTTAAGACACTGTACATTTGATTTAAGTATTATATTATGGAGAAAATTACCTTTCACAGAGCAAATGGGTATGAAACATTTTCATTCTAATAGAACATAGAGGCAGGGTGCGGTGGCTCACGCCTATATTCCCAGCACTTTGGGAGGCTGAGGCAAGGGGATAACAAGATCAGGAGTTCGAGACCATCCTGGCCAACATGGTAAAACCTGTCTCTACTGAAAATACAAAAATTAGCTGGGCCTGGTGGTGGGTACCTGTAATCCCAGCTACTGACAAGGCTGACACAGGAGAGTCATTTGAACCCAGGAGGTGGAGGTTGCAGTGAGCCAAGATTACATCATTGCACTCCAGCCTGGGTGACAGGGCGAGACTCCATCTCAAAAAAAAAAAAATACACACACACACACACACACACACACACACTCATAACATAGAAAATAAAATAACTGGTTAGTTTGCCATAAAAGTTATTCTATATCCAGTCTATCATTTATGGGCATTTGGGTTGGTTCCAGGTCTTTGCTATTGTAAGCAGTGCTGCAGTGAACATACATGTGCATGTGTCTTTATAATAGAACAATTTATAATTTTTTGGGAATATACTCAGTAATGGGATTGCTGGGTCAAATTGAATTTCTGTTTCTAGATCCTTGAGGAATCACGACACTGTCTTCCACAATGGTTGAACTAATTTACACTCCCACCAACACTGTATAGCGTTCCTCTTTCTCCACATCCTCTCCAGCATCTGTCTCCAGATTTTCTTTTTAGACAGAGTCTCACTCTGACACCAGGCTGAAGTGCAGTGGGGCAGTCTCAGCTCACTGCAACCTCTGCCTCCCTGTTCAAGTGGTTCTTCCGCCTCAGCCTCCCAAGAAACTGAGACTACAGGTACATTCCACCATGCTCAGCTGATTTTTGTATTTTTTAATAGAGACGGGGTTTCACCATGTTGGTCAGGATGGTTTCCATCTCTTGACCTTGTGATCTGCCCACGTTAGCCTCTCAAAGTGCTGGGATTACAGGCATGAGCCACCGTACCCAGCCATCTCCAGATTTTTTAATTATCATCATTCTAACTGGTGTGAGATGGTATCTCAATGTGGTTTTGATTTGCATTTCTCTAATGACCAGTGATGATGAGCATTTTTTCATATGTTTATTGGCTGCATAAATGTCCTCTTTTGAAAAGTGTCTGTTCATATCCTTTGCCCACTTTTTGATGGGGTTGTTTGTTTTCTTCTTATAAATTTGTTTTAGTTCTTTGTAGATTCTGGATATTAGCACTATGTCAGATGAGTAGATTGCAAAAATTTTTTCCCGTTCTGTTGGTTGCTGGTTCACTCTAATGATTGTTCCTTTTGCTGTGCAGAAGCTCTTAAGTTTAATTAGATCCCATTTGTCTATTTTGGCTTTTGTTGCCATTGCTTTTGGTGTTTTAGTCATGAAGTCCTTGCCAATGCCTATATCCTTAATGGTATTGCCTAGGTTTTCTTCTAGGGTTTTTATGGTATAAGGTCTTATGTTTAAATCTTTAATCCATCTAGAGTTAATTTTTGTATAAGGTGTAAGGAAGGAGTCTAGTTGCGGCACATATACACCATGGAATACTATGCAGCCATAAAAAAGATGAGTTCATGTCCTTTGCAGGGACATGGATGAATCTGGAAACCATTATTCTCAGCAAACTGATACAAGAACAGAAAACGAAACACTGCATGTTCTCACTCATAAGTGGATGTTGAACAATGAGAAAACATGGACACAGAGAGGGGAACATCACACACTGGGGCCTGTTGAGGGGTTGGGGGGCTAGGGGAGGGATAGCAGATGGTGGGGGGATTGGGGAGGGATAACATTAGGAGAAATACCTAATGTAGGTGCTGGGGGGATGGATGCAGCAAACCACCATGGCATGTGTATATCTATGTAAAAATCCTGCACGACCTGCACATGTAGCCCAGAACTTAAAGTATAATAAAAAAATTATTCCAATTAAAAATTTTGGTATTATTACAGAAAGCCCCTTCTCAACTAAAGTTTCTGCTTTTCACTATTTTGGTGTTAGTAACCTTCTTACCAATCCTCCTCATCTTCAGTGACCCTAAATTAAGATTTCCATTGACTTCTTCAGTTAAAGTGAAGTACCTATGTGAGTTTGAAATAGCCAATATATGCTATTTCTGAGTTTTCTTAAAGATGGGCAACAGACAAAAAATGTTTGATATGTAAGCAGCAGCTGAGTCAGAAGAGTTGCAGTTTTTCCAGGGTATTGATTAGAAAAAAATCTCTGCAGGTCCTATTTTTTATCTTTCTTTCCCACTCTTGAGTCAAGGTGCTGCTGGCTGCAACATGAGAATAGGAAGTATGCACACTTAGAAAGAAAATGTGGCTTGACTTTTTAAGTGCATGTTTCATTGCCTAAAGAAAACTAGTTAAAAAATGAAGTGGTTTCTTTCCTCAAAATGTAAGAAATATATATAATTGCAATCTAGAGTATATCCAGTCTTGTAACCTCTAAGTGTGTTTTTCTCTCTAGTTCACCACCGAAGATTTCTCTTCCCCCAGCAAAGCCTGAGGCACCATCTTTTCATCTTATTCAGCCAGTGGGCAGGACCCTTCAGCATTATGTTCACTCCTCTGGATCGTTACAGTGACAGAAATCATCAAATTACAAGATATCAGTATTGTGCATTAAAAGTAGGTCACATTGTACTCACAAATGACGTTTGTCAGATGGATGGTCTCTTTCATTAAACCAATAAAATAAAATAGGCTGGGCACGGTGGCTCAAGCCTGTAATCCCAGCACTTTGGGAGGCTGAGGCGGGCGGATCACGAGGTCAACAGATCGAGACCATCCTGGTCAACATGGTGAAACCCCATCTCTACTAAAAATACAAAAAAATTAGCTGGGCATGGTGGCGCGTGCCTGTAATCCCAGCTACTCAGGAGGCTGAGGCAGGAAAATTGCCTGAACCCAGGAGGCGGAGGTTGCGGTGAACCGAGATCGCGCCATTGCACTCCAGCCTGGGTAACAAGCGAAACTCCGTCTCAAAAAAAAATTAAATTAAAAATAAGCTTAAAATAAATAATAGAATAGAATACAGTAGAGCAGAATAGGATAGGATAGGATAGGAGCACACATACAAAAAAATCACATGGACACACACCTACGTAGCTTTTCTAAGCTCCCACTTTCTTCTCATATTTCTCCTATATGAGAACCATATATTTTTGCTCATTTACCTGTTATGTAGCTGCCTTGTTAATTAACTTTCAACCTAAAAAAGAAAAAAAATAGACATCACCTCAAGTTCAAAATCTACCCAGAGCCACATTCCCTTTTTAATCTCCTTCTATCCTAGAAGATTGCCAGAAATAAATTTGCACCCTACTAGGACTATTCAAAGTCTTCAGAAGCATGACTCCTTTACAGCCTAATTTCCTTCAGAAAACTGTTCATCAGCTCTGTCATATAGAACATAAGTTGCTGACTCTCGGGTTGACTTTGCCTCAGTGGAGCTAATTTAAACTATGGCTCTGATAGTTGGACCTGCCAATTACAAAGTATTCAAGCTCTCCTATTATCAAACTTTTTCTTGATTTCTCCCTCTCCCCATCTCTTTAGAGGAACTGAAGTTTATATTTTTCATTTTATTTACCTTTGATTAAGGATTATAATTATTTTTTTCATGTGTTTCATACTGTCTCAGTTCAATACATTAGTCCAATATTTGTCATAAAACCAAATCTGAAAAGCTGTATTTATCTTATAAGCAGAATTCACCCGAAACATTGAAGGAAAGCTTATTTTTAATATTGCAAAATGGTTTTTTTGGTTTTTAATACTTACTCTGATCATAAAGAGTTGTTACAATTATAAAATTAAATGTCCACAGAGATAAATTTATGGGTTTTTAATTCTTATAAAAAGAGCCAAATTCAGAATCGTGTATTTTTTATTAAATCTGCTAAAGAATGCTTTAAAATCTTGGGGGAATAAATGTCTTTAGAGGGCCGTGGTCATTTATAAATCTGACAGTTACATTTTATAGAGTCAGTTGGATACCATTAGATCATTCCAAGTTTCATTTCCATGTTTTGTTGTGTTTTGATCACCAGGCAATGTCAGCAGTACTTTGCTGTGGCCCTGTCTTCGACAATGTGGGCCTTTCCCCAGATGGCTACCTATATAAGTGGCTTGACAACATTCTGGCTTGTCAAGATTTACGAGTAAGTATAAGCAAAAATACATTGTTTTTAAATGTCTTCTATGTTCTGCCTCCCTCGGTTGAGTTACTGAGATGCATAAGCATTGTTCACAGTACCATCTCGGCACACGTCAGCCACACAAGAATAGATTTATGTGTCGTTCACTTCGTACTATGATACATCAAGATAAAAAAGACAGTAACATTTGTCAAAATTGACCGTAAGCTGGGTCATAAAGCAAGTCTCAACAGAGGTCACATTAATGAAATGATACAGACTCTATTCTCTAATCAGAGTAGCATTAATTAGTATTCAATTCAGTAACAAAAAGATAATTTTAAAAAATACTTCCAGATAACCAGTGAGTTACAGAAGAAATTATTATGGAAACTGGAAAATATTTTTAACTGAATAATAATAAAAATACTGTATACTAAACTTGTTGGCTGTAAGTAAAGCCTTTTTTAGAATGAAATGCATAGCCTTAAACACATATACAAGGAGACTTCAAAACGATTTGTGGAAGAATAGAATTAAAAGATAAAAATTTTAAAAATATGAATTTATTTTTTAACATCAGCTCCATTAAGGTCAAGACATTTTTCTAAGTCTTTGCTTAATCCATGCCTAAAGAACTGAGGGTCCTGGGAACTTCCATGCCAGTGCCACCATCTTTACATTATTAACTGAGGAAAACTGGGTGGCTTTTAAATACGTTTTTAAGATTGGGAAACAAAAAGAAGTCAGAAGGAGCCAAATCAAGATTGTAAGGTGGATTCCTAATGATTTCCCATCGAAACTCAAGCAAAATTGCCCTCGTTTAATGAGAGGAATGAGCAGGAGCATTGTCATCGTGAAAAACGACTTTCTGCTGAAGCTCTCCCAGGCATTTTTCTGCTAAAGCTTTGGCTAACTTCCTCAAAATACTCTCAGAATAAGCAGATGTTATTGTTCTATAGCCTTCCAGAAAGTCCATCAGCAGAGTTCCTTGAGCACCCCAAAAATCTGTTGCCATGACCTTTGCTCTTGCCTAGTCCACTTTTGCTTTGGCTGGACCACTTCCATCTCTTGGTAGCCATTGTTTATATTGTGCTTTGTTTCTAGGATAGTACTGGTAAAGCCATGTTCCATCTCCTGTTACAATTCTTTGAAGATCTATATAATCTTAATTCCATTTGTTGAAAGTTTTCATTGAAAGCTCTGCTTGTCTACTGCTGATCCGTTTTGGCTCCTGTTCCATGGAACATTTGCTAAAGTTTTAATTTTTCAGTCAGAATTGTATAAGCTGAACCAATTGAGATGTCTTTTGTTTTGGTTATTGTGTCTGCTGTTATTGTCAGTCCTCTTTAATTAGGGCACAAACAAAATGAATTTTTTCCTCACAAATTGGTATGGATGGTCTACCACTGTGGGCGTCACCTTCAGCATCATCTTAAAACAGGTTATCTATTTGTAAACTGCTAATTTCTTTGGGAGAATTGCCCCTATAAATTTTTTGTAGAGCAACAATGATTTCACCATTCTTCCACCCAAGCTTCACTACAAATTTGATGTTTGTACTTGCTTCAGTTTCAGCAGAATTCATGTTACTCTGATAGGGGCCCTTTTCAAACTGATGTGTTCTCGTTCTTAGTGCCTCAAAATAAATTCTGTTCAGACATGTTTTAACAAGTTAGTACAAGTTTATTTTGGTGTAAAAAAATTTTTTAATCCATACATAATTTTTTCACAATGTACATTTTCCATGAACTTTTGAGGACCCTCATTTTAAAAAGAGGTACAGCTGATAATCAGTGACCTAAGGACCCCTCAGAAGAAGTTAGAAAAAGAATAAAATATCAAACTCGAAAACAGTACTATGAAGGAAATAATAGAAATAAGAGCAGAAAATAATTAAAGAGAAACAGATTAATAGTAATGATTAAATGAAAAGTTGAATTTGTTACAATACTAAAAAATTTCATAAATCCATAGCAAGTTCAATCAAGAAAGAGAATGAATTTTTTTTTTTTTTTTTTTTTTTTTTGGTGTCGGATTCTCGCACTGTTGCCCTGGCTGGAGTACAGTGGCGTGATCTGGGATTACAGGTGCCTACTACCACACCTGGCTAATTTTTTGTATTTTTAGTAGATACAGGGTTTCACTACATTGGCCAGGCTGGTCTCAAATGCCTGACCTCGTGATCCATCCACCTTGGCCTCCCAAAGTGCTGGGATTATAGGCGTGAGCCACCATTCCTGGCCGAAAGTGACTTTCTTTAAAAGTGTTAAAAAAAGAAAACTTTAAAACCAGATGGTTTTGCTAATGAATTCTACCAAAGATTTAAAGAACAAATTGCATGGATTCAATGCAAATTCTTAAAGAGAAAACAGCTGAAGAGGAAATATGTCCTAGTACATTTTTTGAAACCAGAATAACCTTGATAATAAAACAAGAAAAGGTTGTAGCAAGAAAGAAAATTAAAAGGCAGTCTCATTCATGAGATTTTCTCTAATACATAGATACAAACTTTAAATAAAATATTTAAAAATTGAATTTAGTAGTATAGAAAAAAGATGATTCACCATGGTCAAATTGGATTTATTCAAGAACTGCAAAGTTGGTTAATATTCAAATGTCTGTCAGTTCATTTATATATTAACTATATTCACAGAAATTTAAAAAAGGAAATACATGATCTCAGATGCAAGAAAAGCATTTGATAAAGTTCTGCATTTATTCATGAGGAAAAACTCCTAGCAAAGCTACAAATAGAAAAGAACATCCTTAGTTTAACAAAAAGCACCTTGAAAAAAAACACCCTATACCAAACACCATATTTAATAGTTAATTTGAAAGTATTCTTTCCGAGATTAAAGTGACCAAGGAAGCGTACTTTCACCACCTCTGTCAGCATCATACTGGAGATCCTATCCAATGCAGAAGGAAAGAGGAGATTGTAAAGAATAAAACTCATTGTTCACAGGTGACACAATTGTGAGTATAGGAAATTCCAATGAGTCTTTAGATAAAGTGTTGGAATTAATCAGTGAATTTAGCATGGTTGCCGTATGAAAGGTCAAAATGAAAAATCAACTATATTTTAGTACAGCAACAATGAGGAGCTGGAAAAATAAATTTTTTATTATGCCATTTATAATAGCATTTTAAAATTAGAAATTAACATTCAATACTTAGAAATAAACCCAACAGAAATGTGCAAGGCCTCATGCATAGTAATATATAAGGCATTAATAAGAAAAATTAAACATCTAATAAATGCGAGAATATACCATGCTATTGAATTGGAAAATTCACTATTGTGAAGATGTCAGTTATCCTCCAGAATGATTTATGGAGACAAGGCAATTCCAGTCACAATCCAGGCAGGATATTTGTGACAACTGACAAGTTTCTTTTAAATACATATGTGTATATAAATGCAAAGGACCACAAATAGCTAAGAACTTTGAACAATATAAACAAAGTGAGAGGATTTACTTTAGCAGAAACCAATACTTATTATAAACTTATGGTCATTAAAAGACTGAATCAAGAATAGGTATATATACCAATGGAGTAGAATAGGGAGGCCAGAAAATTACCAAGCATTATGTATATGGACACTTGGTTTATTTCAAAGATGGCACTGCAGAGCTGTGAGAAAAAGGTTTTTTTTCTAATAAGTAATTTGGGGTCAATTGGATAGCCTTATTAAACGAAAGAAAGAAAGAAAAAGAAATTTGACCCTTTCCTTACTCTTTACAAAAATTCATTGCAGGTGGATTGTAGATATAAATGTAAGAGCTAAAATAATAGTCTTTAGAGAATAATCCAGAAGAATATCTTCATGCCTGGGGTTACAGTCAGATTTCTTGAGCAGAATGCAAACATTACTAACCCTAAGGAAGAACTAATAACTTCTGTTCACCAAAAGACACCATTGTGTGTTATAGATATCTCTCACTTTATGGCTAGCGTGAACAGGCTAGCCAAACACACAATCAGCAGAGGGTTCTTATCTAGAATATATAAATGACCCCTACAAATAAATAAGATAAATACAGACTCAATAGAAAAATGAGCAAGAAACGTAAGCAGTTCACTGACCAGTAAACATAAGAAAAGGTTTTCAACCTCATTAATAATGATGTGTCTTAGTCCTTTCAGGCAGCTATAATAAAATATCATAGATGTTTATCATAGTGGCTTATCAACAACAAATGTTTATTTCTCACAGTTTTGGAGGCCAAGAAGTCCAAGATTAAGGTGCTGGCAAATGTATGTCTGATGAGGGTTTCCTTCCTGGTTCATAGGCAGCAGTCTTTTTGCTGTGTACTCACTTGACATAAGGGATAAGGGAGCTCTCTGGGGTCTTTTTTATAAGGGCACTAATTTTATTCACAGGAGCTCCCCACCTCATGACCTAATCACCTCCTAAAGCTCCCACCTGCAAATACCACCACCTCGGGGGTTAAGATTTAAATATGAACTGGGAGTTAGGGGGATATAAAGACTTAGTCTATAGCATCAGGGAAATACAAATTAAAGCCACAGGAGACAAAATTATATACCATATAATTCCACTTATATCAACCTCAAAAATTGTCCATACTAACCAATAGTGCTAGAAGTCAGGATAGTGGTTTCTTCTGGGGAGGGAAGAGAGGCCGGTGATTAAGAGAGTGCCCACGGGAGGGTTCAGTGTAGTGCTGGTAATATTCTGGTTTTTGACCTGGTGATCGTAGGAGGGTGTTAAGATAACTCATCATATATGTATGAATTAGATACTACTTCTGTGTATTTTGTACCTCAATACAAGTTTTCTAAAGTATAATAAAAACTTGATTCTTCTCTCAAGTCTAACTTTTTAATGAAATGTTATTTTAAGTCATTTACAATATCATCAGCTTTTAATCTGCTGCTAATCACTTAAAACCAGTTGGTGGAACTAGGTTGAAGATGTTTGACCATCCAGTTAGAATATCAGTCCCACCTAGACCCAAACCCTGTGAGTGAAAAAGACAGCCTGTAATCCCAGCACTTTGGGAGGCCGAGGCGGGTGGATCACGAGGTCAAGAGATCGAGACCATCCTGGTCAACATGGTGAAACCCCGTCTCTGCTAATGATACAAAAAATTAGCTGGGCATGGTGGCGTGTGCCTGTAATCCCAGCTACTTGGGAGGCTGAGGCAGGAGAATTGCCTGAACCCAGGAGGCAGAGCTTGCGGTGAGCCGAGATCGTGCCATTGCACTCCAGCCCGGTTAACAAGAGCGAAACTCCGTCTCAAAAAAAAAAAGACAAAGACAAAGAAGCCAGAATCTTGCCTTTTCACCTGCTTGCAATTGGCAAGAAGAGTGAACAACTTGAGGAAGAGGAACCAGAATATTACTTTCTTTTTCTTTTTTTTTTTTTTTTTTTTGAGACAGTCTCACTCACTCCATTGCCCAGGCTGGAGTGCAGTGGCGCCATCTTGATTCACTGCAACCTGTGCCTCCTGGGTTCAAGCGATTCTCGTGCCTCAGCTTCTCCAGTAGCTAAGATTACAGGCACATACCACCCCTCACTCCTGGCTACTTTCTTATTTTTAATAGAAGCAGGGTTTCACCGCATTGGCCAGGCTGGTCTCAAACTCCTGACCTCAAGTGATGCACCTCGGCCTCTCAAAGTGCTGGAATTACAGATGTGAGCCACTACTCCCAGCCAAAATGTTACTTTCTTTTTTTCCTTTCTTTTTTTTTTTTTTTGAGACAGTCTCACTCTGTTGCCGGGGCTGGAGTTCAATGGTGCAATCTTGGCTCACTGCAACCTCCACCTTCCCAGGTTGATGCAATTCTCCTGCCTCAGCCTCCCGAGCAGCTAGGATTACAGGCGCCCACCATCAAGCCCAGCTAATTTTTTGTATTTTTAGTTGACACGGGGTTTCATTATGCTGGCCAGACTGGTCTCGAACTCATGACCTCGTAATCCACCTGCTTCGGCCTCCCAGAGTGTTGGGATTACAGGCGTGAGCCACCGTGCCCAGCCACAGAATGTTACTTTCTGAGGGGAAGGTAACATATGTAGCCCCTGGGCATCAGGCTTCTCCTGGACAAATGTACATATTCACTTACCATCTAGTATTTGAGAGTAGCTTCAGGAGTCATCGACTAACATCCTATTAATTCTATCTAGTGTGATTTTTTAATTAAAAAAAATCTTCAATTAGGAAAAGTCTATTGACGCTGTATTTCTTTTTGAAAGATAGGCAGCTAAGCTTCACACGGTATATTTAGTAACCAATCCTCATAATCATATTCCCTCTGATTTTTTTCTTAAGAAACTTTGTAGTAGGAATAGACATTGATACACAAGCATACTTTACATCTTGCCACTATAATTATCGCTATTCCTACTGGCATCAAAGTCTTTAGCTCCCTGGCCACTCTGCACAGTGGTAACATCAAATGATCCCCCACAATACTCTGAGCTAATACATAGAGGATATCCTTTTGTATATTGGATTTTTTTAAACCAAATACATATATTTCTCAGAAAAAACATTGCCAATAAAAGTCTTCATCCCCTTTTCTTTCTTTCTTTCTTTCTTTTTTTTTTTTTTTTTTTTTTTGAGATGGAGTTTTATTCTGTCACCCAGGCTGGAGTGCAGTGGTGCAGACTCAGCTCACTGCAACCTCAGTTCCCCAGGTTCAAGTGACTCTCCTGCCTCAGCCTCCTGAGTAGCTGAGACTACAGGCGCCCACCACCACACCCAGCTAATCTTTTGTATTTTTAGTAGGGACACGGTTTTACCATGTTGGCCAGGCTGGTCTCAAACTCCTGATCTCTGGAAATCCACCCACCTTGGCCTCCCAAAGTGCTGGGATTACAGGCTTGAGCCACCATACCCAGCCACCCTTTTCAGAGTTAAAATTGAGAGTAAGTGGACCCTATGTAACAGCCTTACATGATCAAATTTAATGTATACATGCAAGTTGCAACATTATACTCTCTTGAAGAATACTTGACATAAATTAACCAAAATGAAAGCTCAGTCTTCTCTTTCATTTTACTCAACTTATATTGGCTAAGCTCTATCTGTGTCTTTCTGTAGAATGTTCTTTTGTCAACTATGAATAATATTTATTTGCTCCATGTATTCAGGTTCATCAACTTGGCTGCGAAGTTGTGGTCTTGCTACTGGAACTTAATCCTGACCAAATAAATCTTTTTAACTGGGCAATTGACCGATGCTACACAGGTTCCTACCAACTTGCATCTGGCTGCTTCAAAGCCATAGCAACCGTGTGTGGAAGCAGGTATGAATTTTTATAAGCAGTGATGAGTGGCAAGTATATTTAGGATTATTTTTTGTGATGTGCATGATTGAGACCTGACTATTTTGCAACCGTGTGAGCAAAGTAAATTCTATGAGAATATAAAATGTTCTGTATATCCCCAGCAGGTAAATTACTCCCTGTAAGGTTGCAGTTCCATTGGTTTTTTTCATTTTATCAGGAAATGATTTGTTGTTATAGTACCTTTCTTTTTAATTGCCTGGAAATATCACAGTGAGGTATTTCAGCAGGATTTGAAATGGCAAAGAAGATACATTATAGGAATTAAAGGAATGTCTAGAAATATTTATAACAAGGGTGAACTATAGCCCTTCAGCCATCTTTACAAACAATCAAATCTAGGAAGTTGCCTGAAATTTTTAAATTCACCTTATCCAAAACTTCAGAAAGGAAGAAAAGAAAATGTGACACCAAAGTTCCATAGATTATAGTTTTAAAACCATTGCCTTTGTTGTGTAAATTAGTCATTCACTATAGCCGTTCAGTATGATTTGTGTACTGAAATAAGTTCATAGCTATGAGCAGAGGGTTAATAAAGGTTCTCCGAGTTGCAAAGCTATTCCCAAGAAAGAGCTTATATATCAGGAAAATTGAGAGAAACCAGCTCATTTATTTTTGAAAATACTCATATAGACTGTCAATTTTCCTTTTTAATTAAATGTTACACTTTAAATAGCTATCTTGAGCTACCGGATCAAGAGAATGAAAGTGAATTCGTTTTAAATTCCAATCTGTTATTGGTCTCAGTTAATAAGAACAGTATTTTGGAAGATGTCTACTTTTAATAAACCTAAAATGAGCATGCTATTTAGAGAGACAAGTTTCTCCTTAAAATTTTTATCTTTCTTTTATAAAGATAGTAGATAACATTTCATATCTAAAGCTTTCATTTTCCATAATCTTAGTAGTAGAGTTTTTATTATAGATTTTAATCTCCGTAAAAGTTAGAGAAAATGAATGTAACCTAAACTGTCTGATTTTCCATAAAGTTTTATTTTCTATTATAAGCATCACTAAAAAATATACTTTAGGACATTACCAAAAGAACATTGTTACAAAAATCTCTCCAAAATGCTTTTTTCTTAATTTTTCAGATATTTCAACATTCTAAAAATAAAGTTTTGTTCACATGACCTTTTGATTTTTAAAAATATTTTAGAATCCATGACTTGGACTTCTTTCTTTGACAAGAATAAGTTTCACCTCTTCACTGCCCTTCTCCCAGTGAACTTGGCTTGAACGATCCTAATCGAATTTATTGCATTGCATGGCCATCTCATAAAATGTCACACTGCATTTCTCTGAACAAATCTAGGTATTTTTCCTTAGGGAGCACAAATAAATGCTTAATAAATTTAGCAACATAGTCTCAATTTCAATAGTATCTCTAGTGACAAAAATATTAGGTCATAAAGTCTGCTATGTTCCAAGTATTTTTTAAGGTATCATTGTACACTATCTTGGTTTCTTAGGCAAATATTGCACATCTATTTGGATTCATGACACTCATCTATTCTGAAGGAAAGGCAGAGGGCAGGGAAACACAGTGGCTTGACCCCAACTGTCCAGATAGTGACCAGTGTTTCTGCTATTTCTCAACAAAGGGCATATTCAGAATTTCAAATTTCAGCTGTGGCCTAAATTTGCTCTTTCCCCATAAATTCTTAGCCTGTGTGGTCTAGACAAGCCTCCAGAGAGGCCTGAGCAGTCATTGTGCTTGTCTTTGCAGTACTTTTTTTCAAAAGCAATTGTGACGTTTTCAGCTATTGCTTGATTTGTCTTCTGTAAGTTTGCTTCTAAAAAGCAACTGAAGACCTTATCTTATGAAATATGTTTCTGAAAAGTCCTATGCAAACTGAATCTTATTTTAAGTTTCTCAAAAAAGTTTATCTATGCAGTAACTCCTGCAAGTCATTTTCTAAAGCAAACAATCCTTCTTGTAAAATAAATAATTATTTCCTCCTTTTCAAATAGGAATTATTATATCCTGTATTTAATTGTAGAGGAATATGACAGTTTATAAGCACATTTATTTATTAAGAAACCACTCATAATTGACTTTAAAATACCTAACAAACTGAATATTTTTAAATGCTCTTGTTGATTTAAATTTTCTACTTTAGTTTTAGAAAAGAGAATGTGGGTGAAGGGGAGGAAGGCAGCAAAACACACTGCCACGTGTGTACCTATGCAACTATCTTGCCTGTTCTGCACATGTACCCCAAAACCTAAAATGCAATAAAAAAAAAGAAAAGAGAATTTGCCACTTTTGCATAATTAATATATCAATGTTCATTAGCTGTGGCAATGGGGAAAAATGGTTCTCTACATCCTTGCTTTTGGTTACTTTTCCAGCAGTAAAGGACTGTGTGTGAGTGCGCATGCTGTGAACTTACTGTTCTCTAGTCAAAACTCTATAGCTCTGCCATGCTATGACTCTGGTGATATTAGGAGACAGAAAGTCAGAATAGAACTTGAATAGGACCAGAGGAAATGAGGATAAAGATAGAAAGTGATGGTAGAACTGGCACTATTAATTTTGCAAAATTTTTCATAAAATATGTTAATCTATTTGATTAAAGGCTATTAAATACAGCTCACTACTACAATTTAGTACAAAAAATTGCCTATTTGTCAGGCAGCTTTAGTTCAAATAACTATTTGGCTTCTGTATGTGTCCTTATTAATTTTCCCCTCACTCCAAACAAGATTAGAGTAAGATAGATAGGGAAATTGTAAAAGAAACTAAATGACTTTCCTAGGTTATAAATCCAGATAAATTGTGTATTAAGAGTGTAACCCATTTCTAATCATTAGCTTAATGTACCAGAATTCTCTTCACATTTTAATTAAAAACGTAAAAATTTCATTATTTTTACTTTTACCCTGCAGCACACTCTTAAAACATGTTGAATAGATGTTTGAGAATTGTATGTGAGAACAAAGTACAAAGTATTGATTTTTAAAGAATTTTGTTGGATTTATTTTCGGTGGTGGTTTTCGCTGGCATTGTTTGTATGTTTGTTTTTCTTTAACTTTCTATAAATCTTTCCTAATTTAAGTCAGGCCTAGCAAATTTGAATTCCTAAAAGTAAATGCCCATTTCTTCAGGTAATAACATTCATCTGTCAACAAGGAAGACGGACAAAGTTTATGATTCATAAATCCCAATCCCGCTGCCTAACTGATGATAAATAGCCTTATTTGGTTGTGTCAGCCACCTGGAGTATTTCAGGAGAGCAGAGTTGGGAAGCTGGGCTCCAGAAACATACCATCTTGGGTTTGGTCCTCACTCCACCTCTAATCAAGCTGTGTGTTCTTGAACAAGTTACTCCAGATGCCTACCCACTAGTAAAATAGGGTCAATGACAGGGTTAGAGTAATGATTAAACAAAAGCAAACTCTTGGTCTAAGGCCTGACACATGGCAAATACCCCATAAACACTGATATTCAATAGTTGTTGGAGGAGAGCAGCTGTGAAGTAATCCCCTCAATTAACTAGTGAAATCTTTCTCTTCAGAATACCTCAGAGCCATCCTGACCTTTGTCACTTAGTACTAGATAAGCCAGAGCTAGCGGGCATCTCCCAAATTCTTCAACATCTCTCTCCCAGATAGTTTTATTTCGTGTTTTCTTTTTGAGTCATATCTACCTCCCATATTTATTTTATTATTTGATTTTTATTTGGTATGATCACAGCTGTCTTTATTTATTCCTCTGCCTATGCTGAATAATTAAATACTGAAAGGTATAAGATTCCATTTCTCAGCCTGTTTTCAACATCTAAGTACAGACATTTTATTTGTACTCTTTTGCTTATTTGAAATTTCCCTCATTGTTTCTTCCTCTTGGTTTCTTTCATTTTCTGAATCTGTTATTCTTTCAATGTTATTGCTCATGAATTTTATTCAAAACATTCAACAAAAAAGTAAATGCTCTAATTACAAGGTCAAGGTCAAGTACGTGGCCTTGCCTAGTAAGAGAGAGGCTGAGGCTTTGTCTGTCCCTTTCCTGCCTTTAAATTCCCAGCAATCCAGCAATATATTTGGCATATATATAAATGTATTAGTATTAAATTCCAGTATCAGAAGACAGAGATGTAGGTAAAGTATCTCTGCTACTATAAGACTCAGAAGGGAGTTTCCTTGCTACTTTTATAGTTAGAAAGGTCTGTTCTGAGATACAGCAGTTTGTAACAATTCCAGATTACACTGGCTATGAAACACACTATTGGGGGCTGTCTAGGAGACTCAGAGCATTGTGGATAAGAGCTTGAATTGTTTGAAATCAGACTTATCTTGAACGCCTCCACCACTTCTACATGACCTGAACCAAGTACTTTTCTCTAGGCCTTGAATGCTTGCTGTGAAGATTAAATAACAATTCTAAATAAAGTTCTTGGCACAGTACCTGGCACAAAGTAAGCACATAACAACATCATTGTCACACATTTTTCAATATTATTCTTACACTAATCATCATCCTCACCATCACATGGGGGTAGTTCCCCAGTTTTTCCCATCAGACCCACCAAACTTAACACTGTGGTCAGTTGAAAATACAAGTTACAGAAAAGTAATCATTTTGAAGTGAAAATTAATAAACCTGTTTTGGAGGGGAATATAGCAGTATCTGCCAAAATTTTAAATGTGCCCTTTGACCCTGCATGACCTCTCTATGAATTTTTTTCTAAAGAAAGGCCAGCACATTTGGTGTTTGTACTACATAATGAAAAAGTGAAAACAGTCTAAATGTCTATCAAGGCATGTCAAAAGTTGGATTCCCCAGGAAATAGACTGAGATGGAGATTTGAACGCAGGGCATTTATTAGGGTGTGCCCTTGGGGTCAACATCTATGGGGAAATGAAAGAATTAGGACTGAGAAGAAAAAAGAAACCTCAGTCATTCCCACTGGGGCTGCTGCTGGGGAACAGCTATGACCTTGACCTAAGCAAACCTCTTTGAAGGCAGTTCCCAGAGAAGGCTTCAGATCCAGGATTCAGCTGCCATCAGTTCAGCTGGAGGATTGAGTGCCTCGTCCTGAAAGAAGGATCTAGATGACACACCACAGTACTCATTACAAGAGTAGTTGTTTATGATATCTTCCTAGTATGGAATATGTGGCAGCTATTAGGAAGACTGAAGTGAGCCTTATAGTTCAGGAAAATGCAGATCATCGAACAGTACAGATAGGTAGTACATTTAAACATTTATGTTTAAAACCCTTTGCATTGAAGGAGAGGGATTTTGATGAAAATGTTCATAGGTAGACTTAGAAAACAGTTGAAATATCAAAATGTTGACAATAATTGCCTCTGGTATTAAGAATAACAGTTGGGAGAATGAAAGGACATGAGATACTTCATATTGTATTTTATTCACCTACCTACAAGCAACACCAACTTGCAGCCTTGTGAGGGAACCATCTTTAGGATGGACCCTCTAGCCCTATGTGTTGCTTGAATCTTTTAGAAGAAAAATATATTCATGTATTACTAGCATCATAAAAATTAATATTTGAGTAATGTTAAAAGAAGAAAAACTTATTCATGTGTTTAACCAATTTAATTTCTCACTGAACTTAATGTAAAATGGGATATATTTATAGTAGGACATGGCTTTCTGGAAGGGTGATTCTCATTCTGTTTTCTGTTGCTTATAACAGAATACCTGGAACTGGATAATTTATAGAGAAAGCAATTTATTTCTTATAGTTATAGAGGCTAAGTCCACGGTCAAGGGGCCTCATCTGGTGAGGGCCTTCTTGCTGATGGAGACTCTCTGCAGAGTCCTGAGATGGCACAGGGCTTCACATGGCAGGAGAGTTGAGCATGCCAGCTTCTCTTCTTCCTCTTATGAAGCCACTGGCCCCGCTCCCGTGATGTCTGTCAGTCCATTAACCCATGAATAGATTAATCCATTCATGAGGTCAGCCTCATGACTCCGTCACCACTTAAAGTCCCCACTTCTCAATACTGCCACATTGGGGATTAAATTTCAACATGCATTTTGGTGGGACAAACATTCAAACCAAAGCAGTGATTGTTCTAAAACAGAACTTCTTAGACAATGTAATTGTGTAGAATCAAAAAAAAGAATCCCAAGGAAAAACAGCTAATATGTTTTTTCACCTTCGAACTATCTTTTTCTTCCTGGTTTGTTTGAAAATAAATACTAGTTACCCACCTTCTGCATATAAACCGTTAAACCGTTCAATAGTTCAACTCAACCAGGTGCAGCTGTTCACACCTATAATCCCAACACTTTGGGAGGCCAAGTCGGGAGGATCAGGAGGTGAAGACAGCAGTGAGCCATGATCAAGCCACTGCACTCCAGCCTGGGTGACAGTGAGACCTTATCTCAAAAAAAGAAAAGAAAACAAAAACTTCAACTCACCAGGAGTTTTCTACTTGTGACTTCTTTTCCACTATAATCTAAGAAAATGCATATGGTAAAAAGATGGCATCTTTAAATAGTATTACATAGCAAGGAAAAGATGGACTTAATCCCTCTATTCTATATGGATGTACTGCCAATTGCAACATAATCTATTCTCTGTGTTCCTCTCCCCCATCCCACGCACACTACCAGTTACCAAATCCTGCTGATTTTATTTCCTTAGTGTTCCTCAGATCTCTCCCTTCCTTCTGTCTACTGCCTGAATTCAAGCCTTCATCAGTTCCCATTTGGATTCTTATAGCAGCTTCCACTCTTGGCCCCGTACAGTCCATTCTCCACACAGCAGCTAGAGTGATTCTTCAAAAAGTGAATGCCATTGCCTTCTTCCCTGTGGCAAGTCCTGAAGTGCTTCTCTGAAACTTTTAGGGTGAAGTCCATAGGATGGTTATCTTCTGAACCCACCGACTGCCCTGGCCTCACCTCCTCCTGTTCCTCTACTTGTTTATTGTATTCAATCTACTACACACAGATTCTTCCCTTTTACAATAGGTATCATGCTGTTTCCTTCTGGAAATCTTTCAAAATGCTGTTCTCTGTCTGGAACACCCTTGTACTACCCCTTCCGTGGCCTGGCTAATGTCTCCTGATGCTTCAAGACTCATTTTACTCATTTTCTCTTCAGAAAAGACCTCCCTAACCCCACATCTAATGTAGGTGTCCCTCATCAGGATTCTTGTAGCATGCTGTGGATGCTCCCTCCATAACACTCATCAGAACTAGACTGTACAGGTTGTCTCCATGTCGAAACTATAAGCCCTCCTTGAGAATAGAGACCAGCCTTGCTATCTTTGTATCATCGGTACTTTCCACATTGTTCCTGATAATTGTTTGGCACTTAATAAATATAGATAAATCAAATGAAAATATTCATTCAGTGAGCTATCGAGAAACTTGGTACATGTATCCTTTTCTGTCTTTTTCACTTGTCACTGGTTTTCATTAAAATCCATTTGTGTCACGTAGACTTTTGTGTTCTTTTATCTTGATGTCCCAGTATTTGATTTTAAACCAAAATAAAGTCATTTACCATTATCTACCAATTAATAGCAAAAGAAGGAGGCAAAAAAAATGGCCAAATGGGGGTGGGGATGTCATCAATAAGTGACCAAGGTCAGCATGCCGCTGGAATTTTAAGAGGTTACCGTCTAGCTATGCTGCCTTATAAACCATGCTGTTTTGTTTCATTTTGTTGTGTTTTTAGGAACTATCCCTTCGACATAGTGACATTGTTGAACCTTGTTCTATTCAAGGCCTCTGACACCAACAGAGAGATTTATGAAATCTCCATGCAGCTCATGCAGGCACGTATCATTTACTGGCATAAGAAAATATCCATCCGCGAGTGTAGAAAATAGAAATGGTATTTGATTACCTAATTGCCATTTATTGATAGGCCTTTGTTTATTTCTGCATATCGTTTGTGGCTATGAAGAGTGAGAAAGCAATTATATAATCTTCTCTAAATACACTAATTAAATTATATAATCTTTTGTGAATATACTAATTTAATACGGTTTTAAAATAGGCATTAATTAGTTTTGTGACTTCCAACCTTTGTTAAATACAAATGCTCCTGAGAGATCCAGCTAATGTTTTTCATACTACTTTTCATTTTCCTACCTCTTTATAGATCCTTGAAGCAAAGCTTTTTGTATACTCAAAGAAAGTTGCTGAACAAAGACCGGGAAGTATTCTCTATGGAACTCACGGCCCACTGCCACCTCTCTACAGTGTGTCACTTGCCCTCTTGTCATGTGAGCTGGCCAGGATGTACCCTGAACTCACACTCCCCCTCTTCTCAGGTACCAGGCAGTAGTCAACAATGACATATGGGATCATTTCTTTGCTCTAAGTAATTTTCCCTTTTAAATTCTAGTTTGAGTTATGGCCGGGCACGATGCCACTCATACCTATAATCCCAGCATGTTGGGAGGCCAAGGCAGGCAGATCTCTTGAGGTCAGGAGTTCGAGACCAGCCTGGCCAACATGGTGAAACCCCATCTCTACTAAAAATACAAAAATTAGCCAGGCGTGTGGTGCATGCCTGTAATCCCAGCTACTTGGGAGGCTGAGGCAAGAGAATCGCTTGAACCTGGGAGGCAGAGGTTGCAATGAGATCGCACCACTGTACACCAGCCTGGACAACAGAGTAAGACTCTGTCTCAAAATAAAATTTAGAGTGATAATTAGTAAGTCTGTAGATCAGAATTACTATGGGCTAGATCTAGTTACAAATGAAAGTAAATTCAATAAATTTTTAAATATACAAAATAAAGTTCTTTATCTAAAACAACATAGGTATAAACATACATATGACAAATGCGAAGATGCTTAGATTCATAATACGAACTTCTACGTACATTAGATATATAAATTTCCCAAAGAAATTGAATTCCTACAAAAGCTAAATATGAACAGTATAACTTATAATACATACAGTTGCTGCAAATTGTTTGGTGATTATGGTGATAGTGGTGGTGTTTTGTAGCTTGTATTTTGCTACATATATAAGTTATTGAAAGTTTGAATTTTTATACATTCTTTACAATCTTCATAAATAGTTTTTGTGAAAATTTATTTTTAAAGAATTGCATTTGTCAGCTAACTTCTTGCCTAAGTTCCTGTGGCACTTTGCAAAGAGACAGACTTTGGTCTCTTGAATTCGTCCTCTTTTTCCATCTCTTATCACTGCCTCACCACGCCTTGTCCATATCCGCCTCAGTCCTTCCCTGCCTCTGCATACCTGACTACAGTTCATCCTCCATGCTGCAATCTATCTGCTATGCAAAGCCATATATGTACAGCCCTTCTTAACTCCATAGTGCTGCAGTCCATCCACTGTGCAAAGCCATATATGTACAGCACTTCTTAACTCAACCTTCTCTGCCCTATTATCCTAAAAATAACTGATAACAGCCTACAGTTAGCGAGAGGATAGTAGGTACTAGGCTCTGTGCTAGGCACTCTATGTACATCGCATTCATCACTTAATCTTTACAACCCCCGGTAGGGTACCATGGTTAGAACAGAGGCTTTGGAGTCAGGTGGGCTTTCTCTAGTTGTTTGACTGTGGGCAAGTCACAGAACCTCTAAATTACATTCCTCATCTGCAGTAATAATGACTACCTCATAGGATGTGAGGATTAAAATGATCTAATGAAAACCAAGCAGTTGGCCCAGTCCTGGCATGGAATTATCACAACTGCCAACACCACTAGCATCACGATTTTACAGATGAAAAACTAAGGTTTAGAGATGTTAAATAATTTGCTCAACACCATATAGCTAAGGATGCAACGAAGCCAGAATTAAGTCTAGATCTGTCTTCCTCCAAAGCCATTGCTATAAAATTAGAACTCCTCAGCCAAGAAAAAAACCCTCCTTTTTAAAACTTGCTTTCTATCTTTTCATCCAAGAATCCTCTATTCCAATCCTAGTGAATCTTTGACCAGTGATCCAGGCCTTCTTGTAAATCTTTGCTTCTGTACATGCTATTGAATGGCCCTCACCCCTTCTTCCTAACTCCAACCTTCCTTAAGATCTAATGTAACATCCTCTTCTACTATGCACACCTCTCCATCTACCCGAGGCAGATAGATGCTCAGTCACTTTTTTGTAACACCTGAAACAGTGGAGAGACCTACGAAAAGCCTTTTTAGTAAATTAATTCTCTTCTTGCAAAATTAAAATGTATTATCCACTTCGACCAAGATTTGAGTGTTGCCTACATGCTAGGCACTGTGCTTGGGTTTCAGGAATACTGAGGGAGATAAAAGTCTCCCCCATCAAAAGTTCATAGTCTGGCAGTAAAGATAGCCATGCAATCAAGCTGGGCATGGTTGCTGATGCCTGCACTTTGGGAGGTAATCTCAGCACTTTGGGAGGCTGAGGCAGGTGGACCACTTGAGGCCAGGAGTTTGAGACCAGCCTGGCCAACATGGCAAAACCCTGTCTCTACTAAAAATACAAAAATGGTGGTACACGCCTGTAGTCCTAGCTACCCAGGAGGCTGAGGCACGAGAATTGCTTGAACCCAAGAGGTGGAAGTTGCAGTGAGCTGAGATGGTGCCACTGCACTCCAGCATGGGCACCAGAGCAAGATTCTGTCTCAAAAGAAAAGGCAGGTTTTTAAAAAAGAAAAATGCTCAATGTATGAGATGTAGCTGAGGGGACAATCAGTTATTGGGCCAGGAATATCAGGACAGACTTCCCAGAGAAGTTGATGTCTAAGCTGTAGTTTGAAAGAAGAGTAGAAATTTGCAGAGCAGACAAGTAGTTAACAGACATTACAGACCAAGAGACTATCGCATATACATTGGCTTCGAGTTATAAACTAGCATGATGTAATTGAGGGATTATATAGAGGTCAGTTTAGGTAACATAACATGCAGGAATGGGAAAAGCTAGAGATGGTCGTGGGCAGACACAGAGGCCAAAATCCTGTCTTGGAAGGCCTTGTGTACACTAAGGGGTTTGTAGGCCAGCAATCTTCCACCTGTGCTTTTTGAATTCCCCTTCAGAGCTCTGTAAACAGAGAGAGCATCCAAGCAAGCGGCTGGGGTTTTGAAAGGCACTGATGAGTTACAAACAAGAAGAGGGAATATCAAGATCCAAATGCATTTTAGAAAGCCTGGTTGCAGTATGGAGGGTGGATTAGTGAACATCCAGTCTGGAGAGAGGAGGCTAGTTAAGAAACAATGGCAATCGTCCAAGTAGGAAATAATAAATAAGGGCCTGAACAAAGACAGCCCAACGAGACTGGAGAGGAGAAACCAAAGTGAAAAGTTGCCAGACAAATGCACAGAAGAGAATGCTACCATGATATCAGGGAGATCAGTGGTGATAACCCTCCTAGAAACCCAGTACAGGGAGAGGAGAAGGTTTGGGGCAAGGCAGGGATCGGGAGCTCAACTCAGGTTGTGGAATGCAGGCCTCTGCTGGACTTCCGCCCATATGGATGAGACTGGACTGAGGGGAGGTCAGCACTAGCAACTCGCAGGAGGATGGCAGGGATTAGAGCCGTGGGCACCGATGAGATCAGGAATGGAGAGAGCACAGAGTGGAAAAAAGGGCCTGGACACTTTTGCAGACCAAAAGGTCCAAGGAAGAGCAGAAGGGTGAGAAGGATTGTAGGGAGAGCATGCAGGAGAAGGGTTTCATGGAAACGTAGAAGAAAAAGAGTTTTAGAAGGATAGAGTGAGCAGTCCACAGCCTCCAATGCAGTAGTAAGATCCCAGAAGAGAAAGCCTGAAAATGACTCTGAGTTTCAAAATTTATTGGTAGCTGTCAGTAGTTTCTGCAGGGAGGTAGCGGCAGAAGCCAGATCGCAGTGGCCCGGCTGAGAACGAATGTAGAAAGAGAGGCTGGCTCTCCAGTGGGGTGCAGAGTCAGAGGAGGAGTTTTAAGGATAAGCGATAATTGGAGCATGTTTATTAGCTGAGAGGGAAACACTATTAAAGTGGGAGTGGTTCACCATTCAGGAGAGAAACAGTCCAGCACATTTAACGAGATCAGAGGCTCCTAAGAGTTTCAAGCAGGTTCAACCTACATTTCCTTCAAGAATTACCTTTTGGCTGTTTTGACTTATGAGAAATTACTTTTTTTAAATAACACAGAAAACTTAGGAGGTTATAATATATTCCAAACACTTGTTTCTAATATAAACGCTGTGGTGAAATTTTTATTGCCTGTAATTTCAAATGACCTAATTACTTGTAAGCAGCCAGACAGGTTGTTCAGATCCCTCCCAAAAGAGCATCCGCTGATGTTGTCTCACATTTTATTTAAAGTCTTTCTGGAGCGGTGAGTAGGGGGCTGTTGACATGTCTATGGCATTTTTCTTTTCTTGTTCCCTTTTAAAAAGGGAAGTACCCTTGCCTGTCCAGGAGCTTGGGAGAGCTCAGACAGATTTCTCTACCCTCTTGGTGCTGATGTCTGTCAGAAAAAAATGCAGTTAACATAATAAACAAGCAAGTTATTTAACACGTAAGAAGGTTATCTTTGCTACAAAAAGTCTATGGATTTTTATGCCATTGTTAAAAGATAGGGGTTTTTAATAACTGCTCTCTCTCTCTTACTGGTTTTTGGGGTTTTTTTTCCCCCTCTCCAAAGTCCAGATCCTTCTAGTGGGGTTTAAATAGTTCTCCCACCATAAAACTATTCTAAATCTTTGTAGCCAGAAGTCATTTTTCTCCACCAAATCTGCAAAACACTCTGATTGTGCCTTTCTGGTGTCATTTGTCACTGCTTCCCTTACCCCAGAATGACTTGTCAACATAATCTGTCCGAGTCTTGTTCTTAGGGACAGGAACTGCATCATTTTTCAGTCTGTGCTGTCTTTGTCATGCCTAGCATAGTGGCTTGCACCTAGAAAACACCTCATACTTTGGGACAAGTGAATGTTCTCATTTTTTTTTTTTTTGAGATGAAGTCTCACTTTGTCTGACTGCATCCTCTGCCTCTCAGGTTCAATTTGTGTCTCACTGCAACCTCTGCCTCCCAGGTTCAAGCGATCATCCTGTGTATTATCAGCCCCTCTAGTAGCTGGGATTACAGGCATGGGCCATCACGCCCAGCTAATTTTTTGCATTTTTAATAGAGACAGGGTTTCACTGTGTTGGACAGACTGGTCTCGAACTCCTAACCTCAGGTGATCCATCCGCCTTGGCCTCCCAAAGTGCTGGGATTACAGAATGTTCTGATTTTATAAGGATTTGAGTATGTGATATAACAGTTGCATACATCAGTCACATCCATAAATGTAGATATTAAGTAAATTTGGAAATTTTGACATATATAATAAAACATAATAGCTTGCGCTGTCTTATTATATACAACATTATAGTCTTCAATATAAAAAATTAGGATTTTAATTTTAGGAAAAGGACCAAATCAATTAAAGCTGCTGTTTCAGATGATCCAGTGAATTATCTTGGTATAATTCCTGGCATCTGTGTTGTTCTATTATTTAACAGCCATGAGCCCTCTAAGTGAGATTGCATTGCCACACTGTATCATAACACCTGCATGAGACCTTTCTAATTTCCCTGAGGATAAAACACCTTCTCTAGATAGGAGAAATAGGAGATTACATTGGAGCCTGCTGCATATACATAAAGCTATGCTTCTCTATCTATGAAAGTTTATTTGGATTATAAAATGAAATGCTGCTGGCAGTGAAACAATACCAGAATGCTCTGAGAGAAAGTAATGGTGAAATGTGACTGGACCAGACATAGGGCTTCACTGTTTGGACTCACTTGTCTCAAAAGGGACACACAGCTCTTGGCAGACACCTTCCACGTGCTTAGCAGTTTTCAAGAAGACTCTGAGAACTAGATCTATTCTTAGAGATCCACATGTCACTTTTTAACAGCCAATGTTTCATGGAAGACTCTTTGTAAAACACTGGGTTAGTGGGAAGATAATCATTGGTGTTAGAATGATCCTAACCACAATTTGTGAGAGCCTGCTGGATGATAGGTGCCGTGCTGAGCACATTGCATTTATTATGATTATATCTTTTAGTCATTCCAGTAGCCTAATGTGGGGCCTTATCAGTCCCATTTTACAGATGAGAAAACTGAGGAGAAGAGAGGTTAAGTAACTAGCCCAGAGTCATATGCAGCCAGTATGTGGTAGAACTGGAATCTGAACACGTGTCCTTCTGACTCTGAGTCCCTTATTTTGTCCACACTCTGACATCAGTCTTCCACTAGTAGTAGATTTGCACTCACTCCGCCTATACCAAGCCCATGCTTGCCCCGCAGTGCTATACACTTACCTGCACAGGGCACCAGATGTGGAGCAACAAGCTTGCAGACAAGCCTTGGTTTTATGATTCTGTAGCTTGGGGAAGCTACTGTATATGAAAATGCTTTTTAACTGTAGGACACTATTGAGCTTGCAAGTTGGCATTTGAATTTTCATTTATTTTGGTGGAATAAGATATGGATGGCTCTCCGTCCCTGCAATTCTCTTTAGAGGTAAGCCAGCGATTCCCCACGACACACCCCAATGGGCGCCAGATCATGCTCACCTACCTGCTGCCCTGGCTGCACAACATCGAGCTGGTGGACAGCAGGCTCCTCCTCCCAGGGTCCAGCCCCAGCAGCCCAGAGGACGAAGTCAAGGACCGGGAGGGCGATGCAACTGCTTCTCATGGGCTGAGAGGAAATGGCTGGGGCTCTCCAGAAGCCACGTCACTGGTCCTGAACAACCTCATGTACATGACGGCCAAGGTAAACTGAGGGGAAATGTGCTTCAAGTAGCGTGGCTCCATCATCAGAAAAAACCCGGGTTAATCAAACCCCATGCTTCAAACCCAGGGAAAATGGGATTCCTTTAAAATCACATGAATGGGGATAAATCGTGGTGATAGTTGCACAGTAATATGAATGGACTTAATGCCACAGGCTGTCCACTTAAAAATGATGATGATGGGCCACATGTGGTGGCTCACGCCTGTAATCCCAGCACTTTGGGAGGCCAAGGGGGGCGGATCACAAGGTCAGGAGATTGAGACCATCCTGGCCAACATGGTGAAATTCTATCTCTTCTACTAAAGATACAAAAATGTGGTGGCACATGCCTGTAATCCCAGCTGCTCGGGAGACTGAGGCAGGAGAATCACTTGAACCAGGGAGTCGGAAGTTGCAGTGAGCTGAGGTTGCACCACTGCACTCCAGCCTGGTGACAGAGTGAGATTCCATTTAAAAAAAAAAAATGGTGATGATAGTAAACGTTCTGTTATGCATATTTTACAGCAATTTTAAGAATAATAATAAAAATAAGCCTAATATATTAAAAACTCATATGAATAGGTATTGTGCATGACTGATTACTGCATTATTAATTACTGTTTACTGAAAGATGGCATCTTTCTGATAAATGGTCCTGGTTCCCCCTTCTTATGATTTTTGTGATGGTCATGATCCTCAGAACTACTTTCAATCAAACATTTTGCCTCCTTACAGTTTTCACACATCTCTTGGGCTGGTTTTTATTTTGTTATAGTATGGAGATGAAGTTCCTGGGCCAGAAATGGAAAATGCTTGGAATGCTTTGGCCAACAATGAAAAATGGAGCAACAACCTGAGGATCACCTTGCAGTTCCTGATTAGCCTCTGTGGGGTCAGCAGTGACACAGTTCTCCTGCCCTATGTAAGTGTCTCTCAGATATTCAAGAGTGATTATTCCTGCAGGGACTCCCATGTGCAGTTTGCAAGTCAGAATGTGCTCTTTGCCCCAGCTAAAATAGAAATATCCATTTAGTCACATGAATCTCCTGTGAGCTCATAGATATTACATAAAAGTTCCCTTCTGCCCCCTAGACATGGACTATGTGTGCTAGTAATGCCTCTGTCATATCCTTGCTCTGAGCCTTGGGACACAGAAACCTATTAATATAGGGAGTGGGTATTTTTCTAGCAGTTACTGAAAGCTGCCTTCTATAAACATTAGACCTACTATGTGAGAGATATAAGGAAAATGTTATATTATCACTAATAAAAATATTTCATGTTTACATCTTGATGCTCTTGAAACAGAATTTAAAAGCAGAGTATCCAGGTTTTTCTCTTAAAATTCAAGTGGTAAAAGAGAGAAGTAAGCACAGAGAAGTCCTTCTGAAATGTCTGATATTTAATCTTGGTATTTAAAAGCGATAGGATCAACAGAATGGACAGCATTTTTAAAACCGAAACTCAATTGGCATTTCTGTGCTGGTTGTTTTTGTGACAGATTTATGCCTTCCTGCTGCTTTGAGTCACATAAGCCTCACTGCGGCTTGCAGGGCTCAGGTTGGACCATGAGGCCTGTGATAATGTGGACCTTTAATCCAGAGTTATTTTTAAAATTTAAAACCATAAAAACAGCTAAAACTCATTTGTTTCTTGGGGAGAAGAGAATAGCAGGGGACTGGATTCTGTTTTAAACAAAAATAGCTAGCAGTTTTTTCCCCAGGGTTTGTATAAATAAAATTATTTCTGAAGATGAGACTTTGATGGCAGGTTTTCAGTTTAGATAGAATTCACTTGCCCCAAAAGTGACTTTTTAAAACTTAGCCATTAGAAAAGGCAAGGGCTTTAAGAACTCACTGCTGTCAGATGTGCAGGTGAAGAGAGGTGAATTTTAATCCAAGCCCTTGGTTCATCCTAGGATAGCATAAAGATTAGCTATCAGGGTGACAGCCCCTGCATGATGACATGTTTATCTAAATGAGAGGTTTACTGGTCTAACGTTCTTATGGACTAGGCTCTGTGAAACATCCCTTGTTTTCTTTTTTTCTTCTCAGATTAAAAAAGTGGCAATATACTTGTGCCGTAACAACACCATCCAAACCATGGAAGAGCTTCTCTTTGAGCTGCAGCAAACAGACCCTGTGAACCCCATCGTCCAGCACTGCGACAACCCGCCCTTCTACCGCTTCACGGCCAGCAGCAAGGCCTCCGCAGCAGCCTCGGGTAAGAAAAGCAACTGGGCACACGCCTGGTCACAAATCCCTGGGGTTTCCTTTATGTAGATTCCAGAAAGGATATGAGAATGTATTTTTATTACTCCTGCGTGTACATTCAATTATGAGATGGCTTAAGAATGACTGAGCCATGGGCTGGGTGCAGTGGCTCATGCCTGTAATCCCAGCACTTTGGGAGGCCGAGGTGGATGGATCACTTGAGGTTAGGAGTTCAAGATCAGCCTGGCCAACATGGTGAAACCCCATCTCTACTAAAAATACAAAATATTCAGCAGGCATGGTGGTGTGTGCGTGTACTCCCAGCTGCTCCCTGGAGGCTGCACTTGAACCCAGGAGACAGAAGTTTCAGTGAGCTGAGACTGTGTCACTGCACTCCAGCTTGGGTTACAGAGCAAGACTCTGTCTCAAAAAAAAAAAAGAATAACTGAGGTTCTTAGGGAATGTAGGGTTAATGAAATGATCTTGTAAAGATGACTGAGAATCTGTGACCCAAGCATCCTGCATCATAGAACTTTGTATTTCAGGCTGATCCCAGCCAAGACACTGCAGTCACTCAGGAATTTCATTTCTGGACACTCCTTCTTGTATCTGGACCCTCCCTTGGCTAATATTCCCCCAGTGTTGACTAAAATACCTCCCCAAAAGTATTATCACTTTTGATAAATTGGTGTCTCAGCATCCTTTGATGAAATATATGCCGTCCTCCTCAAATTCATTGAAGCCTGCCTCCCTTCTGCAGTTAACGGCCTTCTAATTCCCTCCTCCCCTAGTCTTCTGCACTCTCCGTTCACCCTGCACCCAGCCACCAGAGCAGGGTTCTCACAGGGAATCAGTACCACAGCAATCAGAAGTGCTAGGTACTTGGCCTTACTTCGCTATCATTAGTTTAATAACCCCTAGACCCAGAAATACTAAAGCAGCCAACAGCAGGACCAGCCAGTGTAAATAAGCTCACTACCTAAGTGGCCACAAAGAAGAGCTTTCAAGAATGTAGCCTCGCTTTACAAGAGTTAAGGAATTTGGTTTGACCATAGCAGATGTCTGTGATTCATTTCAGTGGTGTGGTCTTGGAAGGTTGTTTAGAATGTCTGAGTTTGTGCAGGAGCTGTAAGACATCTCCACACATAAGATTTTACAGGAAATCTTTCCCTGGAATTACTTGAGACTTGAGCTTGACCCCTCAGCTTGCATCTTTTTCTAAGTGTTTTTCTTCCAATCCCATCTATAGGAACCACCTCTAGCAGCAACACAGTGGTTGCTGGCCAGGACAATTTCCCAGATGCTGAGGAGAACAAGATATTGAAAGAATCTGATGAAAGGTTGGTGTTCAAATTTGACTTAATATCCAGTATAGTGTTCTGCAGTAATTGATACAAAGACATCAATACAGGTTTGTGGAGTTTCATAAATTTTGCACATACATAAAAATCCTTCTTTGTTCTTATAAACCCAGACTTACTTCCCAACTCTACTCTGTATATTCCTAAAAATAACAGTTATTTCCGTGCAAAGTCAGAGAAGAGAAAGATTAAGAAGCATGTTGTTCTGGTGGTGGAATTCCTCTTAGCCCAGGGCTTAGTAAAAACCATGAGTTGTTCTGCTATTGGGACCAGACCATCTGGAATTAAAGAGAATTGTCATGTGAAATTTTCACATCTGATTGTTGAATAATTTCTTAGAAATTATATAGAGTAATCATCTTGAGGTGATTTCTATGAAACATCATCATTTTTATTTTACTTTTGCTTTGTCCTGTCTTGAGAAGAACACCATCTTTTCCTGCCAAACAAAGTATCCATTCCCTCCACATTAGCTCTTTAATAATAATATTTCCCCCATGTCTCAGCCTTCTTATTGCCTTGCCTATGAACTACTCATCAGTAGTCAAATCAGAATCACTCTTTCCTGCAGTTGATTGTGAAGAACAGGGAAACAAACCAGGAGAGAAAAAACCCAAATTTTACAAAATGAAAATTAGGATGATCCTGATGGTGTTGGAAACTTCCTTGGCTGAGCATTTTATAGTGAAAGGTAATGAGGGAGCCCTTTTACTGAAGAAATTAGTAACCAGGATGAGATCCTCACAAATTCATATTAAAGCTAATTTAGGGCCGAGCACAGTGGCTCACACCTGTAATCCCAGCACTTTGGGAGGCCAAGGCAGGCAAATCACAAGATCAAGAGATCAAGACCATCCTAGCCGACATGGTGAAACCCCGTCTCTACTGAAAATACAAAAATTAGCTGGGCATGGTGGTGCGTGCCTGTAATCCCAGCTACTCAGGAGGCTGAGGCAGGAGAATTGCCTGAACCCAGGAGGCAGAGGTTGCGGTGAGCTGAGATCGCGCCATTGCACTCCAGCCTGGGTAACAAAAGCGAAACTCCGTCTCAAAAAAAAAAAAAAAAAAATAGCCTGACATGGTGGTGCATTCCTGTAGTCCCACCTACTTGGGAGGCTGAGGCAGGAGAATCGCTTAAAACTGGAAAACACAAGTTGCAGTGAGCCGGTATCATGCCACTGCACTCCAGCCTGGCGATAGAGTGAGACTCCATCTCAAAAAACAATAAAAGACAATTTGGGGGATCAAATAATGAAATAACTCACTTAGCCCAGAATGCTCGGAGGAGCCCACAGTGCTTCCCAAGCATCCTGAGGATTTAAGTGTGTGCACTGGGACACAGCAGGGGCTGACGTGAAGAAGACTCGACACAGGGCCGCTGCTGCTGGGATTCTGAAGACTCCTTCCCTAATTCAGGCACCTGCCAGATTCCCCACTGCATCACTGAGCCCCTGTGTTACCTTTAGGCCAGTGCTCATCCATACTGGTTCCCCTTCAGACAAAAAGCTCAAACCTAGCAGATCATGAATTATAGACCTTGTCCTTTGTAGTTCTCTAATAAAGGCTTTTATTTCTTTCTCCAGAATGAATAAAGGTTTTTATACTCCACATACCAGTGAAGGTACAAGATTATTAATTGGCATGTTATTTTTCAGTCTGTATTTGCTATTAATATTACCTTCTTTGGAAAACTACCTTATGATAAAAATCACATTGTTTCTCTAAAGGTATTTTTACTTCCTCATTGGAATATAACATTCTTGATCATTTATTGTTTCATCTGAGTTTCCCAACTGAATATTATTTGAGGTAGAAACACGGTAGATCCCCATATATTAACATCTCATTACAAAGGCCTCTCTTTAGGGCCAGAGTTCGAGTGTCCTGCCTAAAGTTTTTAGTGGTGGCTTTGAAATTAAGAAGCCAGTAATTCCTCTAATATCAAGATCAGAGAGCATCTTCAAGAGAGACTTTCTTGTTTAGCTCTTACTCCTGCTCTGTCATCACCTCTCTGTTCATCATTGGAAAGCTTGATGCAATTATCTACCCATATATATCACACATATTCATACATATCAGATTCTCCTATACTATTTATCTAGCTATAACATATTGATTGATCATATTCAAATACATGTGCAAACATATGTCTGTGAACATTCTGTCCCAATGGATACCATTATTCCATTGATCCCATACTGCACCTACACTATTTCTCTACTATATTCTTTCTTTTCTGTGAAAGTAGACTATGCCTTCAGCCTAAAATCCTTTTTTCTCTTCAAACTACTTATTAGCCTTCCCTCCTTGTACCCTGTCATGTTGATATATAGGTACTTACAAACACACTTATCTCAACCACCAGATTTTAATTTCCAGAGAACACAGACCATGTATCTCTTATACCAAACTTGTCCAACCTGAGACCCACAGGCCACATGTGGCCCAGGACAGCTTTGTTTTGTGGTTTTTGTTTTTGTTTTTGTTTTTGTTTTTGAGATGGAGCCTGCTCTGTCGCCCAGGCTGGAGTGCAGTGGCGTGATCTCAGCTCACTGCAACCTCTGCCTCCCGGGTTCAGGCGATTCTCCTGCCTCAGCCTCCCGAGTTGCTAGGACGGTGGCTAATTTTTTGTATTTTTAGTAGAGACAGGGTTTCACCGTGTTAGCCAGAATGATCTCCATCTCCTGACCTGGTGATCCACCAGCCTTGGCCTCCCAAAACGCTGGTATTACCAGCATGAGCCACCATGCCCGGCCCCTAGGACAGCTTTGAATGTGGCCTAACACAAATTTGTAAACTTTCTTAAAAGATTATGAGATTGTGTGTGTGTGTATGTATGTGTGTATGTATGCTTTTCTTTTTCTAGCTCATCAGCTATTGTGTTAGTTTAGATAATTCTTCTTCCAGTGTGGCCCAGGGAAACCCAAAGATTGGACATCCCTGTCTTACCCATATTTCTGTCCTCAGTGATTAGTCTACTGTGCTGCATATAGTAGGCATTTTAAATTGTTTCTTTGGTAAGTAAATGAAAATAGGAGAAGTGTCACAGCCCCAGAGGTGGATAAGCTGTTCAACCACCACCAGTCCCCTTTCTCTTACCCTCCCAATAACCCATCTCAGAGGACAGCAGTTTACTCCTTTCTTTAGAGTCCTTGTTAGCAAAGAGCCTACAGAGACAGTGTTTTTCAGAAGCACCACCCTAGGCTGCTATGTTATACCCCTCAAAAGTGGGGGCATCTCTTCCATCATATCCATTGTTGGGCTGAGGGAAACACCGTGGAGTTGGGCAAAACAGCCACCCTGGCACCATGTTCTTGACAACTAGATTAATGGTCCTTTGATGTGACTCAGTAATATTTAATAACACTATTCCTACTGACAAAAGCACAAACAAACCTTATAGCTTATAGTAAAAGAACATAAAAGCAAGAGTAAAAGAAATGCGACAAGCTAAGAGGAGGGCAAGAGGTGGTGTCTAAGTCCTGACCAAGGAAAACTACAACTTAACATTAACCTAACCTTGAGGCCCCAGTAGCCAAAGCAAAAAAAGAAAAATAAAGCAAACTTTATAATATTCAGTGTTTTTAAAAAAATTTAAAAACTATCCAAGTTAACAATGATCTATTTTACATTTCAAAATAGTTAAAAGAGAATAATTCAAATGTTCGTAGCATAAAGAAAAAATAAATATTTAAGATGATGGATACCCTAATTACCCTGATTTGATATTTACACATTATATGCATGTATCAAATGATCACATCTACCCTGAAAAATGTACATCTATTGTGTAACAATAAAAATTTTTTAAAGCTATTTATTAGAAATTATAACAGAAAGTACATCTACACTCTAAGAAGATTTTTCATGTACTTTATTTAACCAGGCAACAAAATGAACATATACTTATTAAAAGAGTAGTTTATAGAAATTCCTGAAGTATGCAGAAACAATCTTCATAAGTTTTGGTTTTTGTTTTTAAGACAGGTTCTCATTCTGTCACCTAGGCTGAAGTACAGTGGCACAATCACAGCTCACTGTAGGCTCAACCTCCCAGGCTCAAGCAGCCTCCTGCCTCAGCCTCCCCAGTAGCTGGGGGTGCAGCTGTCACCACACTTAGCTCATTTTTGTATTTCTTGTAGAGATGGGGTTTCACTATTTTGCCCAGGCTGGTCTCAAACTCCTGGGCTCAAGCAGTCCTCCCACCTCAGACTCCCAGATTGCTGGGATTACAGGCATGAGTGACTGCATCCAGCCATAAGTATTTTCAATACATCAATCTTAATAAAATATTTTTATAAATTTATATGCCCACAAAAGGATTCTTCATAGGAAACTAAAGCAACACACCTCAGCTGTATAATTTTTGAACGACCTGTGTTAAAACAGATAATTTCTATCTAAACCAATATTGTTGATATACCTAATATATATTAATTTACTATTAGTTCAGTTATCTAAATATTATTAATTTGAGCTAAATCAACAAGGTAAAACTGAGAGGGACATTTCATCCTTCTGATTTTTCTCTTACCAGAGCTATTTTCATGATATATTTCTTAAGGTGTGTACCTTTGATGTTAAGAGACATCAAGGATTCTATTTAATCCTTGAAATTCTTTCAGGAACCACACCCAAAATAAGCTTCTTCAACCCAGAAAAGCGAAGGAAAATAACAGATTTTACACTTGGGAGTCCATTTTTTACTTGTTCTTTGCCAGACATACACTTTGCTACACCGTGGTTTCAGTCTTCTCCAGAGCGAGGAGAACAGTCTGGACGAGACTTGCTCCTCCCCTTTATTCCAGCCTCATAAATAAACTCCACCCAACACCCCTTTAGATCCAGCTAAAAGGGAAAAGAGACAAATTGTCATCCATCCTGTAATTCTTCCCTGTCCTGGCCCTCCAGAGCACTATTTAAAACTTTACATAAAGCACAGCTCCCCGATAGCTGAAGTGCTGTGGCGCTCTCCACCCGATGGAAACCTGCAGATGTGCTGTTCTTTCATCTCCTGCTTTTGTTCCTTTCTGAATGATGTCTGGGCTTACCAGATGCTTTTATCACGTTGCATTTATTAGCATAAAGATGATTAAAGAACTTCTTCAAAAGGTAATGTTTGTCCCTTTTCCAATTTATTTTCGTCAATGCCAGTCTGATTTAGTTGGCCAATTTGTATGAAACTAAGCCAATGTCTTAGATATTCTGTTCGTAGAGATTCACAAATACCCAAAAGATATAACACTGAAGAATAAGGTATGAAATTACTGGGGAGAAGATGGCTGTCAGAAAGGGGGAAACACTGTTGCGAATATCTAAGAAGTGAATAAAACCAACCTTATTATAGCACATCTCTATAATTCAGCAAATCCAAATCACTGATGCAGTACTCTAAAGTTATACACATGGGACAAGATGGGCATCTTGATGGCATATCCAGGACTTTATGCTGAAACGTTACTCTTTCTCCACACATTCGTGAGGACAGCAATAGCCCTGCATCTTCCAGTGTTTCCAAAAGAAATAGAGTATTGATCTGTTATGGGTTAAGTCAGAACACCCAGTCAGTAATGTAGAGAGACACACCTATTTTGGCTTGAGTTTTCCCGATATTTCTAGATAGCCTTAGTACTTTGTTTTGACTGCATATATATTAAGTTGATAAAACCTGCTGCGTATCATTTTATATAAAATAAATATAGACATACTATTTTACTCACACTGCCCCTGAACCACACCCTTGCCCTTTGTTTGAGAAATATGCTACTGATTTATTTCTACAAATCCTAGGTAGAAGCATCATCACTAATACCTTAAAGTTGGACAGTGTCTTGCAGTTTTGGAAACACTCTCACATCCCTTCTTTTGATCCCCCAAACAGCCCCGATAAAATAAAAGATGGAGTATTAGTATTATATCCTTTTTGCAGTAGTAGAAACAAGTTCCTCAAGGAGGTAGAGGCCTTGGCTGCAATCACAGAGCTAGTGAGAGAGAGCTCAGCCTCAAAGCCTCGTGTTCCGTGCTGGGAGGCAGCATGGCACTGAAGGCTTCCTGCGCTGCCACCTCCCTGGGGTCAACACTGGACCAGGTGTATAGCCTCGCCTGCCCTCAGTTTCCTCACTGTAGAATAAATAATGCTTATCTTGAAGATAAGCAAGCAAGATTAAATAAGATGATGTCTGTGAGTTACTATAGTTCAGCATTTTTTCTTTCCTTTTTTTTAAATTTTTTGTTTTGTTTTGTTTTTGAGGGTTACTTCTTAACAACCCACAAGAGAGACCAGACTAAAGAGTCCCTCTGGTTATATTACTCCCCAGCTGGGACCTTTCCTTGAACACTCTCAAACTATTTTAAGAGAAACTTTAATGCTGGGTAAAATCAAATATTTATCATAAAACTATTTTTGTGTATTTCCATTCTGTCTACCTTCGGTCATTCAATCATTCAGGAAATATTTGTTGACCACCTACCACGTGTCAGGCTATGTAAATAGGGAATCATATTATTCAGCATCGTGCCCATTTTTTTCCAAATCAAATATGACCATTTTCTAGTTCGATCAAAATATTAGACTTAAAATTTCTATCTTTTCAAGGTTTGAACTTGTGCTTATGAGCAAGCATGACCACTGAGCCTCTCAAGGAAACAAGAAATGTTTGGAGTACAGTTTTTACAGCATTCCTTTAAGAAAAGCATCACTGGAACCAGCAGCTGAAAAACCAACCACTAAACCATAGTGTCTGTTTATGAGTGAGAGCACATACACACCTTTGTCCATATTTCATGCCAGTTGTTCTTGTATTTGAAGGTTTAGTAATGTCATCAGAGCCCACACTCGCCTCGAGTCAAGATACAGCAATAGCTCTGGAGGATCCTACGATGAGGATAAAAGTAAGTACCAACCAGCTATGGGCTTTCAAATGGAACACAAGTGGTCAGAGGATGGAAAATGAGTGTTCCGATTATTCTTGGTCTAATTACTGAAAGGGCCAATAAATATTAAGTAACCATTTAATCCAACTATGTAGATGAGCATAGAGTCAGCATCCTAAACAGTTATTTATTTTAAAAAAAGCCAAGAATGGGCAAATCAAAATTATAAAAATTCAAACTACTATCCAATCCTGTGTTTTTATATTCTTGCCATTTTTTCCTGATGCATTTGGGAAAAGGACAGTAAGTCATAGTCCCACTAGAAAACAAATGTTGCAGTTCAGTTTTTCCACCTGTCTTGCGAATGGGTTTAACCTTGAAGCTTTCAAAGTCTGCTCACTCAGGATAGGATCTGTTTCCATGTTGAATTTCTCAGAGGCATAGTCTCCACAGCATAGTGAATACCTTGCTAACCTGGGAGTTAGCTTTGTGGCAGGAATTTCTTTCGGTAGTTGGGAAAAGCAAACAGGTCAGTGCATTTACTGATTTTTTTAAGCCCTGGACAGCTTCTGAAGCTATTAAGCAGATACAGAGCATTAGTTGGTCACAAGATACAGAAATTCTGAAACCAAAGAAGCTGCCAGTGACATTTTAGATTTGCCAAGGAAATCAGTAACCTATCTTGTGAGATTTATTCTTCTATTTGGCAGATATTGTAAATATACTGATATTTCCTGAGTTAAGTTCATTTTCTAAGTGGGTACATGGGGCTTTTGTAGTTGTTGTTTTGAATTGTTTTGTTTTTAGGGAAATGTACAGAGTCAGGTAAGGGCTAGGTAGTTCTGATGAGGCCACATTTCAGCTACCCTTGCTCTACTTCTGAATGCACAGACAGGCAGTTCTCCATCATTAAAATACCAGTGGCAGGCATGTCTAAAATCCGTATGTAAATGTCGTGCTCTAACATAGGTTAAGGTTAAGCTATGTCCCTATAAAACTTTCACTAGTGTCCAGGGGCAGTGGCTCATGCCTGTAATCTCAGCACTTTGGGAGGCCAAGATGGGCGGATCACCTGAGGTTAGGAGATGGAGACCAGCCTGGCCAACATAGCAAAACCCCATCTCTACTAAATATACAAAAAAATTAGCCAGGTGTGGTGGCAGGTGCCTGTAATCCCTGCTGCTCAGGAGGCTGAGGCAGGAGAATTGCTTGAACCCGGGAGGTGGAGGTTGCAGTGAGCTGAGATCACACCACTGCACTCCAACCTGGGCAATAAGAATGAAACTCTATCTCAAAAAAAAAAAAAAAAAACCTTTCACTAGAGCTGTCAGTAGGAGGTAAAATAAAGCTGTTTGTGGTTTCCGTCCTTTCTGTCTCCCGTCATCCAAACACTGAACAGTCAAATCTCAGGACTGTAGGCCATTACTTCTAGAAGGCACCAGATATTAGAGATGAGGAAAGCAGTACCTTAGAAATGGAGAGTTGGTTTAAGGAAAGTTTGGTTACTGTGACAATATCTGGTAACCCAAAGTTTGAGGACCGAAAAATTTAAGTTTAGGCCACTGTAAGTTCTCTCAGTATGTTTTGGTTGATTGGATATGTATCTGAGAACATCATTGAAACAAAGAATAATATATCCTTTCCTAACAGAAATCTCACAGTTTAGTTTTTAATTCTTCAGTATTCTTCCTTTTTGTTTTCCTTTCAAGTTTTATTGAAGAATAGCTAATTACTTAGCGGTACATTTGGCAACTAACTTATCCTGGATGATTATCTGAGAAGTTAACTTGCTGCAAGTAAGTTACTTGTAGATAATTTGCTGAGAGAACCGAGATGAGTTACTAGTGCACTTGCTTTAAATTTTTTCCAGGCTAAAATTGTTGTGGCCAAGCTTTGTGGCATAGACTTTTAGGGCTCTGTTGGCTCACTTGTTAGTGTATTAGAAAAAGCCGGTAGTTATGCTTCCTGAGGGAAGTCCTGACCTTTTCCACTGAAACCCTCTTAGCCACATCCCAGGAGAAGCAGGGCATTATTGGTTCTGGTTTTCTGACGCCTGTCCTTGTTCGGAGCCTCAGTTGTCAGGAAGGCACCCCTCCACCAGCTCTGTAAGCATTAAGGCCAGCATTCTGCACTGGGCCAGCAGCATCAAATCAATGACCTCGCACTACCTTCTAGAAGTGCAGTAAATAAAATTGGATTATTGTAAAATTGCCTAAAGGCGACATAGTAAGTCCTTCCTCTTATTACATAAACCAATCCCAATAATAAGCCAGCTTGTCTGAAGCCTTATACCTTGGTTAAATCCCTTGCCCACCAGTAGAATTGCTCATCTTAAATGCTGTTGGCCTGCTTTGGGAGCATGGTAAGAAATAACTTCAGGATGGGCACTGTGGCTCACGCCTGTAATCCCAACATTTTGGGAGGCCAAGGTGGACAGATCACAAGGTCAGGAGTTTAAGACCAGCCTAGCCAGCTTGGTGAAACCCCGTCTCTTCTAAAAGTACAAAACATTAGTTGGGCATGGTGTTATGTGCCTATAATCCCAGATACTCAGGAGGCTGAGGCAGGAGAGTCGCTTAAACCTGGTAGGCAGAGGTTGCAGTGAGCCAAGATCGCACCACTGCTCTCCAGCCTCGGTGACAGAGCAAGACTCCAACTCAGAAAAAAAAAAAAAAACTCCTGAAATATGTTGCTGTACTTATTTTATTTTATTATATTTTATTTTTTGAGCAGGGTAGGAAGTGATTGGGGTTGGAGATAAATGTAAATACAATAGCGAAGAAAAGCTGCTGTGATATTTGGGCAGAGACTTGAATGAAGCAAAGAAGTGAGCCATGCAACTGTCTGCAGAAAAGCATCCCAGCCATAGGGAGCAGCAAATGTAAGAGCCCTGAGGCTGTACTGGGCCCAGCCTGATCATAGAACAGCAAGGAAGCTAGGATGAGTGGAATGGGGTGAGCAAGGGTAGGCTGGTAGGAGATAAGCCAGGAGAGGAACATGGAGCGGTGGCGGGGAGGACCTTGGAAGGCATCAAGGGCCACAGGCATGAATTTGTAGGGAGCCACTAGAGGGTGTTGAGCAGAGAAAGAGACCCTACTGAATTTGTTTTAAAATAATTGGTCTGTCTGCTCTGTGGTACACAGACTGTAGCAGCACAAGGATAGAAGCAGTGAGACAGTTAAGGAGGCCATTGCAGTAGCCCATGTGAGAAAGGATGATACCTAGATGGAGAACAGTGCTCAGATTCTGGAGATGCTTTGAGGACAGAGCTCTCTGAATATGTTGATGGTGACAAGTTACTGAACCTCACTTTCTTCTCTACAAAATAGAGAAAAAGTAGTTACCTATTATTGGGCCATTAATATGTGAAATACATAGGACAGTGCCTGGCATCAAGTAAGTCCTCTGTGCTAATTCCTAATGTTATGATTTTTATTATTACTGTTATTATCATCATTGTAATTAGTATTTGGCTGTAGGGTATGAGGGGAAAGTCAGGGATGACTCTAAGTCTCTTGTCCTGAGCAAATTTGAAACCTGAAATTGTGCTTTTTTGCTTTTTTTCTGAGACAAGAGTCTTGCTGTTTCACCCAGGATGGAGTGCAGTGGCACGATCTTGGCTCACTGCAACCTCCACCTCCTGGGTTCAAATGATTCTGCTGCCTCAGCCTCCTGAGTAGCTGAGTTTATTACAGGCATACACCACCTGGCCCAGCTATTTTTTTGTATTTTTAGTAGAAAGGGGTTTCACTATATTGGCCAGGCTGGTCTCAAACTCCTGAGTGGATCACTCAAGTGATCCACCCGCCTTGTCCTCCCGAAGTGCTGCGATTACAGGCTTGAGCCACTGCAACTGGCCAAAATTGTGCTTTATTGAAATGAGGAAGACTGGAGGAAGAGCAAGTTTTCATAGAGATGGGATTCAACGTGATTTATTTTTCTTTTTGTGTCTGTATTCTGCGTTGCTTTATGATAAATGAGTATAAATTAGTTACCAAGTAATAACTAATCAAGTAGTTACCTAAACAAGTAATTCTAACCCATTTGATCATGTGACTTATGCTCACTAAATTAAATGATTAGGAAGTTATTTCTGGCCAGGCACTCACACCTATAATCCCATGGGAGGCCAAGGTGGGAGGATCACTTGAGGCCAGGAGTTTGAGACCTGCATGAGCAACATGGTGAGAGCCCATCCATTTTTTAAAACCAACAATTTTTTAATTAGCTGGGTGTGGTGACACACACCTGTAGTCATAGCTACTCAGGAGGCTGAGCCAGGAAGATCTCTTGAGCCCAGGAATTTGAAGCTGCAGTGAGGTTTTTTTTGTTTGTTTGTTTTAAACAGAGTCTCACTCTCTCGCCCAGGCTGGACTGCAGTGGCGCGATCTTGGCTCACTGCAACCTCCGCCTCCCAGGTTCAAGCACTTCTCCTGTCTCAGTCTACAGGCTCATGCCACCATGCCCTGCTTTTTTTTTTTTTTTTTTTTGTATTTTTAGTAGACATGGGGTTTCACCATGTTGGTCAGACTGGTTTCAAACTCCTGACCTCAGGTGATCCACCCACCTCAGCCTCCCAAAGTGCTGGATTTACAGGCATGAACCACCACAACCAGCCCTGCAGTGAGTTTTGATCAATCCAGTATACTCTAGCCTGGGTGCCAGCAAGAACCTGTCCCTAAAAAATTTTTTTAATGAAAAATAGTTATTTTTATGCTTAGTAAGCATACACTTATAAAATTTATTCTAAAAACATTGAGTAGAGAAAACAAGTCTCCTCTCCCTGGAAATAAAGCACAGTGTCTTTCTCACCCTACAGATGATCCAATTTCTCCCTATACGGGCTGGTTGCTGACTATTACAGAGACCAAGCAGCCGCAGCCTTTACCGATGCCTTGTACTGGAGGATGCTGGGCACCCCTGGTTGACTATCTCCCGGAGACCATCACTCCCCGGGGACCACTCCATAGGTGAGCAGCCTGTGTGGGTAGAAGGAAACCTTAGCTTTGACTGGACTTTTCTACCTGTGACAAGAGAGAAATCTGTTCCAGGTCTCACCACGTTAAATGGTCTTGTCAGTCAGTGGGACCCTGCCTGATTTGACTTCTGGCTTCCAGCATATTAGCAGAGTTTGGTCAAATATTAACCAACATTCAAAGCTGCCTGTACCTTTGAATTTCTCCTTGATGTAACCTGGAGATGGGCATGCATTCTATGATGCTTTTTAGACTATAAGCAACTTGACGAGAGGGACCTTGTCTTTGATAGCTCTTCATCCCTTAACTCTTATTACCTAGTGACTAGTAGACTCTCCTTTATGTGATTAGCTCAACCAATGTTTCTTCTTTTTGTGCAGCTCTGTGCTGTGTTATGAGTTAAACTCTATTTCCCTGGAATAAGAGGCTTACATAACTCTTCTAAACTTTATTTCCCTGGAATGCTGTGTTATGTGTTAAACTCTATTTCCCTGGAATAAGAGGCTTACATAACTCTTCTAAACTCTATTTCCCTGGAATGCTGTGTTATGAGTTAAACTCTATTTCCCTGGAATAACAGCTTTACATAACTCTTTAAAAATACTTAAGAGTTGGCTGGGCACAGTGGCTCACACCTGTAATCCCAGCACTTTGGGAGGCCAAGGTGAGCAGATCCCAAGGTCAAGAGATTGAGAATATCCTGGCCAACCTGGTGAAACCCTGTCTCTACTAAAAATACAAAATTAGCTGGTTGTGGTGGTACATGTCTGTAGTCCCAGCTACTCGGGAGGCTGAGGAAGGAGAATTGCCTGAACCCAGCAGGTGGAGCTTAGAGTGAGCCGAGATCGTGCCACTGCACTCCAGTCTGGCCACAGAGCAAGACTCCATATTAAAAAAAATAAGAGTTACATTGAATTGTAACTCAATCATCTACCAGTATTTCCATTCCCTTTAGAAGTTGCATTAATTTCATTATTTCATTGATTAGGTGCAATATTGCTGTAATTTTTATGACTGAAATGGTGGTGGATCACAGTGTACGAGAAGATTGGGCGCTTCATCTACCATTATTACTTCATGCTGTCTTCTTAGGTAAGACTGGATCTAAAAGGCATTCTAGCCAATCGGGTTAAAAACATACAGAAGTAATCCGTAGAGATTTCCTTCCACATTGACTCATTTCCTTCCTATTTGACTCATTTCTGGAATATTTGGTCTCCACCATTTTTCATTGCTCTTTTGTGACTTCTGCTCTGAAATGTCAGCTACTTGGTCACTGTTTGAAATTGCTCTACTACGTAAATGTAGTGGTATCTCACTAGTGCCACATCTATAAAGATATCCAAAATAAATTGGGCCTTTTTGAGGGTCTTTGGCTGAGGTGACAAATTTTAAGCTATGAAGCATAGTCAGTGCATAAAAAGATAGGATGTAGGAAAGAGTGGGCCAAGCCCTGAGCTTTGTAGAGCAAAAATGGGAAAAGGAACCAGCCAGGGAATGTCAGAAATTCAGTTCAAAAGAGACTAATAAAATTAGAATCTTTCAGTCACAGGGACATCCAAGGAAGAGAACATCTCAAGAAGGAGGAATGCTAACCACGTCAGATGCTACAGAGAGGTCAAGAAAAGTCCACGTATCAGCATTTCATGAGAACATTTTACTTAAGAAATAAAACATTTTTATTTTTCCTAAGCTCAACTTCTGTATGTTGGTAACACAAACAATAACAAAGAAAACTAAACATTCTTTTAACATGTTCCTCCTGAGTGTCCTGGAATCTTTACTATCCCTGGAATCTAAACGAGCTTAACATTTGTTTATACTGAGAGATTCTACTGTTTTGTTCCAGGTTTGGACCATTACCGGCCTGAAGTCTTTGAACACAGCAAAAAACTGCTTCTTCACCTCTTGATTGCCCTGTCTTGCAACAGCAATTTCCATTCCATTGCTTCTGTGCTCCTGCAGACTCGAGAGATGGGTGAAGCTAAGACTCTAACCGTGCAGCCAGCTTACCAACCTGAATATCTCTATACAGGTAACAGAGAAGGACTGGGAGAGCACATAGGACAGTCCCAAATGCAAAGATAACTAACCACAGGTGCCGGTGGAGCACAAGTTAACTTCTCTCATACTATGACCTCCAATTTTCCCAGTGATAAATCAACAGTACAATAAATACACACCATTTCACTTGAGGTGGACTTGCCTCTCAAAAGCTTTCTTTATTACTGCATATTAAAAATATAGTTTTCCTGATTATAGCTGTGATTGCTACCCCCAATGAATATGTTCCTACTGTTGCATTGGAATTGTAAGTGCCCACTGGCCAGGAGCAACAGTCTAGAACACCAAAGGATGATGTTATACCCAAGCGAGTTTAAACAGAAGCACCATGCATTGAGTTTGTTGAGAGTCCACCTTTAATTGCTGACGTCCAAGAGTCAGCTAGAGCTCAAACGTCTCAGCCACGAACAAAGGGCAGTCAACGTTTTTATACCAGTTTAGGGTCAGAGGGCAGTAAGCAGATTATTACAGAAGCAGAAGGAGCAGGTTACAGGAAGGTAGGGGGTGCCTAACAACAAATTCTATTTAAAGTTGTTTCTTTACTCAGGATGTGGGGTAGGCAGTTACACACAGTTGCAGGTACAGGATGTATGGGCCAGTGGGCCCTGTTTCTCAGAAAATTGGTTACAAAGATGCCAGGTGTCTCAGACCATAAGCTTTCGGAACAGAATGCCCTACGTAGCTCAGGGTGGGCAGCATAGCTCAGGGTGAGCAAAATGGAGTTAGCAGGATTGTTTACAATGTATTCATTACAGCCAAGCTCAAGTTAGGGTATTTCAATGAGAACACACAAAACACTGACCATGGCTACTGCCTGTGAGCAGGTCACAGCCGAGGTACCAGCTATATCAGTTGTGTGCCTTCTAGTGCCCACGAAGGAATGTTCACTTTATTGAATGACCTTTTTCTTGAAGGCGCCGTTAGGGGGAGCCCATTAAAAACCATTGCCATTTTGAAACCAAAAAAATTTAATTTTAGAAATAGGAATAGATGGGGCCGGACACGGTGGCTCATGCCTGTAATCCCAGCATTTTGGGAGGCCAAGGTGGGTGGATCATGAGGTCAGGAATTAGAGACCAGCCTGACCAACATGGTAAAACCCCATCTCTACTAAAAATACAAAAATTAGCTGGGCATGGTGGTGCACGCCTGTAATCCTAGCTACTAAGAAGGCTGAGGCAGGAGAATTGCTTGAACCCAGGAGGTGGAGGTTGCAGTAAGCCGAGATCGCGCCATTGCACTCCAGCCTGGGAGACAGAGTGTGACACTGTCTCAAAAAACAAAAGCAAAAAAACAGGAATAGATGGCACTGGCTGAGTCAAAGAAGTTACTCTGCCATGTCGAGCCATTTATGAAAACTTTATCCAAAGGGGTAACCAGTGGTTTTCATTTAGAACCAGGACATTTAAAATATCTTAAAATGATGATGAAGATTACCAACTAATAGAGTTCAGGGATTTTTTTTACCTATTATTTTATGCATTGCATTGACACTAGCTATAGTATGGCATTTCATATGTTAACTGCGTGCTTTCTGCATTACTATGAAAAGGGTGTACTTTTATTTATCACTTGTACCCACCACTGTATTGGCTTCTAACAGATTTTTTTTTTTTTTTGAGACAGAGTTTCGCTCTTGTTACCCAGGCTGGAGAGCAATGGCGCGATCTCGGCTCACAGCAACCTCCACCTCCTGGGTTCAGGCAATTCTCCTGCCTCAGCCTCCTGAGTAGCTGGGATTACAGGCACGCGCCACCATGCCCAGCTAATTTTTTGTATTTTTAGTGGAGACGGGGTTTCACCATGTTGACCGGGTTGGTCTCGATCTCTCGACCTCGTGATCCACCCGCCTCGGCCTCCCAAAGTGCTGGGATTACAGGCTTGAGCCACCGGCCTGGCCCTAACAGATGTTAACATAGTTCTTTGGAAAACAAATATGAAGTCATCATGATCTCTGAGACCTAAGGCCTACTACTTACCTCAGTTTAAGCACTTCCCTTTGAACCAAGCTACACTTAATTGAAATAACCTGCCAATAGCCTCTTAGAAACACGAAACTCTCCTTGCCGTAGATGCTTAATTGAAAGCATTCTGGCTGCTCTAAGTCCTCAGGATAAGAATTTTTTTTAAAAAATGTGTGGCCTTAGGCAGAGAAAATTGTAATGTCTGACAAGTTGTGTATCTCTGTGTACATCGGTTTTGCATTTATTGTACCAATGATGTGGTATAAAATGATGTAGAGTGAAGATTTACCAAAAAAAAATACATACAGTGCTCATAGGCAAGACAAACAGTAGATAGCTAAAGTGACTGACTCTGTAGAACCCAGGGAATAGGTATGCAAAGAATATGGGAAATGCTCTTTTTTTATAAACATTCATGAAGCACCTGGTTTCAACTATAGTTGCTTTCAAATACACACTAAAAATGTGTGTGACAGAAATTTTCTTGACTTTATTATAATAGGACACTGAGATACAGAGAATTACATAAATTCCCTGAGGCTACACTATAAGTGGCAGAAATGTTATTCAAACCCAGGACTCCTCACTTCTAATTCAATGTATCTATCAGACACACACCACAACTATGTACTTTTTATGATTATTAAATAGGGGAGAAGGGACAGTCATATATATACATTTTTAAACCTGCAGCCTACCCAGAGGTCTAGAATGTCAACAGAGAATGTAATGAAGAAACAATATTTGCTTATGCCATATTTTTTTAACACAATAAAGCATATTCCATTAAAATGTATCAACAAATCTTCTGGGCACATTTACTCAAAAACATTATGTATAAGTCACTGGCCTTTAAGTGACTGGTATCTTCAAACAGCGTATCATTTCATATGTTTAAGTAGACTAATATCCAGGAATAGTTATTAAGAGCACAGTTACTAGATGAACTGTTACAGGTGAACTTGTCCTTTGCCTGGCCCATGCATGCATACAAACACACACACATCCCCTTTTCTTTGTAGAAAGTATCAACCAAAACACCAGAGTAGAAAGCAGCAAATCACCTCCTGTTCCCAAATACACACTCTTTTACACAGCAATGCAACTGATTTCCTAAACAAAGAAAAACTGTCAGTCTCATTCAGTCATAGCCACAGCCAAAAGCAAGCGTTTTCTCCCCAAAATTTAAATAATTCCACATTTCTCTGTGCTCCTCTCTGAACCTCATTAAGCATGCTGACAAGCAGGCTGCCTAGTACATCCCTCCTTGACCTTCTTCTCCTACCAGGTGGCTTTGACTTCCTCAGAGAGGACCAGTCATCCCCGGTGCCTGACTCAGGGCTTAGCTCCAGCTCCACCTCCTCCAGCATCAGTCTGGGAGGCAGCAGCGGGAACCTCCCGCAGATGACCCAGGAGGTAGAAGACGTGGACACAGCTGCTGAAACAGATGAGAAGGCAAACAAGCTCATTGAGTTTCTGACAACCAGGTAATAAGGGGTTAGGAGCCACGCTGCTGTTTGCAGGCCGGTCTTTTGGAAAATTGCCAATGCTTTAAACTACACAGATGGAAAAGTGATCCTGGGGTTCTAACAAAGTCCTGTTTCTCTTCTCAATTGCAACTGCTGGAGTCTGTGGGAAAGGCAGACATTGGTAGAAGTTTCTAGGATCCCACTGATGTGACAGTTGATGGGCAAGGGTATTTTGTGGATAATGATGATGCAGCAGATGGAGGCAGGAGATGGCAATGCCCCACGGTGAGTATGCCTTTAGTCATCTATCAGAGCTGCCAGGGGTTAGGAGCTCTGAGATTTGGTAAAGAACATCACTCTGGAAACCAGGGATATTAGCCACAGTCAACCCAGAAACAGCTGCCGAGGGGACCATTTGTTCATCTGGTCCAAAGGGTAATTTGTAAAAGGCAGTCAGAGATAAGAAACAATAGGAAGCATAATAGGAAAGGAATCAAACTAACAAATCAAAACGAAGAAAAACTGCAAGTGGTCCTGGTCAGGTCTTCTGGTTCTTCCCATTAACCATTTAGCTTATAAGGCTTCAGGAAGTCTAACACCCTGCTGTCTGGTATTTGTGTAAAGCATGCTTACCTGTGAGTGGGTGGCATGCTCTCCTTTCTCAGTGAATTAAATCCTGGAAATCTAGTCTGTGTATGTGTTACCTAATATCTCTTGTGATTTTGCTTTCTTCAGCTAATGCATCAATTAATGTGAACAATAAAAAAAGACTATTTTTCTTTCCACAATTCATGATTCATGTTATTTTGTGCAGCTCTCGACTTCATGTAGGATTTACTCTGCAGGAAGCTTAGGAAGGGAGCTGGTGGTGCCTGCATACAGTATGCCTGCACATACAGGGTACTTCAGAGACCCAAGTGATTTGTGGAAAGGAAAAGTATTGTCACCACTCACCATCTGTCAATATTACGTGTTGGGAATAACTCTTCTCTGAGATTCTCCTACCTGGCTCCATTTCATTCTCACCGTTGAAAACCAAGTAGACGACAGGGGCCAGTCTTCAGTTCGATCCTATGGTGTTTGCAACTTGATGTGATCCTGATAAAAGCCTTATCTCTGCAAATGCTAAAATGTGAACATTGAGTTCTTGTCTAAATCTGTATTTCAGTTAACATTTTATATCATTTTATTTAACACACAAACATGTAGCACCTATGATATGCCAAGCACTGTTCTGGTGAATTGGAAGGTTTTATTTTTAATTTTGTAAATGAATTTAATTTAAAACATTTTAAAGTACCTCCATACATTAGTTAGATGTGTTTTGAGTATGCTGGTAAGGTTTATAAGACTGAAATGTACTTCCAAAATAATTTGTAAAATTGTTTTAAAAAGTTTTTTAAGTTCAGGGGTACATGTGCAGGATGTGCAGGTTTGTTACATAGGTAAACATGTGTCAGGGGGGTTTGCTGTACAGGCTATTTGGTCAGCCAAATGTTAATCCCAATATCCATTCGTTGCTTTTCCTGATCCTCTCTCTCCTACTCTCCGCCCTCTGGTAGGCCCCAGTGTGTGTTGTTCCCTGCTATGTGTCCATTTAGCTCCCACTTATAAGTGAGAACATGTGGTATTTGTTTTTCTGTTCCTGCATTAGTTTGCTAAGGATGATAGCCTCCAGCTCCATCCATGTCCCTGCAAAGGACATGATCTTATACCTTTTCATGATGGCTTAGTATTCCATGGTATATATGTACCACATTTTCTTTATCTAGTCTATCATTAATGAGCATTCAGGTTGATTTCATTTCTTTGCTATTGTGAATAGCAATAGCAATCATTTCTTTGCTATTGTGAATAGTGCTAGAGTAAACATATGCATGCATGTGTCTTTATAATAGAACAGTATATATTCCTTTGGTTATATGCCCAGTAATGGAATTGCTGGGTTGAATGGTATTTCCATCTCTAGGTCTTTGAGGAATGGCCACGCTGTCCTTCACAATGGTTGAACTAATTTATACTCACACCAGCAGTGTAAAAGCCTTCCATTTCTCCACAACCTTGCTAGCAGCTGTTGTTTCTTCGCCATTCTGACTGGTGTCAGAATGAGATGGTATCTCACTGGGGTTTTGAGCTTTTTTTTTTTTTTGAGACAGAGTCTTGCTCTGTCACCCAGGCTGGAGTACAGTGGCACAATCTTGGCTCACTGCAACCTCCACCCCCGGGTTCAAGAGATTCTCCTGCCTCAGCCTCCTGAGTAGCTGGGACTACAGGTGTGTGCCACCACATCTGGCTGATTTTTTGTATTTTAGTAGAGACAGAGTTTCAGTGTGTTAGCCAGGATGGTCTCGGTCTGACCTCATGATCCACCCACCTCAGCCTCCCAAAGTGCTGGGATTACAGGTGAGAGCCACCATGCCCGGCCCAAGCTTTTTTTATATGATTGTTGGCTGCATGTATGTCTTCTTTTGAGAAGTGTCTGTTCATGTCCTTTGCCCACTTTTTAATGGAGTTGTTTGGTTTTTTTTCTTATAAATTTGTTAAAGTTCCTTATAGATGCTGGATATTAGACCTTCGTCATATGCATAGATTGTAAATATTTTAAATATGTTATACCTTTGGAGTCAGGACTGCATGTATAGTTCTAAAAATGTAAAATGACAGTTATATTTTTGACATTTTATGTGTTTCATTTAAGGGCATTTGGTCCACTTTGGTGCCATGAAGACATCACACCTAAAAATCAAAACTCAAAGAGTGCTGAACAGCTCACTAATTTTCTACGTCACGTTGTCTCTGTATTTAAAGATTCCAAATCAGGTATTTCATCCTGTGTGCACAGATCCCTCTTTCAGCATTGTTCTGTAATGGACACTGTCTCTGTGTGATGATTACAGCGCCTTAGAATGGTCCTGCACTCCACATCCATAGCACGAGCGTATGGACAGGGCAGTTTTGAAGCTTGTTCAGATGCTACTAACTGCATGGTATTTAATGCCATATATGTTTGCATTATGCTATATCAAATAATTTTCCCAATATACTTGTTCTACTTCTTTCATTTACCTTACTAGAATTAAACTGTGCCTGTAACATTTTCTTTAAAGAAGGCCGTGAGGAATAAATCTCATTAATTGACTCTCATCGGTCTCAACGATGAAAAATGGTCAGTCTGATGGCTGGTTGAAATGGTAAAACTGTTTTAAAAAAAAAGAATTTGTGATAAAATGTTTTTGGCTTTAAAAGTGTTTGCTAATAATTCCTGTGCAAGTGACTGTTCAGTATTCTAAACGCAGAGTGCGTCCTATTTAAACTGTAGTAGCATCCTAATACTTAAGTGTCTGCCTTCTGCTGCGTTTCTTCAGATCCAAGTTGGCCTGGGTTGTTTGTGTATTAAATCTGGTTCCTCAGCATGTTGTGAAGCCATCTCTACCTTTTTTTCTCACACCAGGCTGACAATTAAATCCAGCACCCTGATTTTTCCAGCTGCTCTGATAATTAGCACATTTCCCAGTTTGAAACATTTTGGATTAGCCACGTATCTTTTCATTATCAGAGGACACTTACTAAAAATCAAAAAATACTGACAGACCAAAATGGGAGAGTCATTCCAGGAATAGACTTCCATTTCATGTTTTCAGTTTCCCCTTTGGAATTTGTTTAACATATTAAGACTGCAAAAGCCAACTAATAATTGCCCAAATTAATAACCAATTAATAACAGCCAAAGGATGAAATTTACAATTTTATGTAAAACCATTAATTAATCTAAAATCTTTGATTGAATGAAAATAATAAAAATGAGAAAATATATAAAAGCCTGATACTGAATTCTTGGAGGGTACTTCAGGCTTCATAGACTCTAAGTCTTTTTACACCTTCATCAGTCAATTTTTACCGATTCTGATTTCCTTGTACACCCCTGCTTTTGGCCTGTTTTCTCTACACATACACAGCGTGTTCCTGGAAACACTTGTGTTAGTCAGGGCACCATAGCTGCTGTAACAGACAGCCCCCAGAGCTCAGAGGCTTAACACAGCAAAAGGTTATATTCCTGGGTCCTTTAACAGTTCATTGCAGGTGTTTGGAAAATGGCCTCCCACTAGGAGCCTCAGGGACCCTCCAGCCTGTGGCTGTGTCACCCGCTAGGCTGAGGCCTCTGCTGGGCCCTCTGCATCCAGCTAGCAGGTGGAGGAAGAGAGAGTGAGAAGAGAATTCCTCAGGATGCATTGATATCCCAGGCTTAAATGGGGTATCCAGTGTTTTTTTTTTTCCCCACATTCCATTGGCCAGAACTGGGGCCCTGAAAGACCTTTCCATTTTCTCAAAGGACACTCTTGTGGTGGTAGTCTGAAGTCCTGCTAATAGGGTTCTAGCCCTCAGGCTAGAACATTCATTGTGATTTAAATAAGCATTTGTTCATTGTGATTTAAATAAGCATTAGCTCATTTATGTGCTAACCTCCACACATAAAATAGCCTAAGCAAACAAACCTTTATTTTAAAATAAAGACATAAAAAGTTTTCTGAAACATCATTCATAAGATATGAACTGCCTATATGGGTTTAATCCTACATTTACTACTCTGAATGTGTCTGAGGTCAGTTTTCCAGGGCCCTGTGTTTTCTCTGCAGGAACATTTTCTTGTATAGTCTATTTGTCCCTAGGGCCAAGTAGCCAAGCTGCAGCTAAAAACAATGACATTGAATTATCCCTTCTGGCCCACTTTGATGTAGCAGCCAAATGTGTCCTCAGAGCCTCTGTGTCATAGAGACAGCCTAAGTCTCTGTTTTCATTCAGGCCTCCTACTCTTGTAGTCCGCTTTTCTCCCTGCAGAGAAGCACAGCAAGTATATAGTTTAATGACGTACAATTCAGTCATGAGCTTTATGTTACATTTTCATTCCCTCTGATCAAATGGTTTTCTGATTACTGAGATTACCTTGATACAGTCAGAAAAACAAATATTCAGGCAAAAGTTTAAATTATGGCTGCCTTCCTCACAGTGTCTGCATTTCAATATCTGCGTATCAATAAAGCAAAGACTTTAGCACAGGCCTTAGTCGTGTTTTGAGTTGACTAGGTCCACTAGCAGCTTTCCTTTATTCTGAAATTTCCTCTACTCTAACAAACTCACAAAAAAAAGGAGTGAGAGTATTCTACGCAAAAAAAGTAGTACAGAAGAATAGCATAGGAAAATGGTGAGGTGATAAATAATACACTGTGAGCCTATGCTATGTTTCAGACACTGTACTAGGCACTTTATACATTGTTTAATTTTCTCAACAACTGTATGAGAGAAGTTAAAGATAAGGAAACAAATTCATGGGAACAAATTTCTTTCCCAGAGTTAGAAAGCCCCAATTCAATACCAGCAATGTCTTGTTCCAAAGCCTTTTTCTACTACACTATACTTCCCTAAGATTTATTCAGAATTTGTTTTTATTATAAAATGAGCTGGGTGCAGTGGCACATACCTGTAATCCCAGCGACTCAGTAGACTGAGTCTGGAAGGTTCCTTGAGCCCAGGAGTTCGAGACCAGCCTGGGCAACAGAAAAAGATGCTATTCAAAAAAAAAAAAAAAAGCCTGATGTGGTGGCTCATGCCAGTAATTCAAGCACTTTAGGAGGGTAGAGCAGGCAGATCACTTGATCCCAGGAGTTCAAGACCAGCCTTGGCAATATAGTGAAACCCCCATCTCTACAAAAAATACAAAAAACTAGCTGGGCATGGTGGCACACACCTGTAGTCCCAGCTACTTGGGAGGCTGAGATGGAAGGATTACTTGAGCCCAGGAGGTAGAGGCTGCAGTGAGCTGTGATTATGCCACTGCACTCCAACCTGAGCATCAGAGTGAGACCCTTTCTCAAAAAAAAAAGAAAAGAAAAAAAAATGGTTGACTTGTAAATAAGCACCCCGCCCTTAGCCTGTTTTAAGCTTACGGTAACTTTGATGCCCCAGAGCATGTGGAGCAGTGAACGACCTATTCTGTGGCTCCTCTTGCCCTAGGCTTCCATCTGGAGCACCAATTGAGTGAAGTTGCATTGCAAACAGCCCTTGCAAGCTCTTCGAGGCACTATGCTGGTCGGTCCTTCCAGATATTCCGAGCCCTCAAGCAACCTCTGTCAGCACATGCCTTATCTGACCTTCTCTCGAGATTGGTGGAGGTGATCGGAGAACATGGAGATGAGATTCAGGTATGAAAGGGAAGACCACGGAGCCCATGAAGAATGAGCTCCCTCGCCTCGATGAGGATTTAACTTTTTTCAAGGCTTTCCTCTCTCAACAATTATCCCAGCCATCTGGATATGTACAATATATTCTTTCAGCGTCAGAGGTTGACTTTTATATTTACAAAAATTATTCTAAGGAGCCTTGTTCTAGAAATTCAGTGGATATTATCTCTTATACAAGCCAACAACTAGAAATCCTTTGGTGGCTCCTTCTTTGTTGTTTTTGTGGTTGGTTTTATTTGGTGGGCAGTCAGGATTATTTTGCATAGTTTTGAGTTTCTGGCTACCAACCTAGGATGCAGTTATGTAGTCTCCCTATCCAGAGCAGGCATCTCTACTGTATCTATGCAAAACACTACCTCTCTGTATGGTTGGTCTCCAGTAGACTGAGAAGAGCTGAAGAAGGAAGGGAGAGTGACTGCCACAAGGAAACCCTCCAGATAGATCCCAGAGTTTGGGAGGCTGAACTGGTGCTGGCATTATAAGCTCTGTTGCTCGGGCCAAGCCCTTCTTGCCCTTCAGAAATCTCCTGGCCATACATGGTGGCTCACGCCTATAATCCCAATGAGAGGCCAAGGCGGGCAGATCACTTGAGGCCAGGAGTTTAAGACCTGGCTGGCCAACACAGTGAAACCCCATCTCCACTAAAAATATAAAAATAAGCTAGGCATGGTGGCCCACACTATAGTCCAAGCTGCTCAGGAGGCTGAGGCAGGAGAATCACGTGAACTCAGGAGGCACATGTTGCAGTGAGCCAAGATTATGCCATGGCACTCCAACCTGGGCAATGGAAGTGAGACTCCATCTCAAAAAAAAAAATAAAAGCCAATGGAGAAAAGAAATGTTCCTGCATCTAAGGAAGCCTGCAAACCTAGAGACTCTACCTGCATCCTTCTTTCAGCCATCAGAGGTGCTGTTTAAAACACCACTGAGGCAGCTCTTCCTTTACCTCACCTCTTGATCTATGGCTTTCAGACATTGCCACTCTATTTCAAATGCCCACCCTCCCCTCAGCAGAGGGTCATGCTTGCCCCTCACTGTTAGATTTCAAATGAAAGTGATCTGTTGAGGCTGTTAGACCTAGGAAAATAAATTTTTATAATTATCTACTAACTCCTAAGCCATCGGAATTTCCTAAATGGCCCTTAAAGCTTATTTTAGACTTCATAAATTAAAGCAGCAATAACATTATTGAAATAAAGTTTGCATTAATTTAATTTATCTTCTAGAAGTTAACAGTGGTTACAAACAATACACAATGCTATCTTCACATGTTTGGCAGGGTTATGTAATGGAAGCGCTCCTTACCTTGGAGGCGGCCGTGGATAACTTATCTGACTGCTTGAAGAACAGTGACCTCCTAACTGTATTGTCCCGGTGAGAATCAGCTTAATGACATTTTGACATCAGGGATACTGTACTGGAGCATTTGGAAGATGCTGGACTTTGGGCAAAATACAAAGAACAAATCTAATTTTTGAAGTATATTTATGACCTGAAAAAGTATGTGTAATAATTTCTTAAGGTAAAAAAGAAGTTATAATCCATACACACACACACACACACACATACACACACACACATTATATAAGTATTTTAAAACATTGGTAAGATAGCCTGTGTTATCTCTAAATGATACAAATATTAATAATTTTTTATTTCATTTTTTTGTCTGTTTTTTCAAATTTTATGTAATATTCTATTTATTACATTGGTAAAGAGAAACAAAAACTAAACATTATTTTTAAATGAATATATACAAAGCTCTTCTGAACTGTTGCCATAAAAGCAATTGGAAAAAATGTTGACTTCACTTGAAGAAATTCCTACCTTAGAACTTTTTTTGCTCCTGCCAGTGTTTAATAACTCATTTCAAATTATTCATGACTCTATATTCTGTTTGTATAACTGAGCTCATCTTGCTTGAAATTGAGTCAGTAATGTTATCTTGTATCCCACTGGGCCTCATTTCATTTTTAAATTGAGCATTTCTGTGGATAGATAATTTTGATGTGATTACAAACATCACACATATTTATCTTTATGAATATAAAGATTTATCTAAATCAGTTAAAATATAGCAAGAATGTTGACTCAGAATGTTGAATCATTCATGAAAAATGATTTCTAAGTCCACCCTTTCATCATGGACTTAGAAATCATTTTTCATACGTTTTTGCAAGGATAAAATATTTTACTTGACATGAACATTTACTGACTTCTTTCTAGATACAGCATAACTTCCATTTCTGTTCTCCTTAGCAGTCAATTAACAGAATATCAAAGCTTATACCTATCAGGTACATTTTGTCATCATTATTCCTACCCAAATTCAAGCCAAAAATAAATGAAATATCAGTAAACTTTAAGGCCAATTCTTTATTTACATTTTCCTTAAGTAGCAGTCAGTATTGGGCTTTCTGTTTGTTGGTGAGGGTTTTTCTTGTTTTGTTTTTTATAGCTTTAAGGATAAGGTAAAATAAATTAATAGAAAGTGGCATTTCTAAAGAATGATTTCCCTCCTGTAGTGTTTCTCAGTGGACGTGAAAGGACTAGCTTTTCATGACACGTGTTGGCATCCTATTAAACTTATTTATTTTTATACCCAGCTCTTCCTCACCAGATTTAAGCTCCAGCAGTAAACTAACAGCAAGCAGAAAGAGCACAGGACAGCTAAACGTGAACCCTGGGACCACCAGCGGCAACACCGCGACTGCAGAACGGAGCCGGCATCAACGAAGCTTTTCTGTGCCCAAGAAGTTTGGTGTCATCGACCGATCCTCTGACCCACCTCGAAGTGCCACACTGGACAGAATTCAGGCTTGTACCCAACAAGGCCTCTCCTCAAAAACCAGAAGCTCATCCTCCTTAAAGGACAGTCTCACGGACCCATCCCACATAAACCATCCCACCAACCTTCTGGCCACCATCTTCTGGGTCACAGTAGCCTTGATGGAGTCTGATTTTGAGTTTGAATACTTAATGGCCTTAAGGCTGTTGAGCAGACTGCTGGCACATATGCCGCTCGATAAGGCTGAGAACCGGGAAAAGCTTGAGAAACTCCAGGCACAGCTCAAGTGGGCTGACTTCTCAGGCCTGCAGCAGCTGCTGCTGAAAGGATTCACATCCATCACCACCACAGACCTGACCCTGCAGCTCTTCAGTCTGCTGACACCAGTGTCCAAAATATCCATGGTGGATGCATCCCATGCTATTGGTAAAGCCAGCTTCGTTCACCCTCTCTCAATTCTGGTGGTGGATGTGTTCATCATTTGGTACAATAAGATAATATGAACTTGCTGCTTTTAAGAATTCTGCTTTAAAATGGTTCCTTGGGAGTAGTTTGTTTTTTCTTTTAAAATTCTATATAATGTACATCTCAATTACCTATATTACAGAAAATATTTTTAAGGCAATAGCATAAAAGGGGCCAAAATTATTTATATGATATTGGTGATTTCTTTATGCTTTCCAGATCAAACTGTAGCTATGATTAGTTTATTCATTGCTCTTGTACAGAAAAAAAGAAACATTTTTTCTTAACTCCTAAATATTTTATTTTTTCTTTGCTTTTCTGTTCTTCTTGAAAATTCTCTTGGTTTCCTGTTGTTTTGAATTAACCCAAATCAACAAGCCAGATTTTAATGCCATGGCATGTCGCCCAGAATTCATTTCATGAAGTTAGAACTTAACACAGAGGGATTAAGTCATTTCTTATCATTTTAAAGAGTCTTTTCAACTGCATGACTAAGACTCAAATTGGTTGGCCTACGTCCTCTCACACCAGTTTTTCTTAAAATGCGTTTTTTGATAAAAATTTCAAAGTGTACTTCAGCTCAGTTCAGGCTATGCCAATAAAATCTGGGCCAGCCATCCTTATTAACAAAAGTCCAGTGCAAGCTAATCACTGCGTCTTAAAATCGCAGACCCACTTCAGTGTCTGTTGTAACTGGTGCCATTGTGGCTGTGCATTTTTCATCGATTTTGTGTTAGATCATCTTTTGGCTGATTTAAAAGACTGCTTTTGCATCACCTCAGTAAAAAAAAAAACCTGTAACATGCCTTCCCACTGTTAACAGCTAAAATATACTGTATTTAGCTATCTCCATTGTATTTTCTCTAATCCAGGGTTTCCACTGAATGTCTTGTGTCTCCTGCCTCAGCTGATTCAACATTTTGAAAATCCCAATCAGTTCTGTAAGGATGTAGCTGAAAGGATTGCTCAGGTATGAGTTACAGTTCTACCCTCAGGCAGATCCATAGAGGCCTTTAGGGAGCCCCAGTGTCAGACAGATTACCAGGCCCAGGGAGGGCAGTGATTTTCTCAATAACTGGAAATAATAACTAATATAACAGTAATGGACATATGGAGTGACTGATGCATATTGTCTTCCTTGCTTTCATTCTTGAAAATGCAGGTGGAAAAATTTGTGAAAATTATATTAACCAAGCTAAGTACTTCGTATAATTACCAAAAAAGTGTATCATTCTATTTTCCAGACTTTCAGAGCTTATAGTAAAATTGCTAACATTTCTTCCTGTTCATTCGGCTATTTTATTCCTAATTGATTTTCTTATTTTAAAAGGTTTGTTTAGAAGAGAAGAACCCCAAACTTTCAAATCTTGCTCATGTCATGACTCTTTATAAAACGCACAGCTACACAAGGGACTGTGCCACGTGGGTCAATGTGGTCTGTCGATACCTTCATGAAGCATACGCTGACATTACCTTGAATATGGTTACCTACCTGGCAGAGGTAAGCATTTTATTTACTTATTTATTTATTTTGAGACAGGGTCTCATTATGTTGCCCAGGCTGATCTCAACTCCTGGGTTCAAGCAGTCCTCCTGCCTTGGCCTTCCAAAGTGCTAGGATGACAGGCATGGGCCACCATTCTCAGCCAAAGGTAAGCTTTGAAATGAAGGATAAAACTTATTATAGCTTCCATGGGTAAATTATTTGCATAGAATTGATAATAAACTCAATATACTCTTCCATATATTATATGCCTATTAAATACATGCTGATGGAATCATTTTAAATCCTCACAAGAGCACAGTAATACAGCTACTGTCATACAGCTCTGAGGCTAAGCTAGGTTAAATAATTTTCCACAAGTTTAAAGCAGCAGAGTCAGCCTTTAAACCTAGATATTGCTGCCTCCAAAGCTTAAACTCATTCTATTTATTATGGTAATACCTGTCACCACATGGCAGAGATCAGAAAATTTTGTCCTAATTACTCTAGGTATCCAAGTCTTATTTAAGGAGTTACTGTGTGGCTTGATATGTTTAATCGTTGTTTGCTCTGATCTAATGATCAAAGCATACATTCTGAAATAGACTTTATTCTCAACTTTCATTTATTTATTTATTTGTTTGTTTATTTATTTTTGAGACAGAGTTTCACTCTTGTTGCCCAGGCTGGAGTGCAGTGGTGTGATCTCTGCTCACCACAGCCTCCGCCTCCCAGGTTCAAGCAATTCTCCTGTCTCAGCCTTCCAAGTAGCTGAGACTACAGGTGTGCACCACCACACCCAGCTAATTTTTGTATTCTTAGTAGAGACGGGGTTTCACCATGTTGACCAGTATGGTCTCAATCTCTTGATCTTGTGATCCGCCCACCTTGGCCTCCCAAAGTGCTGGGATTACAGGCATGAGCCACCGTGCCTGGCCTTATGTTTGTTTTTAAAACTGGAATGGCAGTTTGTCATCATACCAGTGTGTTTCTAGTGTATTCATTACAAACCCCTACACTGACTTTTGTGTACATTGGTGCTAGAAATAAATCGAATATTGGTGGGCAAGAGATGAAATGTATTCTGTTTAGCGTCTGCAGTCCCCAACAAGTTTATTACACAAGGTCAGGAAATCTATAAGGCAATTGACTGGTAGCTACCTTGTTTCAGCACTTTCAGTGTTGCTTTTTCTTGTGTGATATGCATTCATAGCTATCACTAGCACCTTTCAGAAGAGATGAGGACAATCTATCCTAGTTTTTCTTTTGTTTATATCATCAATCCAGACGCCATATAGGTTAAAAATCAGCCATTTTCTCAGAGGCTCCACAAACCTGAAAGCATCTACCTAGCAGAGGAGAGATGCCCCATCATCCATCAACATTTATAGTTGATCCCGCAGGATTTTGACTTGCAATACAGATCAGCAACATGTGGACTCTGTTCAGACTATCAGCAACCCAGGAGTCACTTGCTCTTTCCGCATCTCTGACATTTTAAGGAACCCCTCATAAGTACCACCCTGCTGGTTTTAATAGTCACCTGGTCATACCTGTCCCTGCCAGAGTTACTAAGCAACACACACACACCTCAGCACAGAGGTAGTACTGGAAGAACTGATTTGCTCTGCTTACAAAGGCAGACCATGCCTCCTTTAAAATAAGGTGAAGGTAGATAGCAAGGAGGCAACATTTGTTTGGCTCACTAATCATAAGATGTTTCAAAAATGCAAATGGTATGTAGCATATACATACAAGGGAATATTATTCAGGAAGGAATTCTGATGCATGCTTCCACATGGGTGAACCTTGAAGACAACACAGTTTGCTTAATCATCTCCCTTTTGTTGCTGATGTTCATAATTTTTCCATTGCCAATGGTCCTGTTATGTGGACCTTTATCAAATGATACTTGAAATTTGATCAAATAATAATAGATGTTATCAAAATCATTTTATCACATAATATCAAATGACTCTACATTTCCCAAAGTGCATTATTCAGTCCCATGGCGTGGGTATGTTATTTAGTTCTTTAACATATTCGAGAAGTTAGTCTTCATAAAGACCCCCCAGTTTGTAATACTATAAACAATGTATAAATATTCTTATTTTCCTGTATCCCCACTAAATTTTATCATTCCATGTATTCATTTTTTAGTTTAATACTTTTTGTTAATAATTTTGAATTATTTTAGGCATTTTCTTTCTAGTAAAGATATTCATTTTCCACATTGTAGATTTACATAATTATTTCCTCATGTTTTTTGTTTTGTTTTGAGACAGAGTCTTGCTCTTATCCCTCAGGCTGGAGTGCAGTGACGTGACCTTGGCTCACTGCAACTTCTGCTTCCTGGGTTCATATGATTCTCCTGCCTCAGCCTCCTGAGTAGCTGAGATTACAGGCACTAGCCACCACACCCAGCTAATTTTTGTATTTTTAGTAGAGATTGGGTTTCACCATGTTGGCTAGGCTAGTTTCAAACTCCTGACCTCAGGTGATCCACCCATCTCAGCGTTCCAATGTGCAGGGATTACAGGTGTGAGCCACCACGCCCGGCTGTTTCCTTGTTTTAACCACTGTGTAAATACTGTGAAATTTCAGCATTTACTTGGATCATCTCTCTCAGCTTTTTATTTTAAACAGTAAATATTTATCATGATGTCCGTCACATGTTTTTTCCTTATTTTGCTTTCCTTTTGGATAATATCACTGATTTTTTATGATCATAAAAGTAGTATATGTTCATAACAGAAAATTTGGAAGATGCAGGAAAATTTTTTAAAAGAAAAGAAAAATCACCCAAAATTATAGAGAAACAATATTAACATTTTTAAATTTCTTTCCAATGTTATTTCTGTATAACATACACATTCATGTCAATATTGGCATGATCTATTAAAGAGACAATTATGTATCCTTCATTTCCCACTCAATATTATCTGTTATCCTCCACCGTCTTTAAAAATGTCATTCTGTTAACTGCATGATGTTTCATTATACAGGTTGCTGTTAACCTGTATATCCATTTCCCTAGTGTTTGATATTTGAATTGCTTACAAAGCTTTCTTGTTTTGTGTATGTTTTTTTGCCATTATAGATAATGCCGTGATAAAATCTCATACGTAAATCTTAGCCTCTATCTCTGGTTTGAGAAACATTCCTTAAAGTATAATTACTATGTCAAAAGATTATGGATCTTCTTCCTTGCTCTTGATCTCATTTGCCAAATTATCCAATTTACATTCCTACTGATATGTAAGAATACCCATTTCTTTATCTCCCCATCAGTACTGAATATTATCAATTTCTAATCTTTGCCAATTTGATAACTGACAGATTGTATCTTTTGTTCAAATTTGTAATTTTTGATCATTGGTGTTAGATGCTTTCTTTTTGAGGTGTTTTAATATTTCATCATGTGAATTTTATACTTACATATTTGTATCTTCACACATGATATAGTCTATTTTGATAATATCTTCATTTCTTTATAGTTAGGATTTTATATCCCCTCCTAAAGAAATGTGCAATCAAGCCAGGCATGGTGGTTCTTGTCTATAATCCCAGATACTTGGCAGCTGAGGCAGGAGGATCTCTTGAGGCCAGTAGTTTGGTACTAGCCTGGGTAACATAACAAGACCCCATCCCGTAAAAAATAAAAATTACAAAGGAAATATGCATTCTAAATGTGTTAGAAAATGTGGGTCCTTCCGTATGAAGATCTGGTGTGTGACTGACTCCAGCTGCACTTTGCCCCCACAGCTGCTGGAGAAAGGCCTCCCTAGTGTGCAGCAGCCCCTGCTTCAGGTGATCTACAGTCTGCTCAGCTACATGGACCTTTCTGTCGTTCCTGTCAAACAGTTTAATGTGGAAGTTCTGAAGACAATTGAAAAATATGTGCAGGTGAGTACTTGGATAACTTCACTAAGCAACCAGTCACTCCAGAAAGACAGAGGCTTTCCCTGTAGCTTGGCTACAAAACTGTCTGGGTGCCGAGCCACTCATTCATTCCCTTGACATCCATGACACAGCCAGGGCAGTTAAGAGTGGGAGTTGACCACACCCTGAGTAGGATTCCAAAGAGAATGAGAGCACAAGACCCTGGCACATTCCAGTGCCTTCAAACGACACATTTCTGCCTCTTGGGGCTACCAGCTGGGTATTGAAAGATTCGGAGGGAAGAGGCAGAATCTTGTTTTTTATGTCCTGTTTCAGAGGAGAGGGGACAAGGAACTGTAGGAACTTTCACTTATGCCAGGTTCGAGGCCCGGTGTCTCAACATCTGAAGCGTTATTCAGAGGCTAAAATTGTCACGTTAGAATTGAAGGGTGGCTAAGAAACTTGAGTAGCTGTACTTGAAGATAATCCTACAAACAAACAAAAAAACGTTTGTTTGAGGGGATAAATAAAACAAGATGACAAAACGTAAATAATTGATGAAGAGTACAAAGCAAAGGGGTTCATTAGGCTAGTCTCACTGTTTCTGTGTATATTTTAATATTTCCATAATAAACAGTCGTTATAAATATTTTTAAAACCAAGAGATTGGCCCCAAGACTTCAGTTAGTAAAGGCTGGAGCTGGTATTTGGATCCAAAGCCAGTGTTTTTGTTTTATTGTACCAGGTAGCCTTCCTGACAGGATACTTGGTAGACATCGCCAAACACCTACAGGTTGGTTCTTTAACGCTGTACTGAGAAGACCAGAAACAAAATTTATTTTAATGAAAATAAAAATAAATATCAAGGCCAGGCACAGAGAGTCAACCTGTAATCCCAGCACTTTGGGAGGCTGAGGCAAGAGGATTGAGGCCAAGAGTTCAAGGCCAGCCTGGGCAACAAAGTGACACCCCATCTCTACAAAAATAAAAATATTAGCAAGGTTTGGTGATGCACACCTGCAGTCCCAGCTACTTAGGAGCCTGAGGAGAGAGTTTCCTTTGAGCCCAGTAGGTTGAAGTTATAGTGACCCATGATCACACCACTGCACTCCAGTCTGGGCAACAGTGATAGATAGGAAGATAGCAATATAAATAGATATGAAGATAGATCAAACACACCAGGGCAAGTTTCTAAAGCCTGGAAGTTAATCTAAAGCATAAAACACATGACCACAGACTGAAGCAGGGAGGCTCCGGGCCATGGGAGTAGTGCACGGCCACCATGGGGTTAAGCAGAGAGTGCCTAGCTCAAGAGTAGAGACATCTTTTATCTACATTTTATTTCTCCCTCTATTTCTTCTCTGGAGTGTACTTGGTAACCTGTAGGATTCAAGAGCAAATGCTTGGTTCTCTCTGGTTAAGCTCATTGATGAAGATATACAGTATAAATTTTAAATATTCCTTTCCATCTTTACTTCACCAATCAAATTATTTACAGAAATTACTTAATGCTAAAAGTGACTTCCAAGCATTTTGCAAGTGATGTTGCTCCATAATACTTGCCCCACACATGGGGTAGGCAGTCGGTTAATAGCTTCTCACTTCACTCACAGGAGACAGGTGGTCAGTTCACATCTTTCTATGAATGTGTGCCCCATGTCGTTGTTTATTAGTCTGTCCATTTTGCCTTAGGCCTATTGGCCATGTCGGGTACTTTGTATCTTACCTGAAATAGTAGCTTATTTCACACTTAAACCATGGCCTCCCTTGTGCAGAATCTAATAGATGTTTTATTTCGTGTGCTTTGACTGCAAAGTCCAGGCAAAAATAATAATAACGTTTATCAAGTTCATTTATCTATGTTTCTAATACTTTTATGGGAGCAGCACCCACTCTGATTGGAGGTTGTCAGAGAAACAAAGATGGTAAAACTGAGTCTTAAATGCAGAGTAGGAATTTGACATGCCAATAAGGAGGTGAAAGGTATTCAAGGATGAGGGCAGATCATGAGTAAAGGCACAGAGGCTGAGAGAGCTTGCAAAGTTTGGGGAACTCTAGCAGCAGCCTAGGGAAGATGACCCCTGCAGGCCATGCTCAAAGAGTATGGACTCCACCCTGTCCACCAGAGGGAGCCCATGAATGAGTTGAAGTGGCTTGGTCTGAAAAGTTCTAGGAAGATCACTCTAGCTGGATCTGATGCTCTTAAAGGCTGCAAGCCAGGACACCAGTAAGGGACCATTGAGATAGTAAGGCCTCAGAGCATGCCACTGAGCCAATGCCAGCAGGAATGCAGAGGAGGGAACAGATTACCAGGAGGGAGGGAAAGAAAGGGTTAAGAACAGCTTCCAGATTCTTGAGTTAAGTAATGAGGAAGGCAAGAAGTGAGAAGAAAAGAGGGCTGAAGGCAGAGACCCAGGCACCAGGAAGCAAATGAACCAGGAGGAGCCAGAGAACTAGGAGAAGGACAAAGAAGACTGGAAACCAGAGGTGGGGAGAACTTTCAGAAAGAATGAATTGAACAGTCAGTGGCATAAAGTGCACTGGGAGCTTTTTTTTCCAAATGAAGGAGGTGCCTCATTACCAATAATGGTACCTCATTAGTAATAATTTAGTTTAGTTGAAATGGACAAAATTGGTCTTTTTTTATTGGCGTGTTTCCTAAATGTAGCTCTTGTTATATATACATTGCCTTTTATGTCATTTGCCTTTTCCTTATCATGGAACCTCCCGCACTGTTTTAAGTCAGTGAATTCTGACTGATCACTAGCTTCTCACTGGTCATTCTGACTTACATTAGCTTTAAAAAAATGAAATTATTTTTAACCTTTGAATGTTTTATTTCCTACAGAGCGTTCACTGGAGAGAAGCTCTGAATATCTTGAAGCTGGTGGTGTCTCGGTCAGCCAGCCTCGTTCTACCTGCGTACCAGCACACTGACCTCTCAAAAATAGAGATGCATCGAGTGTGGACTAGTGCTTCCAAGGAATTACCTGGGAAGACCCTGGACTTCCACTTCGATATTTCAGAGGTACTATGTTAACTGTTTCTGTGAACTTTAGCATGAATTTATAGTAGCAAAGGTCAAAAGTAGTTGCCTAGAGAAAAGAAGACTTGACAGTTATTTCAAGTGAAGATTTATAAGGACTAAATGAGGTTCTGCTTTTTTAAGAACCCATTGAGTGTCATATTCACTGGGACTCTCAGTTGGCAGCTTTTATAAATAGAAACTGGCCTCGGTTATGTAAAAAATGATTTTAAAAAGAGGTATTTAAAAATGGAATGATCGTAAGCATTTTAAACCGTGACCTTCACTCATTCTTCATCTCACAATGGTCATGTCTTTATATACACAACGTTTCTCCCTGAACGACAGCCAGTTCAGCAATCACCAAAATTTAAAGGAATACAGATTTCACTTTTACAGTTGCTTCCCCAACCCACACTATTTTTTAAACAAGTAAAACTAAATTCTTGTCTTAAAGGGGGCAGGGGAGGGAGAGGGAGGAGCAAGAGACTAGGGACCCAATCTAAGGAGTCAGGAAGAAAAGAAAGGACAGGAAGTGGTCCTATTTACCAGGTAGTTTAGGAACAAACATTTGGGAGGCCTGTATTGAAGCATAAGGTGTAAAATAACTTTGCTTTCACATCTCTTACTCCATAACTTATGAACCCCCAAAGCAGAAACTGCGCTTTGTTCATGTTTATGACCAGGGCCTGGTACAACATCTGGTGCATAATAGATCACTAATAAACATTTCCAAACACTGCTGAATGAATAAAGTCACCAAAAAATAAACCTAGTGTCAAACACTGCATGTTCTTACTCATAAGTGGGAGCTGAAAAATGAGAACACATGGACACAGGGAGGGGAACATCACACACCGGGGCCTGTCCGGGAGTGCAGAGGCAAGCAGAGGCAGAGTATTAGGAGAAATACCTAATGTAGATGACAGTTTGACGGGTGCAGCAAACCACCATGGCACATGTATATCTATGGAACAAACCTGCACGTTCTGCACATGTATCCCAGAACTTAAAGTATATTTTTAAGAGAAAAGTAAAGAAATAAACCTGGTTTGCTTATATGGAACTTACTTGCCCTATTATGTAGGTCATATCCAAGTTTGGTTTTTATACAATGGTCCTCACTGACCTTTCGTCATTTCAGTTTTGAGGATGAGATACTATTGGCTGCCACTGTGACACCTGCATGTTATTTATTATGTAAATAACATTAAGGTTTCCACTTAATCCTTGTCTATTTCACATTTTTTTAACATGGCTAGGGGGAAAAGCTATTTTTACTCTGCGATTTGAGTTTACTGTACAAAGAGATACAAAAAAACATGCAGCCAGTTAGCAGCATGCCCTGGAGACCCAAAACTGCTGCAGAATGATGGGTCTCGAGCCAGGCGTGAAATTGACAGTTTCTGCCACTGCCAAGGTCAGGCCCATGAGCTGGTGTCTGCGAAGGAGACGGGCTCAGAACTAATATTTGCGAAGTGCTGCTCACGCAGCCACCCCACTCTAGAGCTCTCAGGAAGTGAGATTTCTCAAGTGCTGCCCAAGTACCTGGCCTTGACCTCAGTCATTTGAATAATTGAAAAGATATAAATAAGTTAAATACATTTTTAAACAATTGAGAGTATATAAAGGTTGATGATTAAAAGTTGCAAGAAGGAAAGGATTTTTGGTCTCTTGTTCTAACTATAAGAAATTTTTTCAAGTTTAAACAATCGAAAACTGACTAGTTTCCTGCAGTTTGCTTCTCTTTATCAGTGGTTTCTAAAGCACATTAAAGAACAAGCAGTTGCATTTTTCTGCTGCTGAAGAGGGGAGAAAATGTTGAAGATGCAAAATGATTCATAATGTATACTTGAGTATTGAGAAAATGAGCCCATTTGTAACACTGAACTTCTCTAATTTTATTCTTAATCAAATAAGCCATTCTTGGTTGCTTCTGGGAAGAGGGGTCTCATGTGTCACAGAACTGTTGAGACAGAAGAATGTGCTTTTGTCTTCTTTATTCTCAAGACTCCAGTCATAGGGAGGCGGTATGATGAGCTGCAGAATTCTTCAGGGCGTGACGGGAAGCCCAGGGCCATGGCTGTCACCCGGAGCGCATCTTCCACTTCTTCAGGCTCCAACTCCAATGTCCTTGTTCCTGTGAGCTGGAAAAGGCCCCAGTATTCTCAGGTATGCAATCCTAGACCCACAGGCCTGGGAGGGAGTTTAGGGACCTGTTGAATCCAGATGGCTGTGTCACAAGGGAATCCCCCTTTCACCATCCCAAGGTTGCCCATATAGATCTCCACACTTCCAGGGATGGGATCTTGTGACATTCCAAGGAACCCATTTTCTCTTTGAACAGTTCATTACCTTGAGTTGAAGTCTGACTCTTTGTTGCTTCTATCCATTGGTTCTAGTTCTCTTAAGGTCTAGAAAATAAAATAAAAATCTGATCTCTCTTTCACATGCTAGCCCTTCAGACATTTAAAGAAATTCTGCCCCTCTGCCACTCTCCTAAATAAGTCCAAACAACACATCCTTAGTTCACCCAACCAATCTATAGCACTTGGACACCCAAAGAGTTGATAGGGCTGCATACCCAAGGACCACCCTGGCTGCTGTCCACAAAGCAGGTACCTCAACCATGGTGTCCATGCACAGGCTGAGCCATGCAGATGGGGAGGGGCAAGGGTACTGCTGCCAGATTCTCTGTCATCACAGCATAGGATTGTATGTTTTATCTTCTGCCATCTCAACCATCATAGCAGAGATGCCATTGGGCTTCCTGTCAAGTAACACTTCCACATTATTCAGGAACCTTTGTTGACATGTGACAAATCCATTGAAAAACTACGTTATGTGGTAAAGGAACTTATTAACTTACCCATCTTGGCATCAAGCACAGTTGGCTCCTAGTACACAGGTGTCAGAAACCAGATTCTTAGACTGTCTCGTTCTCACTGTCCCCATCTTCCCTTCCCAGCATCTCGCCCCTTGTTCTCCCCTTCGCTGACTTCATTCTCAGGCAGGCTTTTTCTACGAGAGGCCCAGATGACCTCTGGCAACTCTAGGTTTACATGATCTTTGGCTCTGATTATTTCACAGTGACAGAGGCCTTTCCCCTTTTTACATCCATGGCAATTCTAGAAAAGAGTTCTTGCAGGGTATGTGAGGGAGGCATAGCCCCACTCAGTGAGAATGGAGCCTTTCCAAGATAAAAAGAGGGACAGTGTTACCAGAAGAAGGTGAAGTGGGTGCCGGGAAGGACAAAGTGCGTGCCCAGCAGGACTTACCTTCTCTCTCAAAGGTTAGTGCTGGCTGCAACAGAGCAGGTTCTGAGTGAGTGTTCAGCTGAAAACTTCACTGGAAGAGAGAAGGAAAATATACAGCCAATTCCATGTCCCTCTACATTGACTCCTTCCCAGAACTGTAAAATGACCACTAAGATTCAGGAAAATCGTTTAGTGAGTCTTCTGCCATCTCTCAACCTCAAAATCCTCCTGTCTCTGACCTTGAGCAGACACTGTACTGAGTGTCTGTCCCCTCTATAATTTGGAAAGAAGGATGCAGTGAATTGAGTTCCGTTAAGAAGAAAAATCTAAGAGTGGCATTGGCCTCCTAGCAGTTTCCGAATAACGAACTTTAAATCAGATTAAAGGGGGGAAATCATTGTAAAGAGATTAGAAAGATTGCTTTAAAAATTATCAACTCACCCATCATTCTGAAACCTGGGTTATCCGTCACTGGAAATTGTAATGGTTTATAGAATAATCCTATGCTTATGGGGCTGGAAAATAAGTTTATGAAGAAAAGGAACTGAATCTGTTTAATTATCAGAAGAAGAAACTAAGAAAGATTTAATGTGGCTTAAAATAAATGAATTTTTTCATTCTACAGAAAGTATTCTTCTATTTGAGAAAAAAAGACTGGTGCTGTAACTTAATAGAGTTAATTTAAGTGTAAGGAAAGCCTTGCTAATGCTGAAAGTTATAACCTATAGGAAAAGATTATCAAAGGAAGTGATAGATCTCCTTGAAGAACCTAGGGATTGATTTTCACATACAGACGTATACACCCCTTGGGATAATTTAGATCACCACTGTCCAGAAGAAACATAATGTGAGCCTCATTTTACATTGTCCAATAGTCACCTTTAAAAAAAGGAAAAAGAAACAGGCAAAATTAATTTTAATAATAAATGTTACCTAACCTTATATATTTAAAACATTATTTCAACATGTTTTCAGTACTTTACAATTTTTAATTGCTGTTTATGTTCTTTTTTCATACCTTTGTGTATTTTACATCTCAGTTCCCACTGTCTGTATGTCAAGTGCTATTGCCCTGTGTGGCTAGTGGCTAGAAAATTAGAGTCGACATGCTCACAGGACCCCATAATGAAACCTGCCTGTGTTTCCTTTCCAGAAGAGAACAAAAGAGAAGTTGGTCCATGTCCTTTCTCTGTGTGGCCAAGAAGTAGGATTGAGCAAAAATCCATCAGTAAGTTCTGTCATGTATCGTAGTTACTTTGGTGTCATATCTCCTTTTTTATTGGTCTGTTTTTGCCTTTGGTCATATAATTTAGAAGATTCAACTGTGAATGACAAATATGATAGCCACCATCTTGAGCAAACCGCTTGACTGTTTCTCCCCACAGCATTAATCACACTGAGTTCAGAAACAATGAAAGATCTTGTTGGCTGTTTCCTCATTTGTCTATGAATAGTTTCTTTTCATTTTTTTAATTTCCTGGATGACTTTGTTTCAATATAAATGATCATCTCTGCTGAGCACCATGTACGTCAGATATGCTCATACCTCTTGGATATAACTTTCCTCTCTGAACACACACACACTTCTTACTCTGATGTCCTTATCTTACCCACATACAGTAAAGATGAAAAAATACATTTTTTTGCATACAAACTTCCACTGATGTTACAGTAAAAAAATTAAAACAAAAATTATGCCATCAACCTTTTGAATGAATGAACGATTAAAATGTTATAAGTATACTTTGGAAGCTTTTATAAAATTTAGAAAATTTTGAATTATGTATAGGATTATATTACAATAAAAACAATAGAAGTGTCTGCTGGTTTTAGCAAGTATTTTTGTTTCACGTATATCACAGCATATTTATTATTTATGAAAAAGAAATAGCAAACTAAATATTTTTCAACTAAAGTAAGAATTAGCAAATAAATTTCTCTGTGGAGCTATTTCTAAAATTTCAAAATAAATCTACTAACATAGTTCATGAGCAGGTGAAATATTAGAAGCTCATAAATACTTGCTAAAGTGCAAAGTGATACTTCTTATCATCTGGGAAAGCACCCCAGCCAGCCATCAGCTAAGCTGGGCCTCCATTTAAGTCGCCTTCTCAGTGTTATTGATCAGTGGGTTTTCTGCTGCTCTTGTGACAGTATTTGGGACAGAGGGGACAGTGGTAGAGGCAGATAGAGCCTCGGAGCCCACAGCGAAGAGACACAGTATGTTTTGTCCCTGCAGTGCAGCACCGCCAATGAGGCCTACTTTTATTGCCATTGTGATTGACACTTTCTCCTTCAGACTCATACTTCTGCCCTGTGCTAAGGCCTTTTCAGCTAGAAATATTTACCTGGAGCACATTACGAATAAGAGAAGCAGCACTAACTAGGAAAGACTGCCTTCAGCCGAGGAAATGAGAAATCTCAAGTCTTGTCTCTCTAGTTGACTAGTCCTCAGGGCTCTTTATCTCACATACCCATTTGCAATCCCTGTGTAAACTATGTAGGGGGCTGTTATGCGAGGCCATTGTACACATCATACACTATTCTTAAACACCAGAGGAAAAAAGTACGTGTGAAATCCATTCACTCTTTTTACTTTTGAGAGATGTTTATTGTATTTAAGTTCTTATAAATGATTTGCCTACTTTTCAAGAACAACTAAGACATTATAATGGTTATACAAAGAATATTACTAATTTTCTTTATTATCAGTCTATGTTCAGTAGAGGCTGGATAGCAAAACATTTACGCTCATTTACAGTTTATTATTTCTACCAAGTTCTTCCAAAATGGCTCAGGAGCAGAACCTAAACATAGAAGTTAATTTTAAAACATTAACATACTAAAGATTTTAGTAGTTAAAAAATGCTTTATTTTGTTTGAATCTACAGGAGAGGAATTTAAGTATAAATTATGGGCCTGGTTACTCACCTACCTTCTATGAACAAGTATTATACTTTTTGGCTTCTGTTTTTATTCTTTACCAATTCTGGTTTATCTCTAAAAGGGTTAAATCCTTTGTTCCCGCAGTTGATTCTACAATAACATATCTTGGTATCAGTCCTAAAATATTATATGTATTTGATATATGTGTGTAAATATGTATAATTTATAACCCTAATCAGATCAGAAACAGTGGAACATTTTCCTGACTGCTTCAGTTTACACACAAACACACATGCACACACACATGCACACACACACACACAGTATACAGTCTTCGTCCATTAAGAAGCACCAGTGTGATTCTTAAACATTTTCCTGGTGCATGAACTTGCGTCTTTGCCACGAGTTTAATCTGAAGGCACCTGTCCAACATAAATAATAAAAGAACATTCTAAAAATACCCACTGAAGGAATTAGGTGTGTACTGGAAATACAGTGCTATGAAAAGCCAATTACGGTTTTTCATAGCACAAACAACCAAAGGGAGAACAGTTTCTCAGGAGAGGACTCTTGATTTGCAGGTGATTTTTTCATCGTGTGGGGATCTGGATCTACTCGAGCACCAGACAAGCTTGGTTTCTTCTGAGGACGGCGCCCGAGAGCAGGAGAACATGGATGACACAAACAGCGAACAGCAGTTTAGAGTCTTCAGAGACTTCGACTTCCTAGATGTGGAGCTGGAGGATGGAGAGGTACGGTGTAGTCTCTATCAAAATAATCCCTGCACTCTTTCCTTGACTAATGAAACCATTCTTTTTACCTGCTAAATAATGAGTTTTTATAACAAGATCTTTAATCGGAAAGTTGCAAACTTTATTTTGAATCAACTTATTCAAAGTACAGCAGCTAAACTTTGGCAAAAGTTACCACACCCTTCCTGTCTGAGCCCACGGCAAAAGCTGCCAAGTTATTTCTAAATGGCAAAGAGCAGAGTTGCAATGACCACACAGACTGTATGTGTGTGTGTGTGTGTGTGTATGTGTAGTCCCAAGCTGGACTTAAAAAAAAAATCACAAAAACATTTCAGTTCTGAGCCCCTTCACTGGTACCTGGGTAAAATTTGCTAAGCATTTAAGCATTTCTAACGTGAAGTTTCTCTAATTCAACTCCTTCAAAGCTTGCCTGCTACAACATGAGACCACAGCCTGAGGGATCCAACATTTTTGTGCTTGATGAAATCATGAGAACTGGAAACAAAATACAATCTGCACGAGAAAGCTCTTTGCTCTGCTTAGGTCGGTGGCCGGTGTTCTTGACACTGGAACGGCTGAATTCAAATCTCAGTGGGCAAATGCAGATTTGTTTATTTTGGTGATAATCATGGCTGTAAGACACTTTCAGCTATGGATCGTGTTTTTGGAAACAGGTACTGAGAGGAGGGGCATCGCCTGCCACTCACTTTCATTTCAGTAGCTTAGAGGCATGTTCTACCTAAGAGGCGGTCTTTTGCCTCCCGGGATCAAAACTCAGTTCACTTAAATAAGATTGGATTATGTAAAGGTGCCTGGGTCGTAGCCTTTGGCAATGGTGTTGTCAACTCATGTTTAACTGCACCAGATTTCCCAAAGGGCTCTCTGCTAATCTTACAATTGAGGAGGCAGGCACAGATCCCAAGTGTAGGATGTCCTGCAGTAGGTAGGCACCTCCTTACTTAACTACAGGTTTGTGGTAAATGATGCTTCAAGTAGCTGCTTACCTTCCCTAAAAGGATTTTGTTACTGACCAACCCACTTATGTCTAGTTGAAGCCAAAGAGCCCTCTGCTTTTGTCCTTCCTGGCCCACTGATGACCCTGCAGGAGGGTCTGATATCTGCCCCAGCAGGAGAGAATCATGTCCTCAGAATAAAGGTGTTCTTCACCAATTCTTTCCCTGGAAAACAAGCTTAGCAGACCCAGTCCTCAAGCAGTATAAAGGCACTACTATAATGTATCCTTAAAATAACTGCCAGTTTAATTTTTACCTTCAGTTGCTTAAGAACCAATCAAAAGTATTGCAGCTTTCTGTGATCCATAATAAATGACAGATAAAGCATTCGTGAGTGCAGTGAGGATTGTTTTAAAAGTCTAAAGCAAAATACAACTGTTTTGAATACTTTCAAAATGTCTCTGAACCAGAGCTCAGAGTTCAGCTAATGTCAAAAGGTCAGCTTCCTGATCTCACAACTGACCTAATGTTTGCTCTTAGGTTAAAATTCAAGCTTGGACACCTGTTTCCCTCTGGAAGTTAAACAAGGGAGGGAAAAACAGATGAAGCAAGAGAGGTATCATTTCCTGTCTCGGCCAGAGAAAAATGTTATAGGAAACGACCTAGCAGGAACGATGTAAAGCCAAGGAATCTGACACAGTTTCAGAACAGCTCACAAATTTAGTTTCTATCAAAATAAAGGAAGGAAAAATCTGGGATGCCCATTACATAAAAATAAATATTATACTAATGTTTTTCAGGGACAAGAAATAAGGAATACTATATCTTTTTTCTATTCTCTCTTAAAAACTCACAGGGATTATTTTATCTTTCATTGTTAAGATTTTATAAGAATCTGGCTGGGCACAGTGGCTCACACCTGTAATCCCAGCACTCTTGGAGGCCGAGGCTAGAAGATCACTTGTGTCTAGGAATTTAAGACCAGCCTGGGCAATGTAGCAAGACCCTATCTCTACAAAAAATAAAAAGTTAGCCACGTATGATAGCACATGCCTGTGGTCCCAGCTACTCAGGAGGCTGAGGTGGGAGGATCACTTGAGCCCAGGAAGTCAAGGCTGCATTGAGCCATGATTTGCACCACTGCACCCAGACTGGGTTACAGAGTGAGACTCTGTGTCAAAAAAAAAAAAAAAAATTAGAAGAAATTCACAGGGCTGAGAGTGTACATTTTACCCAAATAAAACAAGGCATTTGAGAATGTTTTGCTACTTCTCAGTAAAATCACAATAAGGGATTCTAACATGCATGAGTAGAAGAGTGAGGATACCTGGACTTCAGAGTCCAGCAGCTCCAAGTTTGAATTTCACCTGGGACACTGACCTTAGCTATATGACCTTAAGCATGGATGCAGTTCCTCTTGGTTTCCATTTCTTTGTCTGTTAAGTGGGTATAAGAATACAAGTTGAGCATTTCTCATCTGAAAATTCAAAATCTAAAAAGCTAAAAAATTCTAAACTTTTTGAGCACTAACACAATGTCACAAGTAAAAGATTCCACACCTGACCTCATGTTACAGGTCATAGTCAAAATGCAGTCAGAACTTTGTTTCATGCACAAAATTATTTTAAAATTGTGTAAAATGGCCAGGTGCGGTGGCTCACGCCTATAATCCCAGCACTTTGGGAGGTTGAGGCAGGCGCATCACGAGGTCAGGAAATCAAGATCATCCTGGCCAACATGGTGAAACCCATCTCTACTAAATACAAAAAATTAGCCAAGCATGGTGGTGCACACCTACAGTCCCAGCTGCTCAGGAAACTGAGGCAGGGGGATTGCTTGAACCCAGGAGGCAGAGGTTGCAGTAAGCTGAGATCACTGCACTCCAGGCTGGTGACAGAGCAAGACTCTGTCTCAAAAAACAAAAAATTATATAAAATTACCTTCACGCTGTGTGTTTAAGGTGTATGTGAAACATAAGCAAATTTCATATTTAGACTTAGGTCCTATTCCCAAGATATCTCATTATGTATGTATATTATTAGCACTGTTAGTGTTTCGTTAGCACTGAGAAAAATGTTTTTGAGTCTCTTTAATATAATCATTGTAAATAGACCTTTTGTTTGTTTTTCTGTTCATTCAATCTGCTACCCAGGAACTTCAGGTAAGATGATGCTATTTTTAATTCAGATATGCTAGTAGATGTTTTGCATCTTTGCAGATTTATAACAACATAATTGCTTTTTTCCTCCCTTCCAGAATATGTGCTTATTTGCGTGCATATTTCCATTTAGGTGTGTGATATAAAAGGTATTTTTCTTGGCTGCTCTAGTATGGAAATGTCTTCTAAAATGTAAATACATTTTTAAAACCTTTATATGCCTAGTTCTGAAAGTTGCATGATTATATCTTTTGAGAGAAATGGAGCTTTCAAATCTGATCTATGGAAATCCTATCATTTCTCATTAAGTGGTTGCACAACTGGATGGGTTTTATTGTTAGATTCTTGTATTAAAACTGAAATCGCTGGATGCGATGGCTCACACCTATAATCCCAACATTTTTGGAGCTCAAGGTGGGCAGATCACTTGAGGTGAAGAGTTCGAGACCAGCCTAGCCCACATGGCGAAACACTGTCTCTACTAAAAATATAAAAATTAGCCATGCCTGGTGGTGCACTCCTGTAATCCCAGCTACTCAGGAGGCTGAGGCAGGAAAATCCCTTGAACCCAAGAGGCAGAGGTTGCAGTGAGCCAAGATTGCACCACTGCCCTCCAACCTGGGCAACAGAGCAAGCTCAGTCTCAAAAAAAAGAGTGAAATGAACAATGTGCATCTAACTATATACCATATATACTTTCAGTTGAATCTTTTTGTCCCCCAGGGATTAAAGGGTATCTCTGTCTCTGTGTAGTGACTAGATAACTTTTCATCCAAACCCAGACCCTTTTGAAAGTAAAAGGGCATACTAATAATATCTATGCCCAAACAACAGGCATTAAAACTGGATCATCCTGGACAAATTGACCTATGATCAGTCTCTATCTTTGTATATCAGACTTAACTTTAAGTAGAACACTTGGGGGAACATGTTTTGACCACAGTGCACCCAAGTTTCTTCAACAATAATCCTTGTTTGACAAAGTTCTAATATGAAAAAATGTTTCAAAAAATATTATTTCTTAACATTTCTAGAATGTTTATTAATACTTTCCCATCTCAGTATAAATACTGAGTGGTTTTGAAGTTTGATAACTGACATAATCAGAGTGTTCATCTGGACTAGCCATCCTCTGCATTTTCTCACATATAGAAAATTGTTTTGACTTTTCACTTTGTATATAACATAAAATACAAATCTGACATTTGGGGTGAGGAAAGATGGAGGGTGGCTGTTCCACTGGGGCCATGCTGAGAAAGCCTGGTTGACTTTTAATTACTGTGGACTTTAAAGGCCAGACTACAACACTGTTCCGTCTCAACCTCTCAGCCACCACTAGGGAAACCGTTTAAACACTCTTGCCTCTAATGGAGATATTGCATCCGCCAGCAAGACAGCCAAACCTTATTCCTACAAGAACAGCTTTCCCTGCCTCCCCATTTTCACACCTGATTGGTTCAGGTCTTCACCAGAGCTACCACCAAACCAGCGGTAGCAGCAACCTGTGCCTGGTGTAGCGTTCTCCCACATGGGTGCCTGTGTTCCTCTGCAAGCTCATGGTTCTGTCTCAGGTGCAGTGCGGGAGACCTCCAGAATCGCTACCTAAGACAGTTCATCTAACCCTTCCAGTCATTGGCACAAGAGAGTCAGTTTTGTGAATTGTGTTTATTTTTCCCTATAATTTTCACATTCTTCTCTTTTTACTCTGTATAGTTAGTATTCTGATTTTTCTTTATTTTTTTCCTTTCTTTACACATTGAATTTTCCTTTTTTTCCTGGAACTTTTGCCTCTTTCATATATTTTTTATTTTCTCACTGCAGTGGCTATTTTTTAAATTCCAGTGCAACAGTTAGCCATTTTCCACCAGAAAAAAGAAAAAATATGTGGTGGTAATTTATCACACCAGATACTGGATATTAGAAACAATATTCTGAGTCTCTACTCTCTTTTTTAATCATACAGCCCTAAGAGCAATGATAAATATCATATGTGAGGATGAATAATGATAATTTGTATATCTTATCCAGATTGTGCTAAGGATTTATACCTGTTGCCTTCTACCATGAATAGCCCAAGCAGACTTTGGAAAAGCTATGCCTCTGTTATATGACAGATCTATGAGAATGGCAAGCTTGTTTCACCAGGAGACAGGCACAATGGACCCTTAAAACAGGAAAATTAATAGATGATAATGCTCATAAGTCTTATAGTAATTTGCATATCTCATATGCTGTTCACTGAGCTCTCATTAGAAAAAATTGTTTTATTTTATTTCAATTAACCATCAGGCAGTGTTTCAAATTACCGGTAAATGAAAAGATTCTGTACTAGATTTTGTCAGATCATCGTTAAATTTTGCTTATTAGTCAGCTGAGTAAAATTTCTTTTCCTTTATTCCTGTCTTAACAGAGAAAAATGAAACCCAAATCCATTCTAGAAAAAAAAAGTCAAATACACTTACTTAATAACTGATGGTTTGTAGAAAAAGTCTGAATGCAACTAAAAGCTGTCTTTAACACTTAAATGGTGACTTAAGCTAGTTCTCAGTAATTCAAAACACAAATCAAAATAATATTTGGCTCTGAGTGCGGTGGTTCACGCCTGTAATCCCAGCACTTTGGGAGGCCAAGATGGGTGGATCACTTGAGATCAGGAGTTCGAGAACAGCCTGGCAACATGGCAAAACCCCATCTCTACTACAAAAAATTAGGCAGGCATGGAACCCGGGAGGTGGAGGTTGCAGCGAGCTGAGATCGTGGCACTGCACCACTCCAGCCTGGGCAACAGAGCCAAACTCTGTCTTAAAATAAAAATAATAATAATAATAATATTTGGTACTAAGTCCGGGAAATTAATGATTTTCTACACTGGGACAGTTATTTAAAGATGAGCCTAAGGCAAAAGTTAAGGTGTGGCTGCTCTAGCCTCTGCATAGTGCATGCTCCATCCGACTTGGCCCAGCTGCTCTGATAGTCTTTGATTCTGCATTGTATCTGTGAAAACCGCTGTGGCAGAGACGGGCTGGAATGTTTATCTAATGCTCTTCCACTAAATACCCAAAGGATTCTGGAATGTGCTACGAGCATAGCTACTACTTTTTTCTCCTTCTGAAAACTATACTAAACAGGGGCCGACCTCAGGGCGGTGGGGCTGACACCTATTTGAAGTTTTCATACTAACAATGTCTTTCTTACAGATTTTTGAAAGCACAGATCGTTGGTAGGGTTTATCAAAATCAACGTTTAACAAAATGTAATAATTACCCACCATGCCAAAGAAAAGTATGTGACCACTTCTACCTATGACTTCACCTGCATTTACAGGAAAATAGTGTGATTTTACTACTTTTCACATTGGTAAACAAAAGTTTTGATACCAAAGTAGATGAGGGACTAAGAGTTGATTATGACAATATTTGTTCCTAAGCTTTGACTAACTAAAAGTGTGAACGTGTGAGTGCAAGAGGATTTTGGCATAAAAAACCGGCTGATGGTGTAATTTCAGGGTGAGAGTATGGACAATTTCAACTGGGGAGTACGCAGACGTTCTCTGGACAGCCTGGACAAGTGTGATATGCAGATTCTGGAGGAGCGCCAGCTGTCAGGAAGCACTCCCAGCCTGAATAAAATGAACCATGAGGACTCCGATGAGTCATCTGAGGAGGAGGACCTCACAGCCAGCCAGATCCTGGAGCACTCAGACCTAGTAAGTAGCACCTCTCCCAATGTAGGAATTGGGAGGCTTATTTTTTGTAATTACTGCAGGACTATAGTTTCCAGTTGCAGCTAAAGAAACTTTCCACAGCTGCTGAGCTAAAATCAGAACCGTCAGGTGGTGTCTAATGGGTTCTAGCTGGCAGTCTTCTCTGTAGGTTGCAAATGGAAACAAAGACTAGGTTCCATGTGATTCACCCTGAAAGCTACCAGATCTGTTAAGGCCTAGATTTTTCCCAAATACCTTTTATGATTCTGGAATCTTTTAAAAAAAATTCCCCAGATCTCAAAGTTTGGAGATAAGACAGACATTTTGATGTGATTATCTGAAAATCCCTGGATTACTAGCTGCTATGTTTAAGGTCCAGTAATGGTGAAATGTGGAAGTTAAAAGAGTTAAGTCATATTAACTAACAACTAGAGAATAATTAGAGCTTTTAAAGAATGGGAACTCTATACTGTGTTTAATTTCCTTTGCTTTTTAAATAGATCATGACTCTCTCCCCCTCTGAAGAGACAAATCCCATGGAGCTGCTCACCACAGCCTGTGACTTGGCCCCTGCAGACACTCATTCCTTTAACACGAGAATGTCCAGCTTTGATGCTTCCTTGCCTGATATGAATAATCTGCAGATTTCTGAGGGTTCAAAGGTGAAGAGATTTTAGCAATGATGATTTGTAGTATCCTTTTAAAAAAAAGCACTTCCAATTTTCCAAGAATTCTTAAGGGGTCTCAAGTAGAGAGACTATCATTTTATTTGTCTCTTTTTTAAAATAATGGAAGTCTGTGCACCTGAGCCTATGTTTTGAAGTTCTTTTACCCCCACAAACTTGAGCAGCCATCTTCTTCTTGGCTGAAAGACGTGATTTGAGGTCTTTTTAAAATGAGACATTTTGCGTAAACACTGCTGGTGGATGGCAAAACCAGTGGTGTATGTCTGAGATCGCTGTGACTGGGAAACTGCTGATCTTTGTCATGACTTTTATAAAACAATATGCTGAGTGAGGTGTGGGTGTCTGCACGTATTTGGGGAAATTCTTTCCGTTGTAGGAAACAATTATACAGTTTGTACATTGATTCAGTGCTTGCCTTTTGGCATACTATCAGAATTTCTAATGTCAATCACAGTCTTATGCCAGATTCACACAAAACTCTTCTCGCCAGACTCTGTGAGGAGAACATAATAATGGATGTAATTTTCTTAATTTAAAAAAAATCTAACAGCATGTGTTTCATTTAAAGTTTATTTTATTAAAATGTTCTGAAAACCATCCACTTGCATGCTATGCCCACATCTATGCACATCAGTATAGAATTGTATTTCCTTATAGTAGAAATACCAAAATAATCTATTGCTATTAGGGTAGAGTCAAGCACTCTTTATCCTGAGTTTGGTTATTGTTGTGCAAGTTCAAAAGAAAAAATAAAATTTAAAAAAAATGTTATAAAAGTATATTCCTTCTGACAGTTCTAATGGAAAAATATAATATTGGCTATTCTATATTATCTGATAGTGTAGTAGAAATACATCAGAAATCTAGGAAAATCAATGTGCTTTAAACCAAGGGCAATCAACGAATTGCAAATACCTAAAAATATTGAAGCTTAAAATAGTAATTATTTCCAAGATTGCCTCATTGCGAAGCTACTACAATCAGGATTCTTGGAATTAGCAGAGTTCTTTTTTAGCCAAATATTTAAAAATCCCAGAAAGAAAAGTTGTCTAAGTTAAAATCCTAAGATTATGAAATTAAATTTCATAGAAAAAACATCACAAAAGAGATGTGAAGTTATTAGCATTTGATATTTCTCATTGTTAATATGGTCATTTACTCAATTTTTCTATTTTGAATGCTGAAAACATATAGATTTCTCATAGAAAGTACTCATAAAAAGGGGTATCCTGACACGGTGGCTCATGCCTGTAATCCCAGCTCTTTGGGAGGCCATGGTAGGTGGATCATGAGGTCAGAAGTTCAAGCCAGGTTGGTAAAACCCCATCTCTGCTAAAAATACAAACAAATTAGCTGGGCATGGTGGCAGGTGCCTGTAATCCCAGCTACTGGGGAGGCTGAGGCAGGGACTTGCTTGAACCTGGGAGGCGGAGGTTGCAGTGAGCAGACAGCATACCACTGCACTCCAGCCTGGGCAACAGAGGGAGACTCTGTCTCCAGAAAAAAAAAAAAGTACTACCTAAGTAATAGATCTGTCTTACCAAGAAAATGTCAAGTCCCATTTCTGAAGAGCTACCCCTTCAGAATGCAGTTTCTCATATAAGCTACATTTCTACAATGTTTGATATATCTATGATATTAGAGAAAATAAAATGTATTTTAATAAGAGCTCATCATTCTCTAATGGATTAAGTATATGCACACTAATAACCTAGAACAGGCACCAGCAGCCAGCCCTGTTGGCAGCACTGTAGTTTTAAAAAGCAGAAAAAAGCAGATATGGATAAACATCTCAAACTGTTTTTACCGGCAATTCCTCCACAGACATGAGATATCTTATTTCCTTAATATATTTTTACCATTCCTGGTAATTTTCCCTATAATTCTAGAGTCAAAGTGTAATATGTATATTATATATATATTTACACACTGAATGCGTGGACAGATGTAACTCGTGATAAGGCTCTAATTCATAGACACTTCTATTTTGCCTTTTGTTTTTAAGAAAATGACTCACTGTAACATGTGCATATTTCTTCCTCTCCCTTCTGATCTGTAATCCAGTTGCCTTCCTTCCTCTCCTGAAGAACAATCAGTCCTCCTTTTCCCCCTGGCCCAGGCCCAAACCTAGCCTCTTTTTCCATTTTACTTGAATGTCTCTTTCCTGCCTCTCACTGATCCTGCTTCTGCCTGCCTTAGAGCCCTTTCATTGTCCTGCTCATTCCACATTTTGTAGTCAGGTGAGAGCAGATACTCATAACTGTTATTTTCAAGGGATATTCTCGAAGGTAAAGCATACATGCAAATGGATCTTAGAGGATCCCCTATGTGGAAAGGCCGAGCAACCCAACAGGCTCAGGGAAGGATTCTGGATCACTCGTGCACACCACAGGTATCCTGGGCATCTCCTGTGCCAGGCCCTGATGATTCCTCATTCCATTGGGAAAGGGGTTCTATCTTAGAGAAACTCTGAATAGGCTTGCTTTAGAAGGCTGGGTTTGGACATGGAAGGAGTTCTGAATCCAAAGCCAATGTTTCTTGTCTTAGCTCCAACTCTGACTATGGACCTGATATTAGACAACTCCCTTTCCTGCATGGAGTCCTGTTTCCTCATCTGCAAAATGTGGAGGTTGGATTGGAGGTCTTGATGGTCTTTTCCAAGTTACCATTCATACCCTATAAGCATGGGCCAGGTATGAAAATCTATTGAGAGCCCCTGTGGGGACTAACATGGAAGAGATTGAAAAGATGAAGAATGAACAGTACTTCAGAGAATTTCTGAGTCCAGCGTAGAAATGGACTATACTATAGCTAGAAAACAAATGCCCTCATTTCTATCACCATCAGCATTTCATTCTCTCTTATTTGTTCCATAGTTGAACCGGTTGTCCTGTATGTATTCTTACACATTGGGGGATTCTTCTTTTTATTCTTCCAGGCTGAAGCTGTTCGTGAGGAGGAGGACACCACTGTGCATGAGGATGATCTTTCCAGTTCCATCAATGAACTCCCAGCAGCTTTTGAATGCAGTGACAGTTTTAGCCTGGACATGACTGAGGGGGAAGAAAAAGGCAATCGGGCGCTGGACCAGTTTACCCTGGCGAGGTAATGAGCCCTTGGTGTATGTGAGTGGTGTGAATGTTCATGGTACTTTGTATTGCATTCACACTCTAGTTAAATGTCACATTTGCACTGCTGGGATATTCTAATGAAGGAGTCTAAAGTGACATGTATCATGGTGGGTTCTTGGCTGAGTTAGAGTCATCCAACACAATTGTAGGGCCTCATATGGAACAAAGAAAGGACGCTTACACATGAATTCAGAAGGCCAGAAAGCAATGTAAAACACCAAGGAAGAGCCTGGGAAACATGGTCCAGACCTTTTAAGCTTTGAAGATAAGCAACACTTGGCAAGCCTTGGAAATAAGCTCTTTCCATTTGGAGTTAAAACACTGGAACAAGAGGCTCTTTATACAGTAAATACCTACTCTGTAAGCGGGCGTCTTTTGGCATGGTGGCTGGTATTTCTTAGACTAGCGAGATACACAAACAGAAAAAAAAATGTGAAAAGAAACAGATAAAAATACCAGAGGTTAGACTAATCCAGCATCTAGAGTAAATCAGAAATAATAATGCTACAGGTCTACTTCAGGAAAAGAAAGTCGAGATCCTAAAATTACTCTTCTGAAAGTTGAAAATAAGAACTAAGTAAAAGCTTCTGATATGCTAGACAAAGGCCTTCTGTTACAGTGACTGATATATGTGCATCAAAGGAAAAGGTTAAGGTAATACCTAGAGAAGAATTTGACTTTTCATGTAGTATTCGTTATCTCTTCTTTCTCCCTGCCTCTGTCTCTCTTTCTCTGTCTATCTCTGGTTTCCTTGTCTCCTCCACCTTTGTCTTGCAGGTATTTGTGCATATGCATTTATTAATATTCTCCCTCCAGAAAGGAAAAATTAGAAGATTCAAAATTTTTATAATTTTTCAAAGTGAAAAATGAAGAATGAAACTGCCAAAGCATAGGAACTGTGGTTTACTTTGGGGCATGACCTCTGAACATGAGAGGCCTTTCCTGAAGGCTAAAAAAGGCACCAAGTCTATAGAAAGGGAATCAGGAATGGAGGAATCACAGAAATTCCAGAGGTGCAAATTTTATCTCCTTGAAGCATGACAGAATCTCAGTGACCTCTGGCCGGGCGCAATGGCTCACACCTGTAATCCTACCACTTTGGGAGGCCAAGCTGGATGGATTACTTGAGGCCAGGAGTTTAAGACCAGCCTGGCCAACATGGTGAAATACAATCTTTACTAAAAACACAAAAATTAGCTGGGCGTGGTAGCACACGCCTGTAATCCCAGCTACTCTGGTGACTGAGGCACAAAAATTGCTTGAACCCAGGAGGTGGAGGTTGCAGTGAGCTGAGATCACGCTACTGCACTCCAGCCTGGGCAACAGAGCGAGACTCAAAACAAATAAACCAAAAAAAATTGCAGTGACCTCTGAATGAAAGCCAAGTCCCCAAAGCAACTTCAAAAGGAAGAGTGGGTAGAAAAGTTACCTCATTTTGCTGACTCTCAGGGTCAGAAGATATAAAACCCAGTATAGGATAATAAGGATATCACTTCTTGACATAGTTGTTTTCATTTTTTCCAGCTTTGGAGAAGGTGACAGGGGAGTCTCTCCCCCTCCCTCGCCCTTCTTCTCAGCCATCCTTGCCGCCTTTCAGCCCGCAGCCTGTGACGATGCCGAGGAGGCCTGGCGCAGCCACATCAACCAGCTTATGTGCGACTCAGATGGCTCCTGTGCTGTGTATACATTTCATGTGTTCTCCTCTTTGTTTAAGGTATGCGTGCTCACTCAAAGTGCAGAGGACTTCATTTCTTAGGGGAGCCAGGTGGCTTCGACTTTAAGGAGAGATTGCTCTTTTGTTCCGGGCTTATACTACTGTATTTTCTCCCCACATACCCCTAAATGTCCTCTTTATCCAGTGCTGGGGATGACGAACACTGGAAGCTATGACGATGAGGTTGTAGGGGAAGATTTGTGGATGTGGAAACGTGGTTACCAATATTGTAGTTTAAAATTTCTTCTATTCACCCTTAATCTTATCATCATTCTCAACGTGATGTTGATGATTTAGGCTGCCATGAAGTACCTTTCACTCCTACCTTTCTGGCTGTTATTGATATCACCAGTCCTCAGCAGCCAGGACAATTAAGGGGAATGTTCTGCCACGCCTATCCTCCATCCCACCTCCCTTTACCTCTCTTTTTTTTTCATTATTTTATCTTTCCTTTCCTTGTCTTTTCTCATTTCCCACTCTAAATTCCTTAGCATGCCAGCCATAGCTGTGAGCACTTGCTTACTCCCTTTAGTTGCTTTTGAACAAGTGAAGGCATTCTTGCTGTTGTAGCAGGTTCCTGTGCACTGCAGATTTTGTTTTATGAAATGAGAAAATGCCTCCTATTTGGTCGATCTTAAGTATCAGGCCAATCTAACAACTGCCTCTCCGGTGTGAACCACGGCCTCACTATCCACAGTGTCTTTGTGCAAACTGTAGTCAATGTCCCTGCGTCCACAAGGGTGCAGTACCACACTTGGCCAGCAGGGGTGCCGGTGAAATTTCAACCCCACTTCGGATCCCACAGCAGACACCTAGCATCTTGCACACAAAACTGACTCTCTGAGGAAGTCTTATGTGTGGTCAACTTAAATCTTGCTTGTTACCTCATAGCACACTTGCAATGACTGCTTCCCTATTAACTCCTCTATGCATCTTTCTGTAAACTTTTATCCTCCAAATTTCATCAAATAATTGGCAGGTGCAGGAGGTGGCAAAAGAGAGAAACATGCCTTGCTGTGAAGAAACACCAGTGCTTTGAAGGTTATCACAGTTAACTAGACCTCTGTCTGAGCTTGAGACAGATATTGACTTTGAAAATGGCAATGCTGGGGATAATGAACACTGGAAGCTATGAAGATGAGGTTTCAGGGGAAGATTTGTTGATGTGGAAACATGGTTACCAATATTATAGTTTTAAGAGAAACCTGGTTTAAAAAAAAAATCTAGAGAAGTATTCCTTTTTAAAAAATGCCTAGAAAATAATGAAAATTATACACCAGGATATCACTGTGTCTTCTCAGGGTAATGAGATTTGGGGTGTTTTTTATTTCCTTCTTTTTACTTTTTTTCAATTTCCTTTTTTTTTTTTTGAGACAGAGTCTTGCTCTGTCACCCATGCCGGAGTGCAGTAGCGTGACCTCGGCTCACTGCAACTTCTGCCTCCCAGGTACAAACAATTCTCCTGCATCAGCCTCCCAAGTAGCTGGGATTACAGGCATAAGTCACTGTGCCCAGCCAATTTCCTATTTTTCTATAATAAAAATGCTTTTATTTCAGCATTTTCCTTAAGCATATTTTTAATAACTCATTAAACAGAACTGCCATGAATAATATAAGGGAAAAAAATGGAAAGTAACTACGTAGTTCCAACTTTGAATAGTCTTGAATTTTGGATGAATGACTAGATAGAACACTTAGAATCTAGTTAAACTTGTGTAGCTGTTGAGTTCTGTTGAGTGTATCATGGGAGAGGGACAATAATTTAGTTGCATTGAGGGAAAGGACCCTCTAATCACCTTCAGAAAAAGCCATGGCCAAAGGGAAAAGCGGGAAGTACAAAACTAAAATTATGTCCCTCTTAAGTAGGTTGAGAAGTCTTGGGGACGAGACCCCATAGGCAAAACGGCCTTAAAATATCATTTCAGCATTTCAGTGGCCAGAGTCCCTTGACTAAGTTCTGCTCTGAGGTAAATGTCATTGCACAGGTTGCTGTGCATTGTAATTTCTTTTTATGGTATGGGGAGGTGCCTCCTACTTAGTAACCCTTAAGAATCAGGCCAGTCTGGCTGGGTACCGTGGCTTATGCCTGTAATTCCAGCACTTAGGGAGGCCAAGACGGGTGGATCAGAAGGTCAGAAGATCAAGACCATCCTGTCCAACATGGCAAAACCCTGTCTCTACTAAAATACAAAAAAGTAGCTGAGCATGGTGGCACATGCCTGTAATCCCAGCTACTTGGGAGGCTGAGGCAGGAGAATCGCTTGAATCCAGGAGGCTGAGGTTGCAGTGAGCCAAGATTGTGCCACTGCACTCCAGCCTGGCAATAGAGTGAGACTGTGTCTCAAAAAAAAAAAAAAAAAAAAATCAGGCCAATCTAACAACTGCCTCTGTAAGATTACTTATTATTCTGTTATTCTAGTGAGCAGAGGGTTAGGCAAAACTGAAATAATGTACCTTAAATAATTTCAAATTCAGGACAGCATATTTTCAGTTAACATAAAAGTGAACTCTGTTTTTGAGCCTGGGGGCCCTTCTTACAATCCATCTTTTGGAGAATTATGTACCAGTAGTGCAGATAACTACTTGGACTAGCTCACTTGGTATCTTACTTGTGGTACTCTTTCAACTTTTTCGATTTACCCTAAGTGAAAACCTACTAGAAACCTGAATAGGCAAATTAATGTCATGTCTGAGATTAACTTGGGGCTGGAGGAGATGTTAGGCTTAAGACAGAAAATAATTGGCTGCTAAAATATAAGAATTCTAGAAATACTTTAAACATTAAGCCAGACTGAAATTTTAAAGCAAACCACCAGAAAGTTACTATTTGAGGTAAGTTAATGTTAAAGATTGAGAGGCAAAGCAACTTTCTGATGAGGTGTCTCAACTGAAACACCTATAACTATTAGTTACAGTTTTCTAAAAGCTATGTTTTTTTTTGAGATGGAATTTCACTCTTATTGCCCAGGCTAAAGTACAATGATGTGATCTCGGTTCACTGCAAACTCCACCTCCTGGGTTCAAGTGATTCTCCTGCCTCAGCCTCTCACACAGCTGGGATTACAGGCATGCACCACCACACCCGGCTAATTTTGTATGTTTAGTAGAGACGGGGTTTCATCATGTTTGCCAGGCTGGTCTCGAACTCCTGACCTCAGGTGATCCACCCACTTCGGTCTCCCAAAGTGCTGGGATTACAGGTGTGAGCCACTGCGTCCCAGCTTCTAAAAGCTATTTTTAAGAATGATTGATAATACATATTTAAGTTTGGCTGTTATGGTCATTTTTATTAGAGTTATTGGACAATTCATGCTTAATTAGACAGTCCTGAACAGTACTTTCCCTCTGCCTGGAATGGTCATCTCCCCTTGTCCCTGTACTTTCAGTTACATTCACAGTGCTGATTGGGTATCACTTCAGTGAGCAAAGCCTTCTGTCACATCTTACTCCCTTCCCCTGACATCTCGGGATTTTGTACTTGCATCCGTTACACTTGTCACTCTGTATGATAATTACTTGTTTAGGTATCTGTCTCCCAGGAATAGGGCAGGTAAACAGTGCCTTGCTCACCTTGATTTCTGACAGTTTCTAACATACACTAGGTGCTCAGTAAATGTAGGAAGAATACATGGAAACCGTAAACACACAGCTTCTGACTTCATGCCAGTAGACCAGCAGGTTTATTACCAAGACTGACAGGTCAGCCATGGCCCACAGCTGCAGTCACCACTCAGCCTGACTTCCTCTCCCATGTACCCAGGTATTTGGGCAGTATGAGGAAGGCAGAAGGGAGGCCCTGTCTCCACCCTCTACCTGCCTGGCACCTGGCAACCTACCAGTTGAGATGCTGGTGAGGCGTAAAGGGAAAAGAGTTGTATGGGATGGTGATTTCCATGTGGAAAAGAGTACAGTGGTCAGACTAGCCTTTGACATTAAACCTACCTATATGTTCAAATCCCAATTCTGGCCATATACTAGCCTGCTAGGCCTACAGGCAGTCCTTAAGTTGTCCAAGCTTCATTGTCCTCCATTGCACAATGGAAGTGAAAACAATGTCTATGAGTTTTATCTTTCAAAGACTACTTATGAGAGCTCACATGGAGAAACAGCTCAGGCCGGGCATCTAGCAGGCCGTCAGCACAGGCTGGCTGCTCTTTTTCAAGGTCATTGGCATGTCCTTTGTGGCCCTGGCCCCTCCACAGAGTCTGGACCCTCTGGTGAGAGCCCAGGATTGACTGACTGCCCACCAGAGAATTCTGCAGCCATGCCTGTGTGCCGTGAGCCACCTCTCCTGGGGATACTCTAGCCACTTCTAAGAGAATACTCAGATTGAAGGAGAGAGACCTAGAGAGAATGAAGCTAACTCCCAAATGATAAAACTGTGGCTATAGGAGTGAAAGACCTCAGACATCCCATCCAATGTCCTCACAGAAGATGACCCCTTCCCCTGAGAGGGGCTGATGTGCCATTTGTTGTGTGATAACAGTTAACTCTCTAGGATCTTCACCACCCAGCAGCAAGGCAGTGGGTTCAGGTTTCATAGCGTCCACTGTGCAGAGAGCAGAGCAGTTGTGGAGGGAGGGAGAAGAAAGTACTAAAAATTAAAATGCAAATGAGCTTGGAGGTGGGGCCAGGCGTGGGCCCTGCGGGGGCTCATTTGGATTTGAATTTCTTTTTCATCAGTGTATTAAATCAATCACCCTATGGAGCTTATCTGCAATAATAATATTATAATTTTTAAAAATGTGTAGCTACTATTTTGCTTTTTAATATTACATTTAGCCTTAAGAACTTTCTCAACCCTAATCAGATGCTATATTAAAGGAATACTGGGAGAAAAATTGGCATTAATAAAATATGCTGGAAATGCAATACATTTCACACCTGCATTCTGGCTGTTATGAATCATTTGTGATTTCCTCACAATGTCTGCTTACTGTTTTCCAACACTTCCCTATAAGCATGAATACAATGTTTCTGTGTTTGGTTGGATTTTGGAAGAGGTAGGGAAGAGGTAATTGCAAAAATAATTTTGTTTTAAAAACAAGGAAATGGTTTCTGTTGTTCCAGAATGGACATTTTTCCAAGTGTCTCAGTCATTGTATTTTCTGCTCTTATGTGAGACTGTCATCATCATGTGTCACATAAGGTCACCAATTTACATAATGTGTGATGGAATTCAGAAGAAGAAAAACTGAATTTATATCCCCTAAATGTCACTGACTTTATATTGGCTCTGAAGTTCCCTGATAGATCCAGTCTTCTCTGTGTAAGAAAAAGTAAGCTAGGATCTTACCTTATCCTTGGGTAACAAGGAAAGAACTGCACACTATTTGGGGACCTGAATCCTAATCCCAGCTCTGCCACTCAGCTAGCTATGCAATGACAGACATGGAATTTCAAGTTTCTTTCAGCTCTAACCTTGTCAGTTTTGGGTCTTTTATTTCATTGACACAAAACCAACTTAACACCACAGAGATATGAGTATGTTATACATTCTACCAAGATTCTCAGATATATTAAATAAAAAATAAATAATATGCAATATAGTTGGCATTTTTCTAATATAACTTGTAAAGAACCAAAAACCTGCTATTGTTTGGGGGACATGCTAATTTCCCCTTAACAGGACAGGTAGTTTTTTTTTATGGATTAGGCTTGACAACCCAAAAAGTATTAACATCACTGGGGAGAGCCAATGCCTGGCACTGGAATTCTTTTTCCTTTTTTTTTTTTTTTTTTTTGTTACATAGTTTGTTCTTTTGTTAAATACATTGTACAAAGTCTGGGTGTGGTGGCTCATGCCTGTAATCCTAGCACTTTAAGAGACTGAGGCAGGAGGATTGCTTGAGTCCAGGAGTTCGAGACCAGCCTGGGCAACAGAGCAAGCCCCATCTCTACAAAAAAACATTTTAAAAATCATCTGGGTATGGTAGCACACACCTATGGTACCAGCTACTTGAGGGGCTGAGGTGGGCTGATTGCTTGAGCACACAGGTTCTAGGCTACAGTGAGTCATGTTTGTGCCACTGCACTCCAGCCTGAGTGACAGAGCAAGACCCATCTCAAAAACAAAAAACATTGTTCGCTAGCAGTTCAGGGGAGTAAAAGTGTTCTTATTTTAGCACTGACATAGGCACAGTGAATGATATTCTTCTTATGTTTTTTTTTTTCCTTAGATAGTATAGGAGAAGCAGTCGACTTTAGGAAGCAATCTAGATTATGGAAGGATTGTGAACTTTGGAGTCAGACCCATCCTTACTCATTCACTTACTGGTTACATGGCCTTAATCGAGTCATTTAACCTCTCTTAACCTCAGCTTGTTCATCTAGTGATGAGGATTATGAGTGACATATATATATATAGGCACTAGGACAGAATTAGTCTTATATATATATATGTAAGCGCTAGGACAGAATTAGTCTCATATATATATATGTAAGCGCTAGGACAGAATTAGTCTCATATATATATATGTAAGCGCTAGGACAGAATTAGTCTCATATATATATATGTAAGCGCTAGGACAGAATTAGTCTCATATATATATATGTAAGCGCTAGGACAGAATTAGTCTCATATATATATATGTAAGCGCTAGGACAGAATTAGTCTCATATATATATATGTAAGCGCTAGGACAGAATTAGTCTCATATATATATATGTAAGCGCTAGGACAGAATTAGTCTCATATATATATGTAAGCGCTAGGACAGAATTAGTCTCATATATATATATGTAAGCGCTAGGACAGAATTAGTCTCATATATATATATGTAAGCGCTAGGACAGAATTAGTCTCATATATATATATGTAAGCGCTAGGACAGAATTAGTCTCATATATATATATGTAAGCGCTAGGACAGAATTAGTCTCATATATATATGTAAGCGCTAGGACAGAATTAGTCTCATATATATATATGTAAGCGCTAGGACAGAATTAGTCTCATATATATATATGTAAGCGCTAGGACAGAATTAGTCTTATTTATATATATATGTAAGCGCTAGGACAGAATTAGTCTTATTTATATATATATGTAAGCGCTAGGACAGAATTAGTCATATATATATATATATGTATATATATATATATAAGCGCTAGGACAGAATTAGTCATATATATATATATATAAGCGCTAGGACAGAATTAGTCTTATATATATATATATGTATGTAAGCGCTAGGACAGAATTAGTCTTATATATATATGTATGTATGTAAGCGCTAGGACAGAATTAGTCTTATATATATATATATGTAAGCGCTAGGACAGAATTAGTCTTATATATATATATATGTAAGCGCTAGGACAGAATTAGTCTTATATCAGAATTAGTCTTATATATATATATATGTAAGCGCTAGGACAGAATTAGTCTTATATATATATATATATATATGTAAGCGCTAGGACAGAATTAGTCTTATATCAGAATTAGTCTTATATATATATATATGTAAGCGCTAGGACAGAATTAGTCTTATATATATATATGTATGTATGTAAGCGCTAGGACAGAATTAGTCTTATATATATATATATATGTAAGCGCTAGGACAGAATTAGTCTTATATCAGAATTAGTCTTATATATATATATATATATATGTAAGCGCTAGGACAGAATTAGTCTTATATATATGTATATATGTAAGCACTAGGACAGAATTAGTCATATATATATATATGTATGTAAGCGCTAGGACAGAATTAGTCTTATTTATATATATATGTATGTATGTAAGTGCTAGGACAGAATTAGTCTTATATATATATATGTAAGCGCTAGGACAGAATTAGTCTTATATATATATGTATATATATAAGCACTAGGACAGAATTAGTCATATATATATATATATGTATGTAAGCGCTAGGACAGAATTAGTCTTATATATATATATGTATGTATGTAAGCGCTAGGACAGAATTAGTCTTATTTATATATATATGTATGTATGTAAGTGCTAGGACAGAATTAGTCTCATATATATATATGTAAGCGCTAGGACAGAATTAGTCTTATATATATATATAAGCGCTAGGACAGAATTAGTCTCATATATATATATATATATATGTAAGCGCTAGGACAGAATTAGTCTTATGTATATATATATATATGAGCACGAGGACAGAATCAGACTCAGCTGAGACACCTCACCAGACATGCCCTCAGAGGAAGAGACGTCCCATTCTGTATTTACTACTTTACTCTTCAGAGGCTCAAATGCACAGTTCTCATGCTCTGTCTCAAGGAGCTCGGATCCTGGGAAGCAGAAAAGAGTTAACGCCTCTTGACCTTTTTCATCTTGTCCACATTGAAGTAATCTCTTTTCACAGATCTGACAAACAAGCAAGGGAGACTTAGACTCTGATTGGCACTAATCACAAGCAAAAAGAAAAGTAGTGCTGATCAAAAAAATTATACAGGCTTAGCATCCCAAATACAAAAATCCAAAATGTTCTAAAATCGGAAACTTTTTGAGTGACACTCAAAGGAAATGCTCATTGGAGCAACTCAAGGGATTACGTATCTGCAAATATTTCAAGTCCAAAAAAAATCCAAAACTGGAAACTCTATTGGTCCCAAACATTTCAGAGAAGGATACTCACCCTGCACAAGCATCACACACTGGGAAATGGCATTTTAGGAAGAAACATCTGCACTGAATCATTACTTAGTTGATTTAACATAAACATTCATTCTGCTCCCCTCCCCCATTGCCGTAAGGACCCATTCTCACGTGATATTTTTATAATGATTTAAAAGTAGAGTTTTTTTCCATTAATAATCCTGTATTATATTCTTGAAAATTGCTGAGAGTAGATTTTAAGTATTTTCACCACCAAAAGAATATGTGAGGCAATGCATGTTAATTAGCCCAATTTATCCATTTCACAGTGTATTCATATTTCAGAACATGTTGTACACAGTGAAGATACACAGTTTTTATGTCAAGTAAAAAAATCAGTTAATGTAATTGAAATGTAAAAGAAGAAGCTGCCCCTCCCCCCAAAATATTTTTATCTCATAAGTTGAACTCGACCTTTACAGATGGTCACTATTTTGCCTTGCAGAATATTCAGAAAAGGTTCTGCTTCCTAACCTGTGATGCAGCCAGTTACCTTGGAGATAACCTCCGGGGAATCGGATCCAAATTTGTCAGCTCTTCCCAGATGCTCACCTCCTGCTCTGAATGCCCTACACTTTTTGTGGATGCAGAGACTGTGAGTATCCCAGCGCTGCTCTGATGGCAATGGGCCTGCGCAACTTACAGTGCAGAACTTCAGGTAGCAGGTTTGCTCTGTGGTTTGTTTTAAAGATACCTTCAGTGTTGTGAGCAGCACTGTATTGTGACATGACTCCCAAAGGCCTCCAGGTCTACAGCATAATTACTGTACATGGCCAGTCCAGGCCAAGGCAGAGCCATTTAACAGAATTAGGAGAAAAATCCACCTCTGTGCTCCCTCTGCACCCGTGGCACTGCTCTCTGATGACTCTGACTTTCATAGCTGTACATGTATGGTTAGATAACCTCCTGAAGCTGACATAGCCAGTGCCCATAATGCCAGGTTGCCCAGTCAAATGGGTCTTCAGAGGCAACATGTCATCAGTTTCCCCACCCCCAAGTCTCTAACAGAGCTACTTCCCTCTGGATTTACCCAGCTCAGACTGCAAAAGATGAGTTTCAAGAATAATCAAAACAGTCTCTGGCTGATGGCAAATCGTGGCTTTATGCATGTAACTCTTAGGGACTGACGAGCTCCTGGAGGGTGGGAGTTATGTGATACCTTTCTATCGCTCGTCATATGACAGAATCACCACACGCTCAGTAACTACTGAGGTTTAGAACCAGTGTGGATGTGCTTTGATTTTAAAAGTCTCTGAAGAGTCAGTCCTACCAGACTGACTGGTGCCTGTCTTGTAGCAAAGAATACAATATGAAAAATCATTCTGTCTTAAATGACTTAAGGTATAGATTAAGTACAAAATCAGTTTGAAAGTCTTTTTGGAGGTTTGTCCTCACACTGCTTGGAGTATTATTGGGTGATGACAGTAGAAGTCATGTATAAAATGGAAACCATATCTTAATGTGGGCCTCTCTGGAATACTGGGTATGTCTTATCTGCCTATACAAATACGGGAAAGAATGGATATGTTCATAGGAGGCTTGCATTATCAAGCTAGGATTCCATTGCGATTGTAGCTGATAGTTGAGCAAAATTCCAAATTTCATAGCTTGTTAAAATGGATGACACGGTACCCCTTTAACATTACTTCCAAATATACTTTTTTCTGTCTGTGAAGCCACACCTTGGTGTTGCTCTCTCTCGTTTTAATACCAATTATTTTCCTGTCTTTAGCTCCTTTCATGTGGACTTCTGGACAAGCTCAAGTTCAGTGTATTAGAACTGCAAGAATATTTGGATACCTACAACAACAGAAAAGAGGCCACACTCTCAGTAAGCTTTTGTGTTTCTATCATGTGCAGTCCATTAAAATTGAATGAACCCAACCACTCTGAGTTCTTGGGAGGTGTTGTGATGAACTCTAAGACACCATCTTTAGAGAGTAGAAGACAGACTTCACCTTTTCCCTTGTTAAGGATTACAATTCCAATTTAATGGTGGCAGAACTATATATGATATTAATTATATTTAAAAATGGTATTGGCCGGGCGTGGTGGCTCACGCCTATAATCCCAGCACTTTGGGAGGCCGAGGCAGGTGGATCACGAGGGCAAGAGATCGAGACCATCCTGGTCAACAAGGTGAAACCCCATCTCTACTAAAAATATAAAAATTAGCTGGGCATGGTGGTGTGTGCCTGTAGTCCCAGCTACTCAGGAAGCTGAGGCAGGAGAATTGCTTGAACCCAGAAGGCGGAGGTTGCAGTGAGCCAATATCATGCCATTGCACTCCAGTCTGGGTAACAACAGCGAAACTCCGTCTCAAAAACAGAACAAAACAAAACAAAACAAAAATGGTATCTCCAAAGGAGAAAATTTTTCAGCATTCACTTTTAGCCCTACCAAGAAATTGGAAAAAAAAAAATAGGTATCTGCTTGATACGTTACTTACCAGTGTTCTGACTTTTGTCAGAGATTTGAAATTGGTGATTACTTCCTTCCAGTGTTAGCCTCATCCAAAACTAGTTGTGGTGGATCTCCACTCTGTTCTCTTGGCCACTCTTGGAGGCTGTGTCTGCCAGTCCACAGGCTTCTCTTCGCCTCAGCTTTTGCTTTTTAATTTTTTCTTCCTTAATAGATCTAGACTGTAAAATGTTAGAGACAGAAGTGATCTAAAACCATCCATGCAAGCCCCCTGTTTTCTGACAGATCCACAGTTGGAGGCCCAGAGAACTCAGTGGTTCAATAATAGGAAAAATTGCATGTAGTATGCATTGAGCACTTCCTACAGTATACCAGAAACTATAGAAAAAGCATGGGTTTTGAAGTCAGATTGACTTGAGTTTAAATCACGCCTCAGTTATTTAAGAGTTAGGGACTTTGGATAAGTGATTTGCCATCTCTCATCTCAGAAGCATCATCTGTAAGTCCTTGGTAATGATAACTGATTTGTAGGGTTGTTACCAAGACATAACAATTATAATAGTCATGGCAGATACCATTTCCTGAGTCCTTTTATATGTCCAACAACCTGCTAAGAGTTAAATCTTTGAAATTATATTATTAAACCTCACAACTACCCCAAGAGTTGCTATTATTACCCTCATTAGCTAACTAGGAACTGGAAGAGGGCGATTGAAACCCGGAGCCGTGGGATTCAAAGGCCCATGCTCTTAACTACAACATGATATTGCCTTGAAAACAGAAATAATATCTATAAACTGACCAGCACAATGCGACATAGATAGAAGATGTTCACTGTAAAGTTACTGATTTGGGGTGTATTGCTATTGCTGTTATTGATGTTATCTTGATCTGCCCAAGAGCAAGAGTTCTAACTTTCCACCATAACAATTCTCTTTGTCTTCTGTTTCTGTGGCCTTTTACCTGTCACTGTTTTTAGCTTCTCAGTCATCAGCCAATAAAAGTAATCTTTTCATTCTGGTGGGTGAACTAATCTAGCTTTTAATGTCAAGTGTGAATGTGGGTTCTTCAATGCTCATTGTTTTCTGCTCAAAGGTTCCCTTTCACACCTATGTTAGTTAGTATCCCAGATGTTTGAGACAGGCAGGATCTCTCAGTAGCTGAGCTGTTACCATAATAGCCTTTCTTATACTGAAGGAGATCTGCCCCATAGTAGATGCAGCCACAGCAGCATAACAGAAATAAGTGTGTCCAAGTCAAGCCATGTTGACCAGAATCACCCAGCCTGTGAGGAAGTGTTGGTCCTGTCCTCTAACCTTAATCATATGGAAGATTTCTAGCCATATGTATTCATTTATATATAAATTAAGAACAGTGTGGTGAAACCATTTCCTAGGGCAACATAGTATAATGTTGAAATTATATTTTTAGATGACATCACTGAACCCATATAAACAGATACTTTTAATTTCCAGCAGTTCATCTTTATAACCCCCAAATACGACCCTTTTCAAAAAGTCATTACAGCACAATTTCATTTCACTATCATTAGAACCTTACCGAATTTTTTCTAACAGAATTGATACTAAAAATGTTCTCAGAACATTGCTGAATTCACCTATTCTGTCCCTCTCTTGCTGACAACAGTGGCTTGCAAATTGTAAGGCAACATTTGCGGGAGGATCAAGAGATGGAGTAATTACCTGTCAACCAGGAGACTCCGAAGAAAAGGTAATAAAAGCCTGTTAGAATGGGTCTCTTCTGTGCTCTAACAGTGTGTGATAGTTTTGGTCTACCCAAGAAGCCTGCAACTTGAGAAAAGAAGAGGCAGAATGAGTTACCCCATACATTTACATGAAACCAAGAGAGTAAGACAGAATGACATTCAAGCATGACTGTGTGTTGTTGGGATTTGTGAGGGGGGTGGTTTCTTCGTTTTGGAAAAGTAGAGGTATAAAAATAACCTTTTTTTTGCTGGACACTGTCTAACTATACTAACAGTTGCCTAATAAATTTATTCTTAATTCAGAATATAAAGCCAAATTTCATTAATTCTTCACTGAGTCACTTAGTTTCTTCAATGAAGCAAGTTTCTCTCAACCTTTCAGCAGTCACTCTAAAACAGATTTTCTCATTTGGAATTGCTGCACGCCTCAGACCAGTGTGCCGCACCGTAAAGGAAGTTAAAGGACAGAGTAGGAATGGATGACAACCATTCATTCTGCAGCTAGGTATTGAGTGCCTCCTGTATGGCCCCGTGGAGGACACAGTCATGAGCAACAGACATGGCCTTTCCCTTGTGGAGCTTCTGATCTTATTGGTGAGACAAACATTAATGAAACAGTCATACAGCCATTAACTGCAACAAGTACCACTAAGAACAGGAGAGAACAGGAAGCTGAGAGATCACAGAGCAAGGCCACCGGATCCAATGGGGAGGACAGTTCTGGGAAGGAGTCTCCATGGAAGTAGCATCTTGGCAGATATCTAAAATATGAGATGGAGAGGAGTGGGCCTGTAGACAGCATAAAGGCCCCAAGGCAGAGGTACCAGGCCTTTCCAAGAACAAGGAGAGCCCATGTGGCTGACAGCACCAAAAGCCCCGTGGAGGAAAGGTTGAGACGAGTCTGGACAAGTTAGCAGAAGCCAGCCAATGCAGGACTTGGGTATTTAACCTCAATAATAAGCAACTGAAAAGGGTTAACAGCAGGGATGATGAGATAAAGGCTCTCCCACTCTGTCTACTATGGAAACAGCTCAAAGTGGCAAGAGTCGTTAAGGGAACTTAGGAGGCTGCTGCCCCATCTACGGAGAGACAGTGTTACCTTGGAAGTATGTCATTACCACTGGAAAAGTGTTTTACATGGCACACCATCGGGAGGATCTGAAAACATCTTCCTGTGTTAGAAACAGTACTTTACTTACATAAAAAGAATCCAATAAGGTCTGGTTTCTGGTCAGAGGTTTCGAGTAACAATTTTCAACAAAACACTAGTGGTTCCACTTTAATTTGGTATTTGTTATTGAGCAAGTTTGCAGTCCTGAGATTAACACTATCCAGCATTGATTGAGTCACTTGGTGAGCTCCTTGATAAGTTTTAATGAAGAGACCAGAGATTGAAAAAGCAAACTATAAAGCTGAGAAATATCTAAAGAGGGCATTGAAGTAGAGGTTGCATTTCCACATCACTGCCCTTCTTGAAGACACACGTTTATATCTCACTTTATGGTTTACAGAGCACTTTCACAGCCCTTAGTCATTTGATCTCTCTGGAGGGAAGCAGGGCAGTTGCATTTGCCCATTCTGTAGCTGAAGACACCACAGCTTGACTTATCCAAGGCTCCATGGCTGAGAAGTGACAGGCGGAGATGTAGCCTGGACACAGTCTGTCAACATAGGCAAATATTAACTAGTTTGCTTACATTTTTTAACTAAGTGTTTAATGACTTATATAACGTCTCTCATAAGCAAAGCAGAGTTGAATACGCAGTTCAAAAATCACAATAAATTCTAGCATTTTCCTCAATGCCTACACATGCATCTGTGATGTGCTGTTTCCGATGATTTGTGAGTTAGATTTTCACTGAATAACCTGTGCCATTAGCATATCCCAGAAGTAATACATTTTTAAAAGGTAAAATATTACTTAGGTTTCAGATTTTATGGACACCCAGTAGCACTCATGGCTGTCATTCCAGCCCAGCCCTCCCTTGCTAAATTCTGCTGTTAAAATAAATTCAGTCCAGAGAACAGTTACCAGGTTAGGATTTACAATGAGCACAATCCTAATCAAGTTCATTGTGGAGTTTGTGTAGTAGTATGTAAAAAACAACGTTTTATCTGAAAACTTGCCTTCAGTCGCCAAATTCTTTTATATGCTCCATAACAGAACCTGAGACAGGAAAGTGCATTAATACATTGCAGATTTCTAAGAACAAGGGTTGAAACCAAATCTATTATTTATTTATTTGTTTATTTGTTTATAGCTTCCTGGTTAACCCAAAGGATAACCAGAAATTCCAGTTAACTTATCCTATTTCCCAAACATTCCAACTTTAAAATATGTATTTCTGTTGTGCTTTTGATTTATTTCTATTAAGTCATTTTACTTGGTTTTAGTTGCTCCCTCTTCTTCTCCTGGTTCTTCTTTATCTTCCTCAAATAAGTGGTTCTCTTATTTTTGCTTATTGTTTTTACTCATTTCCTCTTCATGCACCTCTTTCTTTGCTTCTATTTCGTAGTACTTATTCCTCTCCATCTCTTCAAGTGTTTTTACTAAACCCAAGAACTCAAAAACTATAGTTCATCTATTTATTCATTTGTTTATATGTGACACCTCTGTTAGCATGACTATAAAGGTTTTGAGAGTACAAAGTGGAAAGAAGAAACTAATGTTTTCAAGTACTGTATACATGTAATCTCATTTGATCCTTGACCACAATTTTTTGAAATAAGGGTTTTTCCATTTTGCAGCGAAGAAACCTGAAGCTGAGAGGCAAAGGCAAAGGCAAAGGCTAAAGGCCACATTCTTTCCATTTGTCCATACTCTCTAGCTTAATTCTGGAGGCAAAACATACACATGGGAAAATGCTCAAGAGTGATTTCCAGCATGTCTAATCTAGCTTTAGGAATCTGCATGAATAAGGAAGGAGGATGCATAAAACACCCAAGAGGATGAGAGTCAGATAGATTAGGAAAGGAATGATGGAAGGGCAAATTCTGAGTCTGGTGTTTCCAACATTTTTGCAAAAACCAGCCAAGCTTTGGCCCCATTGTCAGTATTAGCTCAGTGTTTCAGAATATTTCCAAATGGCTCATGGACACACTGGTGACCAGAGAACTCAGGCAATGACCATATCTCCTGAGGAAGATGCTGCCAGTCCTACATACGTAACAATTCTGGAGTCTGTGTGAAGGCAAATTACATGCCACTTAACAAAAGAGGTTGGCAGTCCTAGTAAGTCAGGCAAGGCGGGGAGATTTGTTTAAGTCATCTGGATCCGTGCTTACAGTCTCTGGTTAGTAGCCTCTGGAAGTAGTCTGGCCACCGGGTGTGCAGCTCAAACCTCACACTTCCTGTGTCCACCCAACATGAGGCATGGTGTGCAGTACACAAATGAGGCAGCCTTGGCTCCCATCACAGTAACACTTGACAAGGCTGGATATGGGCTGTGAGAACAACCTGAGGGAAAGAAGTCCTTACGCACAAGAGGTGGGCCTCGAGGAGAAATCATGGTGCCTTTCCACTTAACTATCAAGGTCTTATATCTAGAGATGTGGAGATATAATTTTGCTGATTAGAGCTACCATTTGGCCTTCGCCACAAAATAAAACCCAACAAATGTCTGGCCTCAGATCACTGCTTAGCTTACCTCCAAGTGATTCTCTCCAACACTCCTCTGTAATCAGGTTCTCTGTCTTCTGGAATGATTTAATGTTGCCAGTCATTCTGTGCACACCCTTGCCTGAGGACAGGTAGAATGGGAATAAGTGAACTTATAACTTGCAGAATCTATGTCTGGATATAAATAGCAAAATGAATAGACCAATAAGTATTACTCATATCTGTTCTATTTCAGAGAAGTGTGTACTTCATGAAAGGATCAGTGCTTGCTTAACTAAACCTAGCAAAGTAAATTCTTGAATAAAGATATCAGTCTGTCAGAGATGGTGACAGTGTACAGACAGGCATATGAAAGCTTCTCAACCTCCAAGCCCTCCCCAGTCTGGTCCGGTCTTTGCCAGTAGAAAATTTCTAGTCATTCTTAACAGGTGATTTAAGTGAGAATTGCTGTAGAATTGTTTGTGGAAGACAATATAGTTCTTTGCTGGGTGCTGAATATTTATTTTTCCAATTTTTCTTCTATTCTCAACATAAAGTTACAGACATAAAAATAGTGAAGAAAGTTTATGCACTGGTGGCTTGTGAACTATAACCAATTCACAGACCTGTTTTGTTAAGCTTGCAAAATGTTAATTGATCTGCATTTAAAAATTAAAAACTTTCACACATACAGCTGGGCACGGTGGCTCACACCTGTAATCCCAGCACTTTGGGAGGCCGAGGCAGGTGGATCATGAGGTCATGAGTTCAAGACCAGCCTGGCCAACATGGTGAACTACCATCACTACTAAAAATACAAAAATGTGGCAGGCACCTGTAATCCCAGCTACTCAGGAGGCTGAGGCAGGAGAATCACTTGAACCTGGGAGTTGGAGGTTGCAGTGAGCCAACATTGTGCCACTGCACTCCAGCCTGGGTGACAGAGCAAGACTCCATCTCAAAAAAAAAAAAAATACTTTCACACATACACACTCAAAACAGAATTCCTGGTGCCTCTAAATAAGATCTAGCAACACTGAGCCTGCCTTCCTCCCTGGCAACAATGAGCTAGCATTAAATATAGACTACCCCATATGGACTCTCCACCATCCCTGCTGCCCAGTGAGTTCCTAACGCTGAAGGCAAGAGCCAGGTGCCAGTCATCATGATGCTTGGCCTACTGTTTTTCTTATAACAGAAAAACATTTCTCTGTACCTAAGTCCCCAAAAGGAAGAATAAAGCTAGATAGAAATGGCTTGAGTTTCCAAAAAGAAAACAAGAAAGAGTATTATTCTTTGCATATGCAAGAAGCATCTCTGCATATAATATGCAAGCACCTGTATGCTGAACTCACTGTGGGATATGTTGGAAGAATATTCTCAGCACAGGTTCAAAACAACAAAATAAACCATGTTTCTAAGAAAATTATTTCCAATATTTGGGAAGTATATTTTGGGGAAGGCTCTTTTTTAAAGACAGCCATTATTGGTAAGTGATTTGGGCTTCTTGGTGATAATAATACCAATTCTCCTAGAATAAGGTGCAGCATACACTAAATAGGACATAAGGCTGGGCACGGGGGCTCACACCTGTAATCCTAGCACTTTGGGAGGCCAAGGTGGGCAGATCATAGGTCAAGAGTTCAAGACCAGCCTGGCCAAGGTGGTGAAACGCTGTCTCTACTAAAAATATAAAAATTGGCATGGTAGCGCATGCCTGTAACCCTAGCTACTTGGGATGCTGAAGCAGGAGAATTACTGGAACCAGGACCTGGGAGGCAGGGGTTGCAGTGAGCTGAGATCACGCCAGCATACTCCAGCCTAGCCTACAGAGCAAGACTCCATCTCAAAAAAAAGAAAACAAAAAAAATAGGACATAAAACAAAGCATGTGATTTGCTTGTGTCACGAGATCGCTTCTCCTCATTTGTGGACACTGCTTTAGTAGTATTTTCTCAGCCTGCACATATCAAAAGGAGAAATAAATCTCTTCATGGCTTAAAATTAGTATTTCCAACTGAGGATTCTGGTTTCCATTGACCTCTCCATCTCTTGTGGAATTCATTCTGGAGTGGCTACTAGTTGATGGTTTAAGGGAACATAAATGCAGGTCAGGAAGCAAAGTCTGTAGACCTCTCAGCTCTGGGTTCTGCAGGCAGTGGCTTTAGTCTACCTCTAGGTAATTAACACAGTCAGTCATCCCAGTTCTGCAGAGGTGGCCCCAGAAAAACTGGAAATGTTTCCACATCATGTAGTGTTGATTTTAGTTAATACATTCATAATTCAACAGATAGTTCTGAGCACTACTTAAACATTTGACTCTTTGGACTCAAGGACAGTAATTTACATTTGGCCTTCCTACATTTCATCTTACTATATTCAAATCATCATTCTAACTGTTAGGGTCTTTTTGAATGCTAACTTTCTCAGTTATGTATTTTCTATCTACATAATCTATGAATGGGAAGCCTTCAACCTCTGTTCTTTTACAAATTGAACAAGTTAAATGTTGAACAAGACAAGACATTTCTCCAGTTAAGTTATAATCTATTAAACATCATCCTTCAGATAGAATCAGTCTTTCTTCTGTAAGCCATATTCGTTCTCATTTGGCTAAAGAAATGGCTGGTGAAGACAGCTTACAGATTTCTTGAAAAAAGTAAATACCTCAGGATATATAATCTGTATCATAGGTGTATTTATCTTTCAAATCAAAGCTTTGAGAGATATTTATTACCAAGGTCCAAAAAACTGCTTAACAAAGATAATGCAATAGCCATCAATGTGCCAGACCCAAGCATTATTAGCAACAAGTGAGTACATATTATTCCCACCTGTTTAGGAGATTTTACCATTAGGCTACGTTATTTGAATTTTATCTCATTAATTTAAACCCAGGACTTTCAGAGATTAAATGTGATGAAAATAATAGCCACTATAGTACACTGTGGTTCTTTTTTTTTTTTTTTTAGAGACGGGGTTTCTCCATGTTGGTCAGGCTGGTCTTGAACTCCCGACCTCAGGTGATCTGCCCGCCTCAGCCTAGTTCATCTTTTATCATATCAAAAATTTCTTAGATTTTTAGTCACTGGTTATGTCATAAGCACGGAATCCACCTGAGAACAGAAGACAGAACCCAGATATGGCTATGCTATTGCCAATCAGCAGGAGTTCAATTATTCTGGGCTTTTAAGAGCTACACATTCCTCAGTTGTTTATGATAAGTTCTTAATATCTTGGCTTCTTGATCTTTTTTTTCCTCATTCTAAGAAAACATACCTCTAAATCCAATTTTGTAAATCAAGCCATATCAGGAGAGCAGGAAGGGGGCTTGAAGAAAATTCTGTGACTAAATAAAACAGGGACATTCCCACAACGTGTTCAAAAGAAGCTAAAGTCACCAAAGTACAGATAAGTTTATAAGGACTTCTCAAGGGATTATTTTTAGAACATAGATACAGAAAAACATGAGCATGGGAGGGTGGGACAAGGGGAATTGTAATATTTTCCATAAAATGGCCCCATAGAAAGGCATTTTTCACTATCTCTTTGGAACTCTAAGTGAAAACTAGGTCCAAGCCTGTGGCCTACGAAAAGATTCTGAGATAATAAATATCAAAGAAGCCTGAACTAGTCTACCTAAAAAGGAAAGTTAGGAAGAATCCTGAGAACTGGTATTCATCACAGTTGGCCATCTCCCAAGAAAAACACTATTTTGTGCCCTGAGAGCTGAGTGGGAGGAATTCATGGACAACGAAGTTCCTTAGCACCAAGCTGGAGTCGAAAAGTTTCCTCTGCCTTTATTGAACAGAAAAGAGTTTAAACTGATTTGATGATCTTGGATATAACCTTGTTTCGGAAAGCAATAAAAAGCTGTTTTCTTCACACGACCACGTAATTTACTCTCAGGACTTGCTTCATTCCACAGGTAAATCCCACAGTAGCAAATGTTTACTTCCTAAAGCGCACACCAAATGTTTCAATCATAATTGATGTTGCCCCAAAAGTCTTTGCGCTGGAAATTCTCCATCTCTATAGACTTAAGACTGGCCCTGTGTGTCCACCTTATGTGACACTGTATTTCAGAAGAGAAAGTTTGGTTTTAGAAACCTCTAGACATAAAGTTTTCTTGAGAATAGTAAATACCTGAAGCTCTGTAGTCTCCACATCACAGGCTTAAAGCTGTTCATCTTCCAAACTTTGAAAGAAATGTATGGCCAGGGTCCAAAAAACTACTTAGTAAACATAATATAATATGCATCAATGTGCCAACCCCACATGATAAGTAAGGAAGAATAGATCCTTGGAGGATAGGGGAGGGCTTGTTGGTGGTGGCAGTCCTTTAATTACATTTGTAGATACCAATAAATAATAAGTTGATAGTTTCATTTGTTCTTAGGCACTGTACCTTATTTTCAAGTACAATACATTTAACTGATGATAACCTAAAGACTGTTTGAAAGAACTTTAAAATAAGGGGGTTTTATTGGATTAGAAAATGTTAGGTTTTTAAGTATTTTGAAAATTCTGAACTAGATATGTTGATGCATAATTAGGAATGGTCAGTTTGATTCCTTAAAAAAAGTACATTCTGTCTAGTTTTGCTTATCTCTTTCCACATACCCAAACTTTCTATAAACCAATTCCATGATATGGTGACATCAAAAAATGGTAGGTGCTATTGAACATGGCCTAGTTACAAATGTACATTATTTTAGACTAACCATTAGTTGTAGATTACTTTTAGAAATTGTCTATCGGAGAAAAAAATATTATAAAAAGTAAAATGCAAAAAAATTACCTCTTATATCTCACACTTGAGGGTATACAACATTTAGTCCTTTGAAATTAAAAAGTATAGCAGTCCTATACCTTTTCTATAAAATATTCTCAATGTACAAGGGAATCCAATTAAAGAAAATACCATGTAGATTGTTCATTATGTTCAATGTTAATTGGAGGGTCATAGTTTAGTAGCTATGAAACTGAACATATTAAAGACTCTGCCTTAATTAATATAAAGCAATAATATAATTTGTTTGGGGCTATAATTTTTCAAAAGACTAAGCTGGCTCCCTCTCAGTTTTACTATGTTCAGATATTATGCACATTTATATACTAAAATCTTCAAGCAATAAAAGTTTGGACTTTTGGTCTCTAAAACTGACAAAATCTAAACTGACTAATCAGAGAACCTAAAAACGTAAACATTATGTTTTTTCAATGATATGTTCCCCATCAGAGCTTGTTTTTAACTGGAATGCTATGCATGTTGAGTGGGTACAACATTCGCAAGCATTTATCAAGTGTGGGTGAGCACTGCTAACACTGCTGACGGTTCTGCTCTTGGAAAAGGGCCGTGCTTTCCGTTGCATGCAGACACTGACCCTGTACTTTCTTTCCTTTCCTTTGTTTCCTGTGCCATGCTTGCTGTGTAGCAAATGGAATCTCTTGCAGTAAGTTAACTTTCTTTCATACTCTTTGTCCATTTAGGCATGGACCCATAACAAACCCCATTTTTTACCATTACTGTTGTATCTCTTAGCATGTTTTCCCTTTCTCATTTTAATTTATTTTATTTGGTAGATTAAGACATGGCAGTTCATTAGTAGTGTTCTGGGCTGCTTTTGCCCCAAAGTAGAAACTTAAATTGCTATGAATTCACATGGGATCAGCGAAATGTTTTGTGTAATAACTATCATGATTTGGCACTCAGGAAAGTCAGGGTTTTCATAGCCAGGTTTCACCCTAAATTGTGAAGGTAATGTTGTTTTTAAGCAATACTTTTTTATTTATTCACACATCTCTAGCAGTTATCTTTTATACCAGATTTTTTAAGACCATAAAATACAATGTTTTACTAAAACAACCAAACATCCAGTTTGAGTTAATTAGTCAGTGTAGCTGATTCTTTAATCTGAGGCTGGTTACTGTGTTGAGAGATCAAATAAATTTAGGCAGAATTGGTTTTCCCCTAAAGAGCAAGGAAGGGGGCTGGGAAGAGAAAGGAAACCATTCAGCATAGTCTTAGCGTAAATTTTAGTAACTTTAGGATCAAAAATCTGTTAATAATATCAATAGAATATTCTTCCTAAAACCTAAATTCCTGTGATTTCTCTCCTTAAACTGATTTGGGAGAACAGGTTTACGACACCTCAGAAGCTCTCAATTCTGAGCTGCATTCTTTGTAGTCTTTGGTAAAAAAAAATAAGGCCCTCTTTATCCTGCCCCATTTGAAACTGAACAGTGAAGCATTTAGTTTAAACCATATATTTAACTCACTTTCACGGTGACTGCTGGCCACGAAATTCTACTGAGTGAAGGCTGCTCCTTTTCCTTTCACAGAATCCTATCCACCACCTGGGAGCAAACTCATTCTTGGAGTAAAATAGGCAAAGTTTAGAGGGTATAGCTCAAAGACTAGTCTGATCCCGGGCACTGGAATTATTTTTCCCTCATAGTATGTATAAGCGGTATAATGAACACATTACAGGGTACAGAGGTTCAAATGTGCCCCTGAAACATTTTAAATTCCAAAGGTATCTGTGTGGCTCAAGGGCCATTTTGTATGATTACTTTTTGATGTCCTTTCGACAGAAATTCTTGAATGTGTTCATAATTTCTTCTTTTTTCTAAGCATTTTTGGTCCCTTTTTATCTTTCCTTAATTCAACAAATACTTATTGAGCACAGAGTAGACACATCATCAGTAAGCCTGATACAGGACTCTGGAGGACCATGTGACTGCAGACTCCAGTCCCAGGCGTCTACAGAATTTCTAAGTTCAACACCTAGAACTTCTTGATGTTCTGCCTTTCAAATATACTCTAAATAAAAGGAAAATTTTTTAAAAATAATTTAGAGCTTATAAAAGTGAACACAACCACTCAGCTATAATTGGTAGGGGTTTAATTGGTAAATTTAATAGAAATTTGGCTGTTCACTCAGTCCCTTTATAGGGGTTACTCTCTAATTAGTGATCCATTACACAGACTAAAATCAAAATTATACTGTGGATTTTTTAACTGATATTTAACGACTGTATTTTGTTTTTCTGTTTTATTTGAAATAACAGCTGGTTATGTTTTCTTAAAAAAAAAATTTGCCTCCACTGAGATTTCACCAGTTACATATGAATGATCCTTAATAACTGTTTCTTCCCATGCAATTTCTCTCTTTAGCAATTGGAACTGTGTCAGAGATTATATAAGTTACACTTCCAGCTGCTGTTGCTTTTTCAGTCCTACTGTAAGCTCATCGGCCAGGTGCATGAAGTTAGCTCCATGCCAGAGGTGAGTCCACATGCTTCCCAACCCCACATCCTGCCATGAAAATTACTTCTTTTGTTCTTCTCCCCTTCTCCCCATTTATAACTGCCCAAGTGATTTTATTCCCACATAATTATGTTGCTCAAGCACAAGTCTGAAATAAATGTGTCTGGTATGTATTTCTATTCTCATTTTTAAAAGCAGGGTCAGGAGTAGGTGTGGAAAGTGAGGTGCCTCAAAATTTAAGAACACATGTAGGAGAGAACCTTCCTGCAGGTTTTGCCCTCGGTGCCTTGCTTGCCTCTCCCTGATCCTGGCCCTGGGGCTGGGCATCCTTGTTTAAAATTTTTCCATGTGTGTGTGTTTTCTTCTTTACGTTAGCTTTTCATACTTGCCCTTACCTTGAGGTAAGAGGGAAATGTCTATATGTTATGTTTCGTTCTCTTTAGTTTCCCTGCCCTGCTTAGCACCAGGATGTTTTAATATTTTAATATTTAAAATAAAATAATTTAAACATATTACTGTTAAGCCAAAATTTTCCTGCAAATGAAGACATACTACTGTATTGTAATTCGTGGAATAATGGTGGTGTGTACTGGATACTATAGCAGCACAGAGGACCAACACCTCATTTGCTTAGAGGCAAGAAAGGTTGAAACTGAAGAGACTGCTGGAGAAAACCACACCTGAGTGGGCTCTCAGAGAGTGAGTTGGAGTGAGGGAGGAACATTCCACTAAGTACAAACAGCATGGCCATAAGCCTGATAGGAAGAAAGAGAAAGGAACTACAAGCAACTTAGTATTGCTAGAATAGAAGGTGCGCCAAAAAGGAGCTAAAACATAAGGCAGAAGAGAGGGGGTAAAGGCGAGATCATAAGACATGCTGCGCCTAGGAGTATTTCAGGTGGATCTCTGTGGCAGCTACACAGAGGATGTATCTGATGACAGCTAGGCAAGAGACAAGGAGACCAGAGATGAGGCGGCTGAAATAGTTCAAACAGAAGGAGAGAATTTGAACTGGGACAGAAGTGCTAGATATGGAGGGGAGGAAGGAAATGTGAGACACAGGTCTGATGGGGGCATGAAGGAGAGAGAAGAGTTGAGGGGAGGATGACACTCAGGTTCCATCTTATATGAACCAGGTGACCAGTGGCACCAAAGCTGAGACAGGGATATAAAAAGAAGGACTGATGCTGTGTCCAGGCAATCAAGCCTTCTGCTGGCTAGTCAATGGCTGAGGCTGCATACTGGACCAGGACCTGGCTTAAATGGTGACTGACCTCTTGCAGGTAGTTAGATGTGAGGTCAGGGGAGAGATCTGGACAAAAGGCACAAATTTGGTCATGAACAACTAGAAGTCGATTAACCCATCCCAGTGATAGCAGAAAAGTGAGGATGAAGCCTGGGAAACCTTATCATCTAAAGGCAGAGGAGGAAGAGCCACAAGAGATGAATTACAACCATTTTACCATTTTTTTATTACTCAGTTTGAAAAAAGGAAAAAAGCTATACAACTTTATACTTTCAAATGCTTATTTCAAGGGAGTAGCCCTTCACAACCAGTTTTCCTATATATAAGTTGTCAGATAACAGGAATCAACTCTTCTCTCTTATTTGCCACATGGTCAAGATAATATTTTTTTTTTCTTTGAGATGGAGTTTCGCTCTTCTTGCCCAGGCTGGAGTGCAATGGTGCAGTCTCGGCTCACTGCAACCTCCTCCTCCTGGGTTAAAGCGATTCTCCTGCTCAGCCTCCCAAGTAGCTGGGATTAAAGGCATAGCTAGTTTTGTATTTTTAGTAGAGATGGGGTTTCACCATGTTGGTCAGGCTGGTCTCAAATTCCTGACCTCAGGTGATCCACCTGCCTCAGCCCCACAATGTGCTGGGATTACAGCTGTGAGCTACCCGGCCAGGATTCACCATTCTTGATGCCAAAGAACATTCATGATAAATGAAAGGAAGTCAAAATGTCAGCATTAACAAGAGTTTGAAAGAAGGTGATCCCAGTGGATGACTTTGAGAGGCTCAAGACTTCAGTAGGGGAGGTAACTGCAGATGTGGTAAAAATAACAAGAGCACTAGAATTAGAAGTAGAACCTGAAGATGTGACTGAATTGCTGCAGTCTCATGATGAAACCTGAATGGATAAGGAATTGCTTCTTGCAGATGAACAAATAAAGTTTTTTGTTGTTTTTGTTTTTGAGACGGAGTCTCACTCTGTCACCCAGGCTGGAGTGCAGTGGCACAATATCGGCTTGCTGCAACCTCTGCCTCCCAGGTTCAAGCGATTCTCCTGCCTCAGTTTTCCAAGTAGCTGGGATTACAGGCCTGCACCATCATGCCCAGCTAATTTTTGTATTTTTAGTGGAAATGAGGTTTCACCATGTTGGCCAGGCTAGTCTCAAACTCCTGACCTCAGGTGATCCACCCGCCTCAGCCTCCCAAAGTTCTGGGATTGCAGGCATGAACCTCCACACCTGGCCCAAATAAAGTTTCATTATGTGAAATTTACTCCTGGTGAACATCCTGAGAACACTGTCAAAATGACAAAAGACTTACAATATTATATAAAACTTAGTTTATAGAGCAGTAGCAGAGTTTAAGATGATTGACTACAGTTTTGAAAGAAGTTCCATGGTGTATAAAATGTTGTCACATGCTACAGAGAAATATTTCATGAAAGGAAGAGTCAATCAATAAGGCAAACTTCATTGCTGTCTTATTTTAATAAATTGCCCCAATTACCCCAACCTTCAGCCACCACTAGCCTGATCAGTCAGCAGTTGTTAACATTAAGGCAAGACCCTCTACCAGCAAAAAGATTATTACTCACTGAAGGCACAGATAATTGTTAGCATTTTTTAGCATTAAACTGTTTTCCAATTAAGGTATGTGCCTTTTTTAGACTTAGTGTGCTTAGACTACAATATGGGTGTAAACATGTAATTTATATGTATGGGGAAATCAAAAAATTTGCATGACTTACTTTATTGCAGATGTCTAGAACTGAATATTTCCAAGATACACCCAGTGTGTGTATTTACATGGGTAAGTACACACACACAGTTTAAATACTATATAAGTTTTAAATAATGTGTAGATATACACAATGTTTAAAACTTACCTAGGTTTAAAATAATTAAGGAAAAATTTGCTTTCAAATTTAAAACCATATACAAAATTAAGATACTCTAATATCTTGTTTTAAAAGATTATTTCAGTAAATTTTAAACCTACTTCTATAGTAGGTGTATTTAACAGGCATGTGTGTGAAGAAAAATAGTCCTTTAAGGCTTCAGTTTTTTGTTTTTCGTTTTTTTTTTTTGAGACGGAGTTTTGCTCTTGTTACCCAGGCTGGAGTGCAATGGTGCGATCTCTGCTCACCGCAACCTCCGCCTCCTGGGTTCAGGCAATTCTCCTGCCTCAGCCTCCTGAGTAGCTGGGATTACAGGCACGCGCCACCATGCCCAGCTAATATTTTGTATTTTTAGTAGAGACAGGGTTTCACCATGTTGACCAGGATGGTCTCAATCTCTTGACCTCGTCATCCACCCGCCTCGGCCTCCCAAAATGCTGGGATTACAGGCGTGAGCCACCGCACCCGGCCCAAGGCTTCAGTTCTTTATAGTTTGTACCATGAGTGAGTTGCGAATGAAGAGGAAAAGTAAAGGTGTTGAATAAATAACTTTCCAAAGTAAACAGGCATCAACTTGCATTACAAAGAGAAAAAAACCTTTAATTTTATGCCAGTTTTTTAAATGCTCTTGAGATCAAATTGCGCAACAGCTGTCTTCTGTGGTATATTTTGAGACACTTTGAAGTGACACAGGTTTTCTTATGCTTTACATTTTAATACTCTGGATCTTTTGGTTCCAGTAACTTTGAGGGGATGTATCTTTTTTTTTTTTTTTTTTGAGACGGAGTCTCGCTCTGTCACCAAGGCTGGAGGGCAGTGGCGCGATCTCAGCTCACTGCAACCTCCACCTCCAGGTTCAAGTGATTCTCCTGCCTCAGCCTCCAGAGTAGCTGGGACTATAGGTGTGCGCCACCACACCTGGTTAATTTTTTGTATTTTTAGTAAAGACAGGGTTTCACTGTGTTAGCCAGGATGGTCTTGATTTCCTAACCTCGTGATCTGCCCAACTTGGACTCCCAAAGTGCTGGGATTTCAGGCATGAGCCACCACGCCTGGCCGAGGGAAAATATCTTTTACCTCTGTAGCATTAATACAAACATTAGTTTAAGATTATTCTTCGTCCTCAAAATTGTGTCTTCAGTTTTTTCCCATGGCATGGAACCAACAGTGAGAAAAACTTATTGTTAGGACAGAGTCCATGGTCATGAGGACATGTACTGAGCATTTATGTGCTGCACTGTACTAAATATTTGGTATACATTATTTCCACTTACTCTTTAAACCTTTAGGATGGCCATTATCTTCAGTCTCACACAGGAGAAAACTGAGGTGCTGAAAAGGCAATTAACTTGTCCATGCTCCTGCAGAGCTGGCGTTTGAACCCGGATCTACTCACTCTTGAGCCTGATCTCTTATACTCTCTCCCTCTGTATTTATGCCCTTTCTACTTAAATAGAAAACGTTTTAAATGAAGTCTTAATCTTTTCTATAAGGATAGCATCTCAGTGGCTGACACATATTCAATGCATACAACTCAACAGTCCCCTACACGTACCATGGAGTACAATGTCATCTGTCCTGTTTGAATTTACCAAGGTATTAAGCTTATGCTTAACCAGGCCTATATGATCAATTTTTTTTTTCCTTTTGGGATGTAAAATTCCCCCAGCACCTAAATCCAGTTTAAAAAATATTTTTTTTAACAGCTGCTGAATATGTCCAGGGAACTGAGTGACCTAAAGAAACACCTGAAGGAAGCCACCGCCGCCATTGCAGCCGACCCTCTCTACTCAGAGGGTACATGGTCCGAGCCGACCTTCACGTCCACTGAAGCGGCCATCCAGTCCATGCTGGAGTGCCTGAAGAACAACGAACTCGGCAAAGCTTTGCGGCAGATCAGGGAGTGCAGGTGACTCTGCTGTTTCTTTAGAGGTGGTTGCAGGCAATGCACACCTGGCTGTTACTCCGATGGCTGGAGTCTAGCCCACTGCGGAAGGCTGGATATTCTACAGGTCTCTTCTCAGATCTTTACCCTTGCCCAGCCAGAAACACTCAGCTTTCAGAAATTACATGTTGAAAGTGTTGGTGTTGGTTCTGGCCATTTGTCATCCCTAAAATGACAAAATGCTGAAGCCCTTCAAAATATACCTTCATATAATTTTAAACTAACATTTGAATATATCCTTTTTGGTTTCGCCCCTACATGCTGGTATTGTATTCACATTCATTGAAACCAGAATGCTATAGCACATAAGGTAAATGTTTTAAGCATATCAGATTCCATTGTGATATTTTTATACTTTTGACATTTTATCAAGATACTCAAGATTCTAAAATTGATGATGAAGGAAACCACTGCCACCACAATCAACCATCTCTATTCAGAGGGTGTGTGGTTTCCACAGCTCTGAATATACTATAACCCACTGAATTGTTTACTTTAGATGAGTAGATTGCCTGATATGGGAATTCCATCTCAATAAAGCCTTTTTGAAAAAGTAATATTCTTTTATTAATGAAGACTCATAAGCTCCCAGCTTTGTGACCAATAGTGCCTCTAATCTGTGCTATTCTTTTTGACTGCAGAAGTCTGTGGCCCAATGACATCTTTGGAAGCAGTTCTGATGATGAGGTCCAGACACTGCTGAATATTTATTTCCGTCACCAAACTCTGGGACAGACAGGTACTTATGCTCTGGTGGGGTCTAACCAGAGCCTGACGGAGATCTGCACCAAGCTGATGGAGCTGAACATGGAGATCCGGGACATGATCCGCAGGGCCCAGAGTTACCGCGTGCTCACGACCTTTCTTCCAGACTCCAGTGTTTCCGGCACTAGTCTCTGACAGGAGCCTCCTGTCCCCACTGGGTTCCAAACTGGCAGTGCTGCCATGCTGGGGCGACATCATTCAGTGTCTTCTCGGCCTTCAAAAGGCTTGGACAGACTGTTCTCCCTCTTGTTACCTGTAGGGCTTTTTCTAAAGAGGATGGCAGAACTTCCAATGTGTAGCAATACTATAAGAACCAAGGTAGCTTAGAACATCCTGGACAGACTCCACCCGTCATGCTGTGTGACACAAATGGGTTACATTTGACCGAGCATATGCAACTCACTACTGAAGAAGTGACTTCCGTTGCATACCAAAGCTGACTACACTGAACAGTACCTTCCTTTCTAGAAACAATTTTAGATTGGCAAAAGTGCAATGTTTTCTTCACTCAAACAATTTTATATTCTCAAACATGTACATTCTATCCCTTTCTTGTTCCTTTCTTGTATTGTTTTCTTTTTCCTTTCTTTAGTGGGCTAAGAAAGGGGCAGGCAGAATGACGCTGGCCACTGAAAACTGTAAGATGGTCAAAAGCTGACAGCCTGTGTATGTGAAAAGGGAATTGTAAATGGACTGCAATGTAATGTACACTGTAATTTGAATAGAATTACTGTATCTAAAAGGAGCTGCTATGAAAGGACCTTTCTTACGTTGCTAGGCTACTGTTTCTGAAGGCCCTGGATCTCTTTGCACCAAAAATGGTCCAGATAGACTCTTTTTAAGGATCTTGGCTGCTTTTTACTAGAAGGTTGCTTTTATGAGCATATTTATACTGCAGAAGGATGAGTGTTAATTTTAATTAACTTTGCCATTTTGTAGAGAAAAACTACTCGCAATGTAAATTCCAAGTCTTTTCACCAGTCAGGCATGCATATTTTAATATCCATTTGGATAGCCGAAAGTAGAATCATAAAGGTAAAATATGAGTTGTTACTTTGTTTCTTAAATGTCATATTTTATGTGTAATGTATATGTAAAGGGCCATTCTTAAGTTCTCTCCTTCAACAATGCTGTCAAATGTTCGATGTGTGCATGTGAACTTGCTGCACAGCAGAAACATATTCAGAGTTTATCTATGTAACTTATTCACTCTGTAAATACATTTAAAGTTTTTGTGATGTAAGCTTACTTGATATTCTGTTCAGAACTTTCTTTAGACTAAAAAAAAAAAAAAAAAAAAAGACAAAATACATGTTGACCATGGATTTTATTTCTGGTTGATGAAAATGTTTGCCCCGGGCACACATGAAGTTTTGCATGTGCCAAAGTAGTAACCCCAAGGGACACCCCTCACATGTATGCTATGAATGGCCCTTATGAAGCTGGAGGTAAGTATAATCTCTTGGGAAGTTGGCTTCAAAACTGAGCTTCAATCAATTCTCTGTAATTAACCAAGGGAAAAAAATCAGAAAAAAGTGAAAGCTCCAGTTCCCAATAATCTATAATTAGGTTGTCACCCTTCAGATTTGGAAATTGATTCTATAGTGAGCAGGAAAATGTAGGAGGAGTTTTAATTCTGTCACCAACACCTATCCGCTACCTACCCCACTAGGAAGACAGGAACACAGGGAGAAACGTAACAATCTCAATTATGCTGTCTTTCTATTCATATTTTACTTGGACCAACAAATATAACTTGTTTTACTAGCACACGGCTACTGAATCATTGGCAGTAATATTCTAGGAGTATCCTACAGAAAAGAACCTAACCTAGGATTTTTTTATGTTACCACAAATATAACTACTAGTATATTTTAATAATTTTCTGAACTGCTGTATACATAATTTTTCTGATGGTTTAATTTTTTTCAACTTGTCTGAAAGATGATTTGCTATGATTTGTAGTAACAACTGAATCATGATCACTCTGAAATATACCTCATAAAATAAAGGTTTCTGTGGGTAACCACGATAGCCAACTTTCAGAGAGTTTTGTCGGAAGCCACAGTAGAAAGAACAGATTCGTCATGAACTGAATCTCCCACCATGCTTTCTTACCCAGCAGAGAACCAGTGCATTGCAATCTAAGATACTAACACAGGAAGCAGTGGGGGGTTTTTTGTTTTTCTCAATTTTATTTTTAAAAGGAGATGTATTAATGTGAAATATTTCTTTTACTTTTCCTCTATCTCTTCACCTCCTCTCCTTGAAGTGATGGGAAAAATTGTGTAGGACGCAGCACCACTCCAGCAGAGCCCAGCAGTAACTTGATACACCGGTCAAATCTTGCTGCCTATTGCTCTGTTACTGAAGCATTAATGTTAATTGCCTTCCCCAGGGATACAGAGAAATAGAGGTTCCAAAGGAAAGGGTAGATATTTAACAGATGCCTCAGTGATAAGAAAGATTCCTCCTTGCATCTAATGCTTTCTAGCACTAAAACATGATACACTTTTGATCCACCTGCAGAATAAAGCAAGCCAGACAGGTGCTCTGTAACTTAGATGTAACCTGATTAAAATTATAGTCTCCAAATACAGTATTTAGAAAAGGCACTGTACATTTTTAGAGGCATATGAATGTCATTCCCACCTCTTACCCATCTAATGTAGGTGAGATGTTAAGAAAATGTGCTGGTGTTGCTGTGAAATAAAGATGCCTGTAATTGTAGGCAACACACACATGCATGAACATCCAAAGTTAGGTCTCAAGGCTCTTCTGGTTCCAAGTCCTAACAAACAATGATCTTTTCAGTGAACTGTAGAAATCTGGAAAAGATATTTCTTCATTCAGCAAACATGTATTGCATACCCACTCTGGGCTAGGCACTGTTTTAGAGGATATGGCAGCCATCAAAACAGATGTGGTCCCTGTTCCCATGAGGCTCCTACATTTGAGTGGAGGAAGACGTACTTGTCTATGTTGGGTGGTGATTAGTGCCGTGAAGAACAAAACGGACACAGCGAGTAATGGGGATGGGGCTCTCTTAGCTATCATTCTAATAAGGTGGTATCTGAGGAGAGATCTGAATGAAGTGGGGATACGATGGCTATCCAGGGAAAAGAGCATTGGGCAAAGGAGGAACACATGCAGAGGCCCTGAAGGAGGAGTAGGATCACTTCGTCGAAGGGACAGCGAGGAAGCCAATGACTGAGTGAAAGAGTGAAGACAGCATTCAGAGAGGACAGCCGAAAGTTCTGTAAGTCACAGCAGGACTTTGTCCCTTGCCGAGCAAGATGGGGAGCCACTGGAGGTTTGCAGGCCGAGCTGTGACTTACATTGAAAAGGATTACTCCATTTGGGATGACGAAAAAAAGTTCTATAAGGAAAGTTTTGTTGTGGTTATACAGCATTGTGAATGTACTTACTGCCAATGAATGGTGTACTTTAAAATGGTAAATTTCATGTTATATATGCTTTACCACAATAAAAATAATTGTTTTAAAGAATCACTCTGGCTGCTATGTGCAGAACAGACTGCAGATGGGCAGAGGTAGAAGCAGGAACACTAGAAAGACAGCTGTGGCGATAGTGCAGTCACCAGGCGATGCTGGCTTGGCCTCGGGTAATCACAATGGAAGTGATGAGTAGTGGGCATGCTCTGCAAATAATTCAGAGCTAGAGCTGACAGGTCTTACCAATGACCACAAAGAATGGGAGAGAGTTTGGCCCAAACAACTGGAGGAATCGAGTCGCCACTGACTGAGATTAGGGAATGCATGTTTAGCAGGTAGAAACCAAGATTTATTCTTCAGACATGTTAACTTTGAGATGTCTCATATCCAAGACAAACTGGTGAGTTAACAGGCGGATATGTGAGTCTGTGGTTGAGGAGCAAAGTCTGGGCTAAAGACATACATGTGGCATTTAAAGCCCCTGAGAAAAAAATAGGATACTCCCCTGTCTTGTCCAGCCAGGGACTGGGATCTCTCAAAAAAATCAGAGTGTAGGCAATGAGTTTGAAATCTCAGATGCACATTAAACCATGTGGGGAACTTAAAACGCCAACACTCAGGCTTCCTCTTAATTGATTTAATTGGTCTGAAGCTGTGCTCAAACTCCAGCACTGTTTAAGTTTCCCCAGCTGATTCTAATCCACTACCAAGATGGGAACATTGCTTTCTACTTTCTCAGACCTAAGAATCACCCCAGGGTACTTGTCAAAAATGCAGAATCCCTCAGACTGCCCCCTCTAGAGACCAGTTTGGTAAATCCCACACAGCGTCCCTCAAACCAGCATTGTAATAGCAGCTCCACTTTGAAAGACACTGAACTAAAATAAACTTCCCATATAGTAAAGTGCTCTTTCTTCCAAAGCACACCCCCAATTGTTTTCCCCACGTAGGCTGGTGGTGTAGAGATTCTACCCAAATCTGTCATTGAACTTTCTGTAACTTTCCTATTTGAGGTCACAGTGAGTGGGTGGCTAGAATTTACTGCATCCACTTACAGATCAGTTTCCAGGCAGATGCCTCCTTCTCTGTCACCATCTTCTGCAGCCCAGATCCTGCTTTTAACAGCAAACTTGTGTGGATATTGTATTCGAATTTCAGATTCCAAGAACTTGGGCCACTTGGCGTGAACTTCCAGACGCTCCACAGGAGAATGAAGAGATTCATCCTGGCCCCCTTTACTATGTCCAACCCTTCTCTCCTCATCTCTATTTTAAAAAGCCCAGAGACTTTGAAATTCTTGCCACCTAGCTGTACTATCCTCCTCCTTTCCCAACACCATCACTGTCATCCACAGCAGCGGCTGTGACCCTCAGTTGCATTAGAAGCATTGGGGAAGCTTTTTAAACATTCTGAAGTTTGGGCCCCACCCAGATCCCTTAAATCCTTTATAAGGCTCCTCTGATTATTTTGAATTGCAGCTTCGCTTAGGAACCGCTGACCTTCTCCCTGCCCCTTATTCGTCAGAGAGACTAGAGCTTCTTGCTCACCCCTGCTTCTGATGTCATTTCCAGGGCTTCAGCAGTCTTCTGTATAACCTGTACAAAACCTTTTTTCTCTCATCCTGTTAATAACATTCTTACCTCCAGGCATTTTCACTCTACTCTACCTTAGCCACCCAATTTCCTGGCTATACCAAAACCCGATCCACAGAAGTGAACCAGCTCCAGAATCCCACCTTCAGGCCCCTCCGCTCAGGAATTTTCCCAGTTCCCCTTTACTCCAGCCCCAACCCCTCTAACAATTCTCCCACCATTAATATCAGTCTGTGGTCTCACATGTCTTTACCCCCCTTTGGAGCATGTTTAAATTTCATGGGTCATTATAATCCCTCCTTTGCCGACATTGACAAGGGGTGCCCTAACCCTGTCTTCTGCTCTATCCTTTTACAATCAAAGGAACATCACTGCTTCCTCAGGGGCCACTCGCTCAGCTGGTTAAACCCCAAGCTTGGTTGAACCTAAAATTGACTCTTCCCACACCTGCTCCAGAAGTGTGACATTACTAGGATGAAGATCTTTCTAGAATGCAAGTCCCACTTGTAGTATCACACTAATAATGACACTGGTAATGTCACATTTCTAATAATGTCTTCTAGTAATATCTTCTAGTAATGTCTCAACACTATTGGACAATTCTGTAATACACTATGCCTTCCTGATCATTTCAATTTCCTAATGCCTGAGAATCGTTTCACATATTTTCCTCTCTCCTCAGCATCCTACCTGTCTCAGCTGATGGCTTTGCTTCATAATTCATTGAGTAAACAAATGAGTCTCACCTTCTCCACCAAATACATAAAGTTATCTAACTAGCCCTGTGTTCTAGGTGCTCCATTCTTTTACAGTCAAAGGAACATCACCGCTCCCTCAGGGGCCGGTGGCTCCACTGGCACTCAGGACCCTGTCTCTGCTACCTATTCAAGGGCTTTGCTCCTGCAGACATTCCCCTCTCTGCTCTGCCATCAGCTTCTCCACCAAATGATTCCCTTTAAGATGCCAACATACTCAGCGCCTCCCGTTTCCCCAAATGCCATTCTAGCTATCACCAGTTTCTTTACTTTCTTACAGCAAAACCTCTAGGAAGTGCTACTTCTGTTCAGTATCTGATTTAACACTGGCTTTCATCCACACCATTCCATGGAAACCTCTCTTCAACCTCACCAGTCACCCCCGTGCTTTCACATCCAGTGGACCTGTCTGTCTTCACCTTCTCGACCTCCCAGCAGGATTTGACTCAGTCGACTTTCCTGCCTTCTGGAAATACTGTTTCATCTTCATTTTCATCTCTCATCCTCTTCCTATCCCTCTTGATCTCATCTTTCATCTAACCTCTAAGTTCCTGCTACTCCGTATACAGTCTGGGGAATCAGCAACGTTGATCACATCTGCGAGCTTCCTAGATTTAGTCTCAGACCCCAGACCTACAGAATCAGAATCTTCATTTAACAAGCTCAACAACGACTCTGGGGACATTAAGGTTTTGGAATCATTGCCTCAGTGTTGGTATGCCCCAGAGCCCTGTGTTGTACTCCCTTTTTATTTTCTCCTGCTTCTGTGAAACTTTTTTAATTTTTAAATTCTTTTATTTCCATGGGTTACTGGGGAAAAGGTGGTATTTGGTTACATAAAGATTCCGTTCTTTATGGTGATTTGTAGATTTTGGTGCAGGTGACCCCGTCCGGGCACAAGACTTTAAAGACTGTCTCCTTTTTATCTCAGTGCCCCTCGTCCTGGCTTATCTCCTAAACTCCAGACACATATATCTAATCAGCTACATGGCATTTCCAGCTGGATGTCTCCAACGCTTCAAACTTATGTTGAAAACAGAAGCCCTTCCCACATCATAGCTAGCTCCACTAAAATAAGAGGTAAATGTATTGAACCCTCAAAGTGACAGGCACTAATTATTCTAAGTGATAAACACGCCTCAACTCCTTTAGTTCCTATCTCTTGGTTGTGTGAGGACTACCATTATCCCTATTTTGCAGATAGGTAAACTGAGGGGTAGAGAGCCACTTGCCCAAAATTATCTATCTCCTAAATATGGCACCCAGGATTTGCAATTAGGTAACCTGGCTCCAGAACATGCCTCCTAACTGGCATACTGCTCAATTCCATTCATGCCCCGGCTCAAAGCAGAAATCTAAGAGTCGTTGTTTATTTCCTCCATCTTCCACTGCCACCCCATCCCATTTTCAAACATTATCTTAAACCCATGGATTCTTCCTCTCTGGCCACCACCCTTGTCCAAGCTATCATTTTGCTCATGTGTTCATTAACCTCCCAACCATCTCCCTCCTGCCATTCTACCTGGTCTCCCTCTAAAGTGACCTTTTTTTTTTGAGACGGACTTTCGCTCTTCTTACCCAGGCTGGAGTGCAATGGTGCTATCTCGGCTCACTGCAACCCCCGCCTCCTGGGTTCAGGCAATTCTCCTGCCTCAGCCTCCTGAGTAGCTGGGATTACAGGCATGCACCCCCATGTCCAGGTAATTTTTTGTATTTTTAGTAGAGATGGGGTTTCACCATGTTGACCAGGATGGTCTCGATCTCTTGACCTCGTGATCCGCCCGCCTCAGCCTCCCAAAGTGCTGGGATTACAGGCGTGAACCACCGCGCCCGGCTAAAGTGAGCTTTTTGAAGTGAGACTGTGTCTGCCCTGGTGAAAGCCCCTCACAGGGCCATCATTTGCTTTAACCTGGTCTTGAGAACCCTTTGTGATCAGAGCCCTGTCTTCCGCAGTCTCTTCCCCACGTCAGCCCCAGGGGGCTCCTGTTCCTCAGCCCCTCAAGGCCTTTCCTCCTGCTGTTCCCTTGGATCAAAATAATCTTCTCCCAGCTCCCTTCATCCTGCAGGTCTCAAACTCATGTCACCTCTTCCCAGCCACCCTGTCTAAAGGGTTACTCTATCATAGCACCCTGTTTCCTTCATGCCATTTATCACAATCTGAACTTGGGAAGAAGTATAAATGTAATTGTGAAAGCACAGAGCAAGTCCTACTCTATCTGGTTTAAATCCTGGCTCTCCATCTCCTCATCTATGAAAAGGTACAACAGCTCCTAAGTCATAGGGCTGCTGTGGTGAGTTATAGCAATGCATGGCAGATGCTAAGGGCTGCTTCAGCATCTGCTGTAATTGTGTATACTTGAAGGGAGGACTGTGCTTTGCCCCTTCAATCATCTCTACATTCCCAGTGCTTAGAACATCTGACTTATAAAAACTTCTCAAATGAATGGCTATTTTTCCCCTTCATTGTTCCCCTTCATATAAGTGACAGTATCTACCATTTCCCAATGCTCTATATTGATGTTTTTACCCTAGGATCACCAATTAATGTGCCTTCATGGTCTAGTTCACATGCATTTATTTTATTCTATTCACACTGTACAACTGTTACACAACCTACAAAAAGTACAAAAGCCTAGTCCATTTTCCAATGCCAGGTCAGAACCGAGTTGCAGAAAAGGAAGGCAGCAAAGTAAGTTACAAGAAGAGCTCAGGGGTCCTGTGTGAGTCACAGCACATATTTAAAGCTGTAAATATTGCCACAGGAGAATCTCTTGTCTTTGCAGCGACCACACAGTTCCTGTCGATGAGGCCTCCTTAGATCAATGTGTCTTTTCTTTTGAGGACAGGAACAATGAGACTTTGAGCAGGTCTTTAGGAAACAAGAGTTTGGATGCTAATGATCAGTTTAGTGTTTCAGATATAATCCTCAAATCACAATACTTCTCCCTATTGCCCTATTCCTGATACCTTTATCCTCTGAGTCCTATGAGAAGGCCAAGACAAAGTTGTACAAAACTGCTTGTATCACATTAAATGTCAAATTTTTTTTTCAAGATAAATGATCACAGAAGATATTCAAGAGAATATTGCTGAGCCAATCAAGACAACATAATGTGAAAGAAGAATTTAAGAGTTTTGTAGAGTTTCTTCACTGTGTAGATTTTTATATTTCTATAGAAATATAAAAGGTCAGAGTGAGTGACCGTAGGTAGGAATTAAATGAACATTTCCAAAAAATTAGAGGCCAAGCGCGGTGGGTCATGCCTATAATCCAGCACCTTGGGAGACCAGGACAGGCGGATCACCTGAGGTCAGGAGTTTGAGACCAGTCTGGCCAACAGGGTAAAATCCTATCTTTACTGAAAATAGAAAATTAGCTTGGCATGGTGGCACATGCCTGTAATTGTAGTTACGTGGGAGGCTGAGACAGGAGGATCACTTGAACCCGGGAAGCGGAGGTTGCAGTGAGCTGAGATTGTGCCACCACACTCCAGCCTGGGTAACAAGAGTAAAACTCCATCTCAAAAAATAAAAAGACTAAAGCAAAGGTTCTCAACCAGGGGTGATTTTACTCCTCCCATCTCCACCCCCAGTGGACATTTGGCAATGTCTAAATATATTTGGGTTGTTATAACTGGGAGAGAGGGGTATTCCAGAGAAAATTAAATGTTTCTTTCCAGACATGCCCAATCTTTACTACGATCTAAAATAGTGCCTTTCAACCATTCTCTCTCTGTCTTCCAATAATTAAAATTAACATCCTATGGAAACTGGAATACTACCCTGTTTCCATCCCCCAGTCCTGCTAATCTTTGACAATGACAATCACTGCTCTGTTTTCTATATGTTCCCTAGTCACTGCTCTGTTTTCTATATGTTCCCTAGTCACTGCTTTGTTTTCTATATGTTCCCTAGTCACTGCTCTGTTTTCTATATGTCCCCTAGTCACATAGAACTAGTCAAGATTTACCTTTTTATATTGTGAAAACAGGCATTTTTATTCTTCTCATTACAGCCTTAAATATGATTTAATCAAATTGTTCTGTTGAAGAGTATGCCTCCTTCTAAGAAAATTCTAATAGGGAATACTCACATGGTGTTTACTATGTGCGCAGCACTCTCTTAAGCACTTTATATATATGAATTCATTTAATTCTTACAACATCCTTACAAAGAAAGGATCGATAAAATAAGGATTTACTCTAAAGGTAGATTTCTGCTTCTGGAAATAGAGGATTAGGTAATTCTAACCAAGCCTCCTGGACAACTAGAAAAGCTGAGCTAAAAATAAATGACTGTTTGAAGCACTGGGAAATTATCAGAGCATTAGAAAAGAAAACCCAGAAATGGATGTGAGCTTGACATCTGGGACTGTTTACTCTCGCTACAGTTTCACATGTGATAGCTAGTACTCAATCGAAATTAACCAGGTGCTGTATATGAGGAGACAGAATAACAGTTTTGAAATTTGAAAGGACAGCAATAGACTCACAGGGTATTGAGTGAAAGGAGTTCTGAAACAGATTTTAAATTCATTATGCTAATATGTTCAAGGAAATACAACTAATATTTCCAGCAGAAAAACTGAAGTTTACTTTTAAAGAAATAGAAATTTTAGAACAGAAAAATACAATAAATGAAATCAATAGTTCAATGGATGAGTTTAATTGCAGATTAAAAAGAGCTGAGATGAGAAATACAAATGGAAGATGGTTTAGTAGATGATACCTAGCATAAAGAAAGAAGAGCTAAAAGAATGGAAAATATAGAAAACAGTGGAAGAGACAGAAAGAGGCCAGGTACAGTGGCACTGCTATAATCCCAGCACTTTGGGAGGCAAAGATCATTTGAAGTTAGGTGTTCAAGACCAGCCTGGCCAACATGATGAAACCCCATCTCTACTAAAAATACAAAAATTAGCCAGGCGTGGTGGCAGGCTAATTTTTGTCCCAGTTACTTGGGAGGCTAAGGTAGGAAAATCACTTGAACCTGGGAGATGGAGGCTGTAGTAAGCAGAGATCACACCACTGCACTTCAGCATGGGCAACAGAGAGAGACTCTGTCTCAAAAAAATAAAAAGGGACAAATATGGTGCAGTGCCCTAATATGAGTAATTGGAAGAGAGAGAAGGAATAGGAGAAGTAACATCTGAAAAGATAACTGTTGATCATTTTCCAAAAGTAATGAAAATCTTCAAGCCACAGTCTCAAAAAACTATGAACCTCAAGCAAGATAATTACAAAGAAACCACAACTAGGCACATCATTGTAAAACCGCTGAAAACAGCAACACAGAGAGAAATAAGAGACTAGAAGTAAACAGATTTAAGAGGGAGAGAGAAGAGATTACTTCAAAAGAGCTGTAATGGGCCGGGCGCGGTGGCTCACGCCTGTAATCCCAGCACTTTGGGAGGCTGAGGCGGGTGGATCACTATGTCAAGAGATCAAGACCATCCTGGTCAGCAAGGTGAAACCCCGTCTCTACTAAAAATACAAAAAAATTAGCTGGGCACGGTGGCGCGTGCCTGTAATCCCAGCTACTTTGGAGGCTGAGGCAGGAGAATTGCCTGAACCCAGGAGGTTGTGGTGAGCCGGGATTGCGCCATTGCACTCCAGTCTGGGTAACAAGAGCGAAACTCCGTCTCAAACAAACAAACAAAAGGGCTGCAATAAGAGCTGTATCATTTCGCAGAAACAAATTCAGATCCTTAAAGGGCAGAAGGAACTATTTCCAACTATACCCAGAAAGAAATCTTAAAAAGATATCCAGTCAAAATAGAATTTGTCACCTTCATACCAATACTGTGGAAAATATTAAAGTTCAAGTCAAAGGAAAGTGGCCCCAGAAACAAAAAGACACAACAAATAACACTGTGTAGCTACAACTACATGAATATTAACAATACAAAAGAATCTTATAAAGTTTTAAATATAGGTAAAATTAATACACGACAACAACACGTAAGTTAGGATGAGATGATTTGTAGTTAGAGCATTCTAAAGTCATTGTATTGACCGTGAAAGGCAAGATTAACAATTTAGACTTTCCCAAGTCAGACAGTCGTGATGTTATCTCTATGGTAACCACAAAAGGACATTAAAGAATAATAGAAAGGAAAATTGAATAATTTTTTAATAAGACCAGTCCAAGTGAACACAAGAGAAAAGAAAAAGGAGTGGAGAAGAAAGAAAATACATTTAAACCCAGTTTAATAAGTAGTTACATTGAACATCAGACTAAGAATGTCAGACTATAAAATCTGAGGATTAATCACTTATAAGTCTTCAAATTATCACTTACTTCTACTAATTATAGAAAAAAATATTTTTAACTAAATGAAGGACTTAGGTTAAAAAAAAAATTGATAATGAAAATCAAGTTAAGGATCTCACCTAATTCTGTGAATTTCTAAACATTGGAGACACCATGGAATCCAGTCAGAGCTTTAATACCATTCATCTAACCTTAGGAAAGTTATTTTGAACTTAGCTTTCAGATCTATAAAATAGGAGTAACATCTCCCACAAAAATTAGATGATAGGAGATGATGCATGTCAAGCACTAGCCCAAAATTTGGCATTTAGTAAACAGTTAATAGCAGTTACCTTTTAAAATTCTAACTACGCACAGGGTGTCAGAGGAGAAACTAACACACCCCGTGAGGCAACTTGAAACAGTGAATCTTTCTCCCTTTCCCTTCAAAACAGATGCAAACTATAACATGCTTTCATTTTTCTAAAACATACAACTTCAAACATACAGAACTCTATCAAACTGTATCAAATCCTAATGTTTTGTCACATCCAACTCTATCAAATCCTAATGTTTTGTCACAGAGGCTTCATTTTAGGAATGAAACACTATAAACAGAATGGAAGTGCTCCATATGCTTACCTGACATTGGATTGCTTCTACTCGATAAGGGTTAAAACTCTTTTGGCATTTACAACAGAGTTGTTTGAAATAAACCTAAAGAGAAATACGGTTTTTTTAAAATACAAGCTTTTATACACATCCACGCTCTGCAGAGCCTCCCAGTTCTTAAGTAATCCATTCTCTTGTCTTGTATCTTGCTTTTACCAACCTCCACCCTTGAGGTTTTAAGCTGCACTAGTTCTTCACACTCTTACTCTTTGAATCTAATTTTCCTTACCTGTAAAATTGGAATAATACTATTTTTTTTGTTTGTTTTTGAGACGCAGTTTTGCTCTTGTTACCCAGGCTGGAGTGCAACAGTGCAACCTCAGCCTCCCAGGTTCAAGCAATTCTCCTGCCTCAGCATCTCCAGTAGCCGGGATTACAGGCGCCACCACCGCACCTGGCTCATTTTTTGTATTCTTAGTAGAGACGGGGTTTCACCATGTTGGCCAGGCTGGTCTCAAACTCCTGGCCTCAAGTGATCCACCCACCTTGGCCTCCCATAGTGCTGGGATTAGAAGCCTGAGCCTCTGCACCTGGTTGGAATAATACTCTTAATACTTTTTCCATAGTTCTGAAAACGCCCCAATAATGTACACCAAGTATCACAGTAGATGCTCAATGGGAAGTGGCTGTTATACTTTTTGTCCTGGTCTGTTAGCTCCTACATGTTTCATTTTTCAGTGTTTCCCAGCTGAAACTTTAAATTACTTGTGGTTCCCCATCAATACCACGTGGTCTCTAGACTTCGTGCAATTTCTTGTGCATACTTTCTCCCTGCCTTGCTTGGTGAACTCTTCCTCCTATTTATTCTTTAAAGTCCTGCTTGGACATCAAGCTGTCTTCCCTCAGAAAGGGCTAATCTCCTCCTTCCTGTGCTATCTCTGTACAGCTTCCATATGAAGGATGCTATGGCATGTGTCACCAAATTACATTTTGTTTCCATCCCTCCTATCAAAATAAACTCCTTGAGAACGAGTTCTGTGTTTTGTTGTTTGTATCCTAGTGCCTTGGAATGTTTTAAACTCATTTTTCCTCTGGCAAGAGAAGGAAAGTAAATTTAACTTCAACTTAAAAAATGTATTCACTCTCTAGGTCTCTAGTAAATGGCCAGTGTGAGAAGTCAAGTTTTCATCCGGAAGTCAATGCCTTTTTGCCCTCTCTCCCCAGTCCTTGGGCCAGTAAGGCAATCTCTAAACATGCGACAGCACAGGGCATTCACATTCAAATGCTTACAGAGGTTAATAACATCCTGCCGGCCGGGCGCGGTGGCTCACGCCTGTAATCCCAGCACTTTGGGAGGCCGAGGAGGATGGATCACGAGGTCAAGAGATCAAGACCATCCTGGCCAACATAGTGAAACCCCGTCTCTACTAAATACAAAAAAAATTTAGCCGGGCATGGTGGCACACGCCTGTAATCCCAGCTACTTGGGAGGCTGAGACAGGAGAATTGTTTGAACCCAGGAGGCGGGGGTTGCGGTGAGCCGAGAATGCGCCTTTGCACGCTAGCCTGGGTAACGAGCGAAACTCCGTCTCCAAAAAAAAAAAAAAAAACCATCCTGCCATATAGACTGCTGCAAAACGAGCTGCACAGGCCAAGGAAAAGGAGACCAAGACTTAGGGCAGCCTGCTGTTCTCATTCTCAAACGAGGGTCTATAATGAATAGAGCCTATGATATTCATGAAAATGCAGAAATGCAGAATTTAACGTGAAGTCTTTTCCAATCTTAATATGTTGGCAATTAAATTAGGAAGGGGACAAAAGAAACCTTCCACGTAGCCTAAGTCAGTCTCTTACAGGCTCATCTTTACAGTAAGTTTTTTCACTTATTGCCCCACCTTGTGGACAAACGTGGAAATTTCCTAGCGCTAAGGCCCAGACCTTTTCCAAAGGTACCAACTAAAAAACGATTACAAAAACTTCCAATGTAGACAAGGACAAAGGTTCATCTAAGTAACCTGACATTTTGTCAAATATAACACCAGAATCTGGTTCGGAAACTCGGGTGGACAGTCCGATTCGGCTCCATTCAAACATTCGTTCAGCACTTCCCACACACCTGGCACTGGGGATGCCACCAGGATCAAGACAGGACTGTGAGAGCCAAGCTCCCTCAGGAATCAGATTCTTCCCCGCTTACATCTGTGCCCACCCCATTCTCCTCTCACCTGCCACTCACTTTTACTTACCTTGTTAGTTCCAGAAATGCACCACACGTAAGCACTCTCCCACCTGGTCTTACAATCTTTGCAGTGAAAATAGCCGTATTTTGGTTCCAAAACCTGAAATTAAAGGGGGAAAGTACTTTACCATCATGCAAAGACCAGATCTTTCTTTCCTCACGGCTTTGTATAAGGAAAATATAACTTGTTTAACCTCACGATATTCTCAAAACTGCATTAATTCAGTTTCTCATCTCTCTTAAAGATGACGCTCGCTGCCGTCTTTTGTACTTTTCCAATTCATTTTCCACAATGCCAGCGGCAAATCTTCCCAAAACGAAAGTCTGATTTCATGTTTCACAGACTTGAAGCCCTTCTTTGTCTCCAAATTCCCCAAGAGCAGTGGTTGCCAGTCTGTTGGTTTTCATAGGCTTACCTGGGTGGGCACCTACTTTACTCAAAACTTACCAAACATACAGGCCACGTGAAATACATGTTTTTAGAGCTCCCTCTCCTTCTCCAAGTACATGGAGGAAGAGAGAGAAGATTTTGCTTTTATTGCCCCCATAGATGAAAAAGGAGGGAGAGGATGGGGCTGACCGAGGACTAAGAGGGAAGAGAGGGTCCACCTGGAAGTTAGACCTCCGAAGCGGCTTCGCGGCAGTGTCTCCAGGCGCCTGCTTGCTGCGCGGGGCGTCTTTCTCCCCCGATTCCTCCAGCTGCCCGGGTTCCTCCTGCCATTCAGCTTCGGACCTTGATGGTGGTGACAGCGGCTGGCTGGCCTCCGCAGGACCCGAGAGTGCCTTGCTCTCCCTCTCATCCTCATCCCTCCGCAGGCAGATCAAGCCCCCGTGGCCCGTGGCAGGCGAAGTGACCCCGCACGCTGGCAGGGGGTTCCGGGGGTCTCTGACGTCCCAGGAGGAGCAGCTGCTCAGGGTGCGAGGCCCCAGCGAGCACTGTACAGCCTTGTCCACCCGCGGGCTCACCTGCACGCCCACCTCCTTGGTGTTGGCTTTACACAGCCGCGGGCTCAGGCTGGGATTCATCTGGGAGAGAATGGCCTTAAGCTGCGCCCTCTTGTAAGGGTCCATGCAGTAGTCAGGAGCGTTCGCCGGCACCAGGAGCCCTGGCCTAGCCAGGAAAACAGGGGGAACCATATTTTGTCTCCAGTCGGGCTGTTTATGCCCTGAGAGTCCAGGCTGGCCTAAAGGTACTGTGTTCCCATAGCCCTGGTACAAGCCATGGGGAACACGGACAAAGCGCTCCATCCGCTCAGCAGGTGCTCAGGCGCAGCCTAATATCCTACTGCGGTTTGTGTCCTTATTTTGCCTTCCTCCTTCACCCGCCCCTTCTTTCTCCTGATCAAGTTGGTTCAGATTAATTCCTGGCTTCTCCATTTATTTTAGATTCTAATGGGAGCTGCTGCCTATTACCTTGATTGAGGGAGAGAAGCTCTATCTACAGACGTCTAATTGCCACCTGTTTCCTACCTAATTGATTTTCCCTATCTCTTCAATTCACTGTTTGGGAATCTTTTTTCAAAGCTGTTTTTGATTTCCAGCTTATTCACACACATGCTTTAGTTAGTGACTCATTCATTTATTCCTGCAGTGACCATTCTAAAGATCCTTTGTAAGGTAATGTGGTAATGTTAATTGGTACAGACATTATAGACAACAGTATGAAGGCTCCTCAAAAAAGTAAACAGAAGGCCGGGCGCTGTGGCTCACGCCTGTAATCCCAGCACTTTGGGAGGCCGAGGTGAGTGGATCACGAGGTCAAGAGATCGAGACCATCCTGGTCAACATGGTGAAACCCTGTCTCTACTAAAAATACAAAAAATTAGCTGGGCATGGTGGTGCCTGCCTGTAGTCCCAGTTACTCAGGAGGCTGAGGCAGGAGAATTGCTTGAACCCAGGAGGCGGAGGTTGCGGTGAGCTGAGATCGCGCCATTGCACTCCAGCCTGGGTAACAAGAGCAAAACTCCGCCTCAAAAAAAAAAAAAAAAGTAAATAGAAGTACCAGATAATCCAGCAATCCCACTACTGGGTATTTACTCAAAGGAAATGAAATCAATATCCTGAAGCGATATCTTCACTTCGTTGTTTATTGTAGCATTATTCACAATAGCCAAGTTATGGAACCAACCTAAGTGTCTGTTAACAGATAAATGGATAGAGAAATTGTGGCATGTATTTATACAATGGAATATTACTCAGCCTTAAAACAGGAGATCCTGCCATTTGCAACAAATTGGGTGAAACTGGAAGGATATTACACAAAGTGAAATAAGCCAGATAGAAAAATACTGCTTAAACTCACTGATATGTGGAATGTGAAAAAGTCAAATACATACAAGCAGAAAGTAGAATGGTGGTTACCAGGGACAGGAAGTTGGGAGGCATGGAGAGAGATTGGGCAGAGCCTATAAAGTTACAGTTAGAACAAATGAGTCTAGAGATCTAATGTATGGCACAATGACTACAGTTAACAATACTGTATTTTATACTGGAAATTTTCAAAGAGATATTTCAGGTGCTCTCACCGCACACAAAAGAAAATTATGTTAATTGTTTGACTGTAGTAATCATCTCACTATGTACACATATCAAAATATCATGTTGTGCACATTAAATATATATACAACTCAGAAAATAATGGTTTTTTGTTTTGTTTTGTTTTTTGAAATGGAGTCTCCTCACTCTGTCTCCCAGGTGGGAGTGCAGTGGCATGATCTCAGCTCACTGCAACCTCCTGGGTCTACCTCCTGGGTTCCAGCGATTCTCTCTTTTCAGCCTCCCAAGTAGCTGGGATTGCAGGCGCATGCCACCACACAGAGCTAATTTTTGTATTTTTAGTAGAGATGGGGTTTTGCCATGTTATCCAGGCTGGTCTCGAACCCCTGACCTCAAGTGATCTACCCACCTCCGTCTCCCAGAGTACAGGTGTGAGCCACCACACCCAGCTGGAAATATGTTTTTAATCAAAATTAAACCATATTGTAAATTGAATACAAATAGGAAATTGAGCAGCTGGACTAGAAGAGAATAGGTTTTTAAAAAGTCTATTATGGTAGAGCTAATGAATGGCAAGTTCCTGGAACAAAGAGAACAAGAAACAAAAAGGTATGGAGGTGTATATAATGAGAAAATGTATTTTAGAGACTTGTGTGACATGCCACAGGTTCTCATTAGTCCAATCCTAGTGAGACACCCCTGCCCCCAAAAAAGGGGACAAAGCAAATTGTTCTGATTTATAGAGTAAATAAATCACAGGTTAGTTAAATGTATGAAGTCAAATGGACTAGAATTCAAACCTGGGTCTTACTACCAGGCACTGACAATACTGACCAATTTATAGGATTGCTGTAAGATTAAACATGATATTGCTTAAAAGTGCAAAGCAGAATGCCTACCTCATGAAATGTTCAGTAAGTGGTGCTATTATTACTAAGGATCACAGACTTTGGTTTCTTTGTGAATTAGACTTAAAGCAAAAGCTTTAGAATCTATCTGCATTAGTAAAGTCTCCTGCTACATACTGATTATAAAACTAAAGTGATACTTAAGGAATCAAGTGGAGCCCACCCTTTTTCTAATCCAAGGTTGCTTCTGTTTACTGCTGAAACACCTTCTAGAAGGAGCAAGGCCACCATGAGCAACTCTCACTGAATCCATTTGAAGGCTTTGTAGGTCTTACAACAAACCCTCTTCAGCCTTGTATTATACATGTCACAGAACCTACGAACTCAAGAGATGAAGTCAGGTCTTCCAGTTCAGCCTGTGAGGAAGACACGTGATCCGAATCCTAAGAATGCAAAAGATACTACCGAGGCCTGCCGAGCGAGGTACCTAACACTCCATGAGCGAGTTAAGATGGGTTTCACAATTTTTCAAGCAAGGAAACGGGCTGGGAGGTCTTGAACACCTGCTACCCAAGAGCAGCACACCTACTGGAACTAAAATCCTCTGATTTCAAATAACCGTGCACACTCTGAAGCTTTTGTAAGATCGGCTCGCTTTAGGGAACAGGTCTTGAATGGACATCCCTTTTAAGGTCAGAACAAAGGTCTTTCAAAGCTCCCAACTCACGCCCCGAGGGGCACTCACCCTTGGGGCTCCAACAGGAGCTGGAGCAAAAAGAAAGAGATCGGGGACTTGGAGTAGGCATAGGGGCGGCCCCTCTAAGAAGGGTGGTCTGGGACTCTTAAGGGTCAACGAGAAGGGGAGACACACTCCAGCTACCGCTTTATTCGGTCCGAGAATGACGGTTGTGACATCTGACAAGCAATTTCCTTTCGCCACACTGAGAAACACCCACAGCGGCCCACCCAGGCCTGACTTCCGGGTAGTGCGTGTGCTGCGTAGCGCATCACGGCGTCACGTGGTCAGCGCGGGCTTGTGGCGCGAGCGTCTGAAATGAGGCGGCAGAGGCGGACCTGCTGTGTCTCTGCCGCGCCTCCGGTCTTTTCTGCGACGGTGGGTCGCCACGGCAAGAAGCCTGAGGGGACAGATTTGTGACCCTCGCGGTTTTTGTCAGTCAACTCCGGCCGAAAAGGAGCTGCACTTCTGGAGCGGGTTAGTGGCAGCGGGGGTGGAGACGGGCGCGTCTTCCGCAGTCCCAGTCCAGCGTGGCGGGGGAGCGCCACACGCCCCCGGTCGCAGCCGCGGCCTCTAAGCCCTTTTGTCTCTGCCAGCCCCCACCCCTTCCTGAGAGAAAGGTCCTTGTCCCGAAGGCAAATTTTCGCCAAGCAAATTTGAGTCCCACCCTTTCCCTGGGTCTCCATTTCCCGCCTCAGCCCGACCTTTGGGCTCCGCCAGTCACTCAGGGTTACCTCCCTCCCAGCTGTCCCAGATGTCGCCATCTGAAATTTTCTTTAATTGGAACCACGATCACTTTAACGGAATATTGCTGTTTTGGGGAAGTGTTTTACAAATGCTGGGCACACTGTATCTGCCTTAAGCCCCAGGTAATTGCTGCGTTCCGCAGACATGCTGATTGGGAATTACCAGGCTGTGTTGGTCTCTTAACGGGAACCCCCTGTCCCCACTAACCACGCGTCACTGGTTAGCGTGATTGAAACTAAATCGTATGAAAATCTCTAGTCGTACTAGCCACGTTTCCAGTGCTTAATGTGGCCAGTGGCACCTGTTTAAACAGCACAACTGTAGAATGTTCCCATCCTCAGAGTAAGCTGTTATCGTCCCAGGAGATGGGACTGAATAAGAACTCAGACAAACTGTCTGGCGCTTCTGATCTTCACCTCGGTCACATAATAAGAAGTGCATCCCTGTGTAAGTGCATTTTGATCTTCTGTTTTGCAGACTTATTTACCAAGCGTTGGAGAAATATTGTAGGTAAAAATGCCTATTGGATCCAAAGAGAGGCCTACTTTTTTTGAAATTTTTAAGACACGCTGCAACAAAGCAGGTATTGACAAGTTTTATGTAACTTGATAAATTAAACCGAGAAAGTGTTTTCTAAAAAATGCTTGCTAAAAACCCAATACTTCACAGTTTTGCTTACAACCATAAACTGTTCTTTATGTATGCATAAATCCAGTTAACAACATAATCGTCGTTTGCAGGTTAACGAGATGATATAGAACCTCTAGTGGATAAAGAGGAAACTGGCCCCTTGACTAGCAGTAGGAAGAATTGTTTTTAAAGCTTTACTAACAAGTCAGAAACAGTAGTGTTACTTTATGGCAGAAGTTGTCTAACTTTTTGGTTTCAGTAATTTTTACACTCTTAAAAATGATCTAGGACCCCCGAAGTGCTTTTGTTTATGTAGCTTATAATATTATAAATTTAAAACTAAGAGTTTAAGGCCAGGCACGGTGGCTCATGCCTGTAATCCCAGCACATTGAGAGGCCGAGTTGGGTGGATCACTTGAGGCCAGGAGTTCGAGACCAGCCTGACCAGCATGGTGAAACCTTGTCTCTACTAAAAATACAAAAAATTTGCTGGGCATGGTGGCACGTGCCTGTAATTCCAGCTACTCGGGAGGCGGAGGCAGGAGAATCGCCTAAACCCGGGAGCAGGAAGTTGAAGTGAGCCGAGATGGGGTCACTGCACTCCAGCCTGGGCAACAGAGTGCAACTCTATCAAAAAAAGAAAAAAAAAAACCTAAGAACTTAAAAGTTATTAATTTATTTTAAAAAAAATGAAAGTTAACCCATTGCATATTATCACAACATTCTTAGGAAAAATAACTTTTTGAAAACATGAGTGGAATAATTTTTACATTTTTGCAGTTCTCTTTTATGTCTGGCTAAATATAGGATTCCTGGATTCAATTATCGGTGTCTAATCTGTTATTTTATTAGAAGTATATGAAAAATATTTAACCACACACAGCTAGGTAGCTGAGAAAAGGAATATTTTAATAGTCTTCAGTTACTTGTTGCTATTTTTCCTTGTACTTGCATAGATTTTTCAAATATCTTATAGATATATCAATAATTCTTTCCATGTTGCAACATCATGCAGTGATTATTTGGAAGATAATTGCGTTCTGAATTATATAAAGTTTCCAAATATTGATACGTTGCGTTAAACAGTATTTAAAAAATCAATTCATTAATATCACCATGAATCTCATCAGAAAAGTCTTTTAAGATTGGATAGAACTGAGCCACTGGAAATTCTAATTTTCATTTGAGAGTTCACATTTTGTCATTGGCAACAAACTGTTTTCTTTGCAGTAACAAGCACACTTCATTGATTTGTCTACCAAATGATTTGTGAGAAAATGTCTACCATATTAAGTTGAAATAACTTAGCCATTTCAAGTTAAAATGGCTTTTCATTGAAAAAAATTGCCTGTTCAGATCACAGCTCAATCCATGAGTGCTATTCTAGACAGTATTGTATTTGAATATGCAGAAGTGCTTTATGTATGCTTCCTATTTTGTCACATTATTAAAAGAAGTGCTAAAGCATTGAGCTTTAAAATTAATTTTTAGTGCTTCATCAGGACATTCTTCAGTTAAACTGGCATTTTTTTTAACAAGGACACACAGTAGTAAGGAATACAATGACTACTAGTACTAGTTTGGTGCCACTGCCATAACTGTGGCACCAAATATGCAAATGTGCCAGCAGCTTTACCGAGCATTATCTTTGCACTGTTGGTACAAATGTCAACATCATGAAAAGGGGAAGTGATTCCATAGTGTTGTTATGAAAGTAGTTTTGAACTGTAATGGTAGAGAATGGATAGCTCATAATACTAATTTTGTCATTTCCCTTTAAGAGAGATTCCCATTTTATGTAAGAGTCCACATGTTCCTCATACCCGTAGATTTGCCACATCTTGAGTACTCTTCAGAATTATTTGAATTATATCTGTGAATAGTTTTTTATTCTAAACCGTGAATAAAAAAATAAAATTAAATGAAAATAGAAACCAATAAATAATATATATTATAAATTTATATATTATAAAAATATATATTACTTTAAAAGCAACTCTATTACATAATACATAGTATATAAAAGCTTTTAATATTATAGTTAAATACTATCTTGTCACTTTTACGAACTCGTTATACTTGTCTATAAAATTGTAAGCGAATGGATTAATGATCTTGTTTAATTAATATGCCTTAACAAAAGTAATCCGTAGTCAAGATTTTAAGCATTTTTTTCCTTATGATCTTTAACTGTTCTGAGTCATAAATTTGTCTGTCATTTGTTAAAACTAAGGTGAGGTTTTTTTTTTTTAATAGATATAGGACCAATAAGCCTTAATTGGTTTGAAGAACTTTCTTCAGAAGCTTCACCCTGTAATTCTGAACCTACAGAAGAATCTGAACATAAAATCAGCGTTTATGAACCAAACATATTTAAAACTCCACAAAGGAAACCCTCTTATAATCAACTGGCTTCAACTCCAATAATATTCAAAGAGCAAGGGCTGACTCTGCCACCGTATCAATCTCCTGTAAAAGAATTAGATAAATTCAGATTAGACTTAGGTAAGTAATATGATATGGTAGACTGGGGAGAACTATAAACTAGGAATTCAGGCAAACCTGTGTTAAAATCTCAGCTCATTCATTAATTGTATCATGCTGGGCAAATCAGTCTCTCTGGCCTCATTTTCCTTGCTTGAAAAATGGAGATGATGAAAATAATATCTTACAGGTTTGGGTTAAATGAAATAATGTAGGTATGTAGTAGGTGTTCTGTTTCACCCTTCCTTTGATGAATTTGCCAACTGAGATTTGCTGAATTATGTCTTATGCCAGATAACCTAGGACTTGTTTTGATATTAATCAAACTAAACTATATTTCTGCAGGCTATCACAGAGGACAGAGATTATTTTATCAGTATACTATAAGTATCATGATTTCGAAGGAGTTTCCCTAGCATAGGTGCCACATGTTTCTAAGCAATTATGTAATAAGATTATAAATTCAGTCATTTAAGTAATTATTACCTACTTCACATAAGTAATGAACTTTGTCTTTTCCTCAGAGTATTACTGTCTAGGAAAGGGGAATAAGGAGTACACAGATAAAGTATAGTATAAGGCTGAATGTACCAAATGCCAAGAGAAAAATAGAAAAAAATACAATGAGAGTTGAGAAGAAAGAGCAAATAGTATTGGACAGATTTAGGCAATTATTCCTTTGAGTTGAACCTTGAAGGACAGGTGAGATTAATAAATTTGAAGATATGGAAGAGCGATAGTGTTCTAAGCAGCGGGAACAACATGAGGAAGAATATGTAGTTTGTTCAGGAAATAGCATGTAATTCAGGTTAGCTTTGGTTGTTTTGTGTCTGAAAGGGACCAGTGGATGAGACAAAAAGGCAGACTAAAGTCAGGCTTGAATGCCAAGCTAAAGAAATTGAATTTATTTAACTGGTTGTTGAGCAGAGAAGTCACATGCAAATTTAATCATGCTACTTATTGTGTCAAGCCTTTGATCACTTTCCTTTGTCCTTATAGCAAAATCCAAACTTG